CTATTTTTATAATGTTTTGTTATCAATAAATAATGAAACGGAAAAATGCTATTATAGAAGAAGAAGTAGATGAGCTAAAGATAGATGAAAAAAGTTTCATTTACTGCACGAAGCTGCAATAAATTTATTATTAATGAAAAAATGACACTATGTTATGAAATTCAGATCAGTGAGAAAGTTTAAATTGTAATCATCACCACTTATCTATCATATGATTAAATTTTTGACAGTATTTCATCAACGTGAATAAGCTTTGTTGTCATAAAGTGGATGATTAAATGTTTCATCAAATTAGGCAATAATTTTGAGAATTTTTGTATTACTTGCTGGACGTAAGTATTTTTCATTGTATTATATCAGAATCAGTCAGTGTGGGATCTGTCTATGACTATAATTTTAGAGGGGTTCGTCACCCTTTAACCTCAAATACCCTAACGACTTGAGTTGTCTCCCAAACCATAATAATGTAAATTATTGATATTTTTATTTGCTAAAATAGCTAGCTTTTTGGTATTACAAATATGAGAATTACAATAAAATATGTGCATTTTATTGAAAGCTGATGACTTGATTAATTTCACATTGTCAGAAAAGTCGTTTGAAAATGAATATATTCGCTGCTATTAGCAATACTCATTTGGCATCAACATTTTTTTGGCAATATTGCTTTATTTACTCTTCGGCAATTGATTTGGTAATTTTCACATTCTCATCCTTTTGATTTTGATATGTTTTAATATTCAGCTGTGGTTTAAATTAGGGGAGCTTTAAGATTGAATTCAGAACTCGAAATTAACATAAAGTTCGTTTGGAAAAGTTTACAACAACCATATCAACTTCAAGCTCTGTTCGCAGACAACTTTGCAACAACTTTAACGGTATCCTTTAATTCTTTCAAGACAATACTTCTTATCACGTTGAAATTACACCCACGAAAACGTCAAGAAGGCTGCAGAAAGATTCCCACTCGTTTTATTTCTATAAGAATTTTCAATATTCCTAAAATAGTCTTGTCTCGTGGGTGTAGATATCACATGTTGGCCCTTTTTTAAAAGGGTACAGTTCATTTTTTTCTTAATAGAACAAATAGCATTTTCCAATTTAAAAATTCCTTTGCCCGAGAAACCATGTTGCCATGTTTATAGCAAAACGTAACAGAATCTTCGGGATGTGCTGAGAATTGTCTGACTAAATAAGATAAGCTTTATTCTGTTGCTCGGATTGGAATTAAATGAAACTTACTCTTTAGTACTTTTCATCAAATATTCATCAGAATGTAACAAAAGATAAAGTCACTTAAGAAAATTAATTTCAGAAGAACAACATTGGATATAAGGAACTAAATTATGTTTCTTTGTCTCGTTATAAAATCTAATAATTCTGAAATTATCCAACTTTAGTGTCCCGGGAAAATTTTATTTGCATCGCAATGAATATTAAAGTGGGTTCTGTTGTTTGATAATAAATGAAATTGAGAAATAACAGGAACGAAATATTTCACTGACATTGATGAGAATTGTTGCTTATTAAGTTTGAATGAGAAAATGGAATTTAAATTCAATTATGTGAATTTTTCACTTATTCGAGTTCATTTTTATTAAGTTTTTTTCTTAGACATGCTAGTCAAGATGTTCCTTGTTTCCGAAGAACTTGAACTTAAATTGAATGATTGTTTGTGTTTGCTGCTTTGTTCCTTAAAATGTCTAGGTCAGGCAGGATGAAAGTTAAGGCAGTTCTCGAGCCATATTCCTAGAATTGCAACTCTAAATCTCACATTAAATTTATATCTCAATTACAGACAGATCAGGCGCAAGTTGCTCACTTTTTAGGTAACAACTCGTGCATCTCTCGTCTGTCAAGCTTAAAATATTTAATTTTAAAAACAAAAAAATGCGCTCAGCTTGTCACATCCATGAGGCAAATGCGGTGACTCCTTTACAAATTTTTTGCTATTATTTTTCTTTATTGTTCTATTTTATTTTTCATACGATACCGAAAAAAGTGGCACCAGCTGACTGTTTTGCGCTTCATAAAATTTTCGCTTTCCTTCTCATTTCATTTGTATTCTCTTCTTATTTGATAGTCATGAGAAGCTTCTTTCTTTCTTTTTTTGTGTATCGAATAAGGTCAAATAAATGATATTTGCTTTTTTTGTGTGTTGTTGGGGAGCGAAACAAAATATGGAGGTTAGGAAGTCATTTGGTCAAATGAGAAATATTTTCTCCTCGAAATTGAAATATTTGGTTTATATAATTTTTGTAGATTCATCTGCTTGATTGACCTGAATAAGAATATTATATGAATAATCTCAATATCATCATTAATTCATTACTAGAATAATTTGTCATTAGTGGTTTTGTGGCTGTCATGTGTGCACACAGCATGAAAGCTAGTTACACTCAACTGTGCTTACAATTCATTTGCGTCATTCTAATAAAGTCATTTTGTTGAACATGAAAAGGATTGAATATGATTGAATTTCAGCATAAAGATTTGTTATTCATTCACATTTCTTTTATTCTCAAAGTTACATCAGAACTTATTTTCTCAGTATGTTTTACATAAATTGATGAATTTTTTTCATAATTATCGTATGTCTCAGCAGGTTGTTGCTATTCATATCCTAGCGCAATCATGCAACAAATGAAAGTCCACGAATATTCTGGAGGTTGATTAAACCTATGGAATTTATATTTGTTCTGGCAGTACCAAGAAATTGTTGAATTAATGGAGGTGGTTAAAAAGATTAGAAATTTCAATTTTGGTAACAAATTACGTCCATGTTGTGAAGTCAATAAACGGAATTTTTTTTACAAATTTTGAATCAAACTTAATTTCAATATTATCAAGAATGTTCCGTTAATTGACAAATTTTGCAATCATATACAATAGATTATCGCTCAAACTATTGCTTACCAAACAGTAGACAAGCAATTGAGAGTTTTGAGACCTAATAGAACTTCATTACGAAATATATAGCCTAAAAGGAGCAACTCTTCATACAAGATTGTTTAGCAAAAATTGATTTACAACAGAAATGCTCAATGCATCTGAATAATTAATCAGGAGACAAATCGCAAAAGATTTCTTCAAACTTCCATTAAGGTTCAGGCTATTGTAAATAAAACATAATGGATGAAAGCTTTTACACACATGACATTCAAAATTCATGTTTGTTTCGTAAATAAGCCCACATTACAAAAACTTTTTGCAACCACCTCAAAATCATCTTTCAAGTTCAATGTCAAAAGCCTTCAGAACTTCTACGCAGTTAATTCAAGCGAGATATGAATGAACAAAAATGAATTACGCTTGCCTCATTTAATTTTAGCACGCTTATCATAACTGAGTTGACTCACTTGACTTACTAAATATGAGCTTTGTAAAGCTTACAATTTTATAGGTGAATGAATTGTTTATTTCAAAACAACACGACAAATGATTGAACTTTATAGAAATTTCCTTCTAATTTGTTCAAATTCCATAAATGTATTTATGAGCGTAGTCATGGAGATCCAAAGGTCCTCATATTCTCCTTTCTTCAAAGATTAAACCCTAAACCCTCGAAAAATATCAGCTTCCATCCCTGCGATCATCACTATCATCTGTAGGTGTCTAATTAAATTGTTTACGTTCTTTAAGTTGAAACAAATTGCGACACAGTTTTGTCTCTAATTTTTAATTTGAGCAATAAACTTATTTTTTGATGATAAACATCAACAATAATTGATCTTTTGTGTTTCTAACTGCCATTCAGTGTAAAAGGCAGTCGTCATAAAAGTAGCACAGCAAAATGATGAATTGTATAAAGATAAAAAAGTAAAATTATTGATTAAGGAAATAAAAGAAGGAATTTACTCAGTAATTGAAGTTCGGTCAGTGGCGATAAAAATACAACGTCAAAGAGAAATTAAATTTCAATTAAAGCTATAAACATTTTCGAATGGGGGCACGTTAATGTATTAATAGAAGCATTTTTATTTTACAGCATAAGCTGTTTCAGACGCCTTTTTGATTATCTATTTAATTATGAGAACAGGCTAATGGAAATAATAATTTTTGCATGGATATTGAAGTCAGGGGTAATTTATTGTATTGAGCATGAGTTTAGTCAGTTTACAGTTCAAAAATCATCATGAAGCTCTGGCAGGAACTAAAGACTGGTTGTCCTTCACACAGCTTTAAAAACTTTTAATTAACTTAAGCTTCATAATCCTTTAAACCCTTCCATTCGCTCCTTATTAGCGCTGAATGTCACGTAGATCAATAGTCCGTAATTGACACAATTCTCCTTAAATTGATAGATTACCTATAAAGTTGGCGATATGAGAAACTTTTTTCGGGTTATTGGAACTGCAGAATTTCTCGTTTAAAACATTAAAAATGCAATGACTAAGCAAGATAAAGATTGAGTAAATTTCGTTATCTTATCAACAGAATTAAGTTATCTCGTTACTCAAAAATCTAGAGCAAGAAACTGACATTAAATCAATCTCAGCTTCAAAAGTTTGCTATTAGTTTAGTCTAAATAAAACTTACGAAATAAAAAACTTTAAATGCACAGCATAATTTAAATAATATTGAGTAAGGGTATGAACATGAGCAGCAAAGGGACCTTCGATAATAAAAAATTATTTCTTCTCATTCCTTTTTAACAATTCCGTATAGCAAGCTGAATCGACATTAACGGATTTGTTTCTCTCACATTACGTATCACTCTCGATTTCTCTCTTCATGCCTGCCTCACTTTCATTATTTTATGTCATTAAGGGTCGTTCATAAGTGTCATGCTATGAAATAACTGGAACTTTTGGACATCCAAAATATTTAATCTTCAGTTGGGTTCTCTGTAGTCAGATCTGATCCATCCTTAAATGTCTTACATCATTTATTAACGACCCCTTAAATGATATGACATATTAATTATTGCTATTATCAACATTTTTGCCGAAAAAGAAATCTTTAAACTAAACTTTTACTTTATTTTCCTCTCATTTCAGCTTCGACAGCTCGCTCTTACCTCTATGGAGTTCAAATTGGACAGTGCAGAGTATTGCCAAGCACAACACAAATAAAAAGTGAAGCGTACGAATTAACGTGTGTGAAAATTAGAAAGAAAGAAAAAAAAAGAGTTAAGAGAGACACTTTTTAAAAGAAAGAAGAAGTTTTTTTAAAGAAAAGAAGAAAAATTTTAATTTTTTTGAGTTTTTCCGTGGAATATCATTTTTCATTTGCACATCATATCTCGCTCTTATGTTTATCCACATTTAATTGAACGGTTAACAACAACAAAAAAAAAAGAATTGTTCGAATTCGAATGAAGAAGCAGTCAAGGAATCATCACATCTAGTAAATGAAAAGCGGAAGTCAAGTTATCAATTAGGAGAAAAATTGTGTTATTTAGACTAAAGAAAAGAGAGTTAATATCAGAAAAGGAGAAAAGACATCAACATAAGTTTATAAAGATTTTGTATTAAAAACAATTTTTTTATTTTTCGAATATTTGTGCGAGCGGAAGCAGTGAAGACGTGTTAGAAATATCTAAACAATTATAATAATTTTTTTTGTTCTATTAATTGCCTACGATCAACAGTTATATTCGATAAATATATTGATTGTGCACATACTTTTGTACACAAACATTGAATTGAATTGAAATATATATAAACATTTTTATTCGTGTCTCAACATCCATAAAGTGGTTATTGTACACACAGAAATAGATTTGTATGAGCCGCTCAAAGTTGTGTAAGTATTCATATCGATTTGTTACAAGTTATGTATAGATATGTATGATTGCTATCGTCTTCTATTTTTTTCTTTTGTGAACATATTTTGGGGATAATCAAAATATTTGAGTATTGCAGTGGTTGTTAAACTGTGTGTAACGACACACTATACTGTATAATGCATGAGATTAATTTAATTATGACTTAGGGACTGTTCACTTATTACGTAACGCGAAAAAATGACTTTTTAGACCCCCCCCCCTCGTAACAAAATTTGTATGAAAAAAAAATTTCCTTGTTTGAACCGTAACAAAATCTTAGACCCCCCTCCCCCCTAAAAGCGTTACGTAATAAGTGAATGGCCCCTTATGAGAACAATAGATTTATTATCCTACAGTCATGTACATTAAGTAATCATAAAATTTATTATCAAAATTTGTCATCGAATTGCAAAATACCCACCAAAATAAAGACGCGTGCCTACATATCTATAAAAAAAGTTTATAATTTTGACAAATTCCATTATCAACAAGAATTCCTAAAAAAATTCCTTTGTAATAAAAAATTTGTAACTTAATGAAAAAATCTCTAAATTTTCTTCTAGCTGTGACTGAAGCGTAAAGGCACAAGTTATTAGATTAACGGAAAAGAAGCTTCCGTATTTGCGACGACAAAAGATATAATCGTGAGACTGATAATTCCATATAACAGAGAGAGAGAAGCAGCATAAAGGAGTTTTAACGAAACCTGACATACGTTGAGAAGAAACATTTTGTATGTAAGACGACAGCCGTGCATTTGTAATTCATAAAGAAATTCATTTCATCTTCAACAATTCAAAGTTTGGAGTCTCAGAATTTTAAAAAAAGGCATCATATTATACATGTGAATGAGCTGCAATCCGCTCAGATATTCTTTCAGCGACGAGAAATAATTATCTTCATTTATCGAGTGCCAAAAAAAAACTTTTTAAATTATTTTTGACTTTTTCAATTCTCTTTATATTATTTCCGAGTAATTATTCAAATTGGGTAAGTTTAATACATTGTATATAAACAATTGCAATGAGAGCGCGAGAAAATGAAAAGAAAGTCCCTTAATTACTGACACGCGTAGACGATTCACTTATTTGCTCATGTTCAAGATCAAAATTTTGACTTTTATGAGATTCATAAGAAATTTAATTTTATTCTTATTTTTCATGGTCATGCTGGCTAAATTTGGATTGTTGACTTTTCAAAAAATGCTCTCTCATTGGTTTTTCTGAATGGTTTCGCGAGAAATAGCTTCATTGAGATAATATTGACTGAGAAAACATCCCAAAATTGAAAATTTTTGATGCGCACTTTTCATTTCCGAATTTGTCTAAAAATAAATGATTTTAATTATCAATCTTAAAAAGCTCTGTTGTTGCTTGGTTTAACAAGCTATCAAATCTCAATTTGTATGACTAGCTGATCCTATTTAATGACAGTAATGAGTTTATTCATGGTCCAGACAATATCCAGTAGACTTAAATACCAAGATAGTAAAGTATGTGTTCAAACATTCGGCCACAGATGCCTTCTGCGGACTTTACTCAGCTTCGATACTACCACAAATCTAGCATTTAATCCAACAACACTGATCCAAACCAAAAATACTTCTGACGCACTACTCATTTTCTCGTGTCTTTAATTAACTATTATTTTTTGTTTGTTTCTTTAACCATATGGTCTAATATTGTGCTCTATTTCGGTATCTTTTCAGATTATTATCATCATATTCCTATATCGTTATTAAAATATTTTAATTTTATCATCCAAAAACACACAACAAACGTGTCTCAGTATATCAACAAAGTGATAAAGAGCTTAATCATCACCATCTCTACGAAAATAATAATAATAAATAGCAGTACATTAACAAATCACAAGGAATTCACACATCTCTATTACAATTGTCTCTCGGAATTATTTTAAAATCGAAAAAAGTGAGGCAGGAACGTCAGTGCATCAAAAAAGCTACAATTGTGCAACATTATAATTTAATTTTAAAGAATTTTGTGTGTGTGATAAGAAGAAGATAAAGCAAGTAAGCAGACGAAGACAAAGTTCCCATCACAATTAAAGAATTTTAAAAATATATAAAGACTATTAGTTTATTTTATGAGTGTCATCATTCATCGAGAGCAGTGACAGTTTTCATCAACAAGACTGCAACTTCTTATTTTTGTATTATCAACAATTTTTTTGGAGATTTATCGGAAGTAGCGGAAGAAGAAAGTTGGCCATTACAAACGACTTTTAATTCATTTTTTTAAAGAAAAAAAGTATCATATAAATTAAATAAATTTTATTGTATAATTGTGGGATTTTAATGACAACAATCAGCATGAGACAAAAAGATATTAGACCAGCACCAGCCCGCATTGATTTCAAGGGCATGAAATTTCTCATTACCGATCGTCCATCAGATGCAAACATGCAGACATATTTAATGGTAATTTTTTACTTGTCCTTTTTTCTCTTTACCACACAATTTTTGATGCTGACAGTCAAAGTCAAGTTGTAGAAGCGCATTGTCCAAGATTTAAATAACTGTCAAATTCTGTTCTGAAAAATAACGGCTTTAAGAAATTCATAAGTCCTTGAATTAATTGCAATTAAAAAATGCCTGACTTATCGCGAAACCTTACTTAGACAGGTCCATGAGACAATATTTACTCTAGAAAAATGCGTCAAAACACGAAATCACATTTGTCATTTTTCATGTCACGTCGTGATTAATTTAAAAATTATTCATTTAAATCAACAAGAAATGTTATTAATGAGATGGAAAAAGGGATGGAGAGCATGGCTCGATGTCTGTTGAGAAAAATTACTTCTAATATACTTCATGACCTTGATTCCGGTTGTTGATGTCTCCCAAAACAGAACATTATTCTTTTCAATTTTGTTCATTTTCTTTTCGTGCCTAATTCTCACATTTTGTGTACTTTCCCAATGAGCAATGAACTGTTGTGAGATTTTGGGTTTTTTGAGGAATGGTTCTTGACGAGCTTTTGATTGGTGATTAGGAGTTAAAAATAATATGCAGATCTGTAAATAATGCAGCTCAGAAGGAGCTAAGGATAAGATTCACACAGCAACATAAGACAGCTTTTTATCTAATTATAAGAAACTCGTAAAGCTTCAATTCGTTGATTAAATCTAAAAAAAATGTCTCAGATTCACTCTGAAACTTGATAATTTTCTATTAATTCGCGCTATCTAAAACAGAATTACGCACTGTCTGCAATTCTTTTTCCATCTTTTTCGAGTTTCTCCTTGACTTTTCCAATACTGTTGGAGGTTAAAGTCCTCGTTTGACAAATGTTTCCATCTCTTCCATTGTAATCATTCATTTCTAATATCTAATCAATTTTATTAAATGACTTATTCTATGTCTCATTTCATGTCTATGTTTAGGAATTACAAAAGCATAATGTATCAACGGTGATTCGTGTTTGCGAGGCGAGCTACAAAAAGGATGTATTAGAAAATGCCGGAATTGAGGTACGCGATCTGGCATATGAAGATGGCACATTTCCACCATCAAATATTGTAGACGAATGGTTCGAGGTTTTGAGGCATAAGTGAGTAGAGCATCAATAATAATAAAATTTAAATAATGATTAATGACTTCATCATTATTCTTATAGATATAATGAAAATCCAGAAGCATGTATTGCGGTTCACTGCGTTGCTGGTCTAGGCAGAGCTCCTGTTCTTGTGGCTTTAGCACTAATAGAATTAGGATTGAAATATGAGGGAGCTGTTGAATTAATTCGAGAGTATGTATTCATGTTCTATATTAAATTATTACAATCTAAAGTTGAATGGGGGTGAATTTGAAAGATCTTGAGGGTTACCCCCTTCAATATATATCCCATATTTCAATACGAAGCCTATGGCATGTGAATTTCTTCAAGGATTAGTGAATGACTCCCAATATAAATGATTTAAAGCTTAATTCTCATAAATCGTATGACCGAGCAATCTACTGAATCATATCAGTTCATTTCAATGATAATTGTCCATTACAAATGTTTTGTTAGACAGCTTGCGTCATTTCTGAGAATGGAATTCAAAATAGAATCTCTAAAAGTGTTCATTACACGAGTTAATAGCAGTTGAATATGATACAGAAATAGAACTAATTACGGCGTTACAATTGCTTCTTAAAATCAAATATTTAAGAACATTCTAAATTTAACTTTGAATTCTGTCTGAAAATAGCCAAAGCCTATAATTACCACAAAGGAGCAGCCTTAAATGTCAGAAATCATTACGATGTAGATTTTTGTTCAATGAAACATAAATAAAGTTTGTTTTTCCTTCTTTATTACGTAGCTTACTTTCCGTACCTACGTAATTGCTTTTCTCAATCAAACATGTAATAATGTTGATGTCAATTGGGTATTGTTGCTGTAACATGACGTTGGTGCTCATGAAATTGATGTGAAACTCCTTAATGACATTTAAATGAATCTTGTCTTCCATAAAAAAAATCCTAAATACGCTCCTGCTCTTTATAATGTCCCACAGCACACATCTTGACAAGCACTGACATTTATCCAAGACAATAAAATGCAAATTCTTTTTAATTCATTAATTGCTCTTCGGTAATTTTAGAAAACTCCAAAAGATTCTAAATTGTTGAATTGCTTACGCATGTACATGCAGAGAAGCATAAAAGCATTGCTAATTAATAAAGACTCCTTTTCGTACCACATTTCATTATTCATGAAGAAATTACGTCATATAAAAGTAAAAAAGATTCCTTCGTCATCGCCAACAAAAAAAAGTTTATTTCCTCAATGAATCTACGTAGAGGGTTGACAGCAATAATAAAATTAATGACATTTATTTTTTTCGTTCAATTTTAGGAAGCGCAGGGGTGCCATCAATGCAAAGCAACTTTCATATTTAGAACGATACCGACCAAAATCAAGATTGAAGCATCGAAATGGCCACAAAAATTCATGCTGTGTGCAATAAAATTATCAAACAGAAATCCACCAGTTTCAAAGTGTTCATTTTTCTTCATATAAAAAAATAGAAATGAAATGAAAAAAAAATAATTAAAACTAAAAAAAATGCTTTTTTTGGTTCGGAAATGGAGAAATGAAAATTTAAGAGGATGTTGCGCGCACTATTGCAACAAGTTGTTTTGTATCTTCTTACTACTTTATCAACATAAACGTTTATTTCTGGTCTATGATTTATTATTCTGCATTGCTCTACAACAACAATAACAACACATACACATAAATATATTTATTTGAAGACGAAAGCTTAAGCATCTGAGGAAGTCGGACATGATGGAACTTACATAAAAGGATTTGTAATATTTTTTGTTGCTTTCCATAGACAAAATAATCATCTTTGAGGATGTGATGATGAGACTACCTATTTATATAATCATTATTTTTTTTATATTTTAATATCAACGACTGTCGAAAGTACTCGAAGATTTATTCTGTTACGCCATCGTCACATTATTCTCTCAAATAACAACTGCTACTTTTCATTCTATATATATACTTATTTTTTTTGCTCTTTGCGTATAGGACATAAGACACAAAGTATCAAATTTTTGAAAAAAAAAAGTTTTGCATTTTTTTGAATTTTTATTCTTTTTATTATGAAATTTTTAATCAAATTATTGTCAGGAATAACAAATAAAAGCAAAGACGAAAGGAACGTTTTAGTTCAATTCACATTTAAAAAAGTAGTTCTCATAGATAAAAAATCTCTTTCTGGCTGGTTGATTTACTTTAACATAATTTCATTTCAAAATCAAGAACTTTAATGGCTAATAAACCTTGAATTATGACAATGTTAAACTTGTTCTCATCAATATTTGAGTTTTAAACGGTTTTGTGAGATTTGAATTTTTAACGTTTTTTGTAAAATTTGAACTTTTGAAACGGTTTTGTGAAATTTAAATTCTACAAATACGTTGAAACTTTCACTACTTTAAAAAACTTGAATTCAAGTAATTGTGATTAATTAAGCAAGATGAGAACATATGTAAATGTCTGAAATAATTTATTTATCCTATCACTTTGTATTTAAAGCTATAAATGGAAGTATTTGAGACAAATTCTAGTGATTATGATATGAACTTATAGATATATTAATGGATAACAACAAAATAGTATTTATTAACTATAGTAAGATACGATAGAAGTTCCAAAAGACCCTTTAGCTTTATCGCAAAGTTTCCATTTTATGGCATTGAAAATTCAAGTGGGAGGATTTTAATGGTTCTGCAATGATTAATTTTTAGCAAAAATTCTACCACATTCTACATAAAATAATATAAGCCAAACAAACTGTTTTCTTCTTTTCAAGTCAAAGAAAACTAATTAAAATATTCAATTTATGTGAAAACAATTGAAAGAGAAAGAAAATTGTGAGAACAAACTTTTCACATTCTTTAATTTAGTCTATTTATTTTCATTTTGCTACAAATTCTCGTCTGAAATGTTAATTGATGATTTGTATACAATTTCAATTTCGATGATTGATGTGACAGCTTAATCAGGGATTGAAGTTGATCTCTAACGTGTTGAAAGGCTTCCATTTCTAACTGCAACTTCAATTAAATTGATGATATCAGTGTTGCGTTCTGGCTATTTGTCTGGATCAGATAAATTCTGAGACAGAAATTTCTTCATAAAATCGATTCTACATGTAGAAAGAAAAAAACCATCTACATGTAGATTGTGTCTACATGTAGAATCTGTCTACAATCTACATGTAGATGGTTTTTTTCTTTCTACATGTAGAATCGATCTTTATGAAGAAAGTTTCTAAGCTAGACAAAAACTATTGAAGAATCTACATTCTTCATCTAGTGTAGACATCTACATTTGCAACACTGGATGATATACAAGTATTCACTTTAAAAATGTCGTATTTGACCATGAATTCCATATAAATTGTCAATGCGTCATTACCAAAGCTTCCGTTATCATCTCTATATAAATTGTATATGGAAATGTAAACAAACTTGACCTTCAAATGCTTGTATTGTTACAATTTAAGTGTGTTGTACGAGTATGTTCAGACTGTGAGGTTCAAGAGTTATTCAAAATTCTAAAGTTCAAGATTGTGGAATTTCAAATTAGTTCTCATTTAAATTGCAAAAAAATATTTGAAGTTGACGACTGAACTTTTTTTACGGGGATTTCACGACCTACGGTTGATGATTTCAAGAAGTTTTATGAAGATAAAACAAGTCGACTTTATGACAGGCAAAGGTACATGGCTCATAAATGATACTTATTACACTACTTTGACATTACTTTTTATGTAGCCACAAAGTACAACTTTTATTATCTTAGTCGTATGCTTCATGCATGATTTGAGATCATTAGAAATATGAGAACAGATTCAGTCATTCGTGACTCATGAGGAAGCATTTTCCATGCACACAATCGATATTCGAATCTTCAAATATGTTTGAAAAATAACTGTAAAATTATATTTGAAAAATAACAGACTTTGATATTTTGAATTCGCCGAATCGGTTCAAATTTGAAAAATTCTTTTGAATCGGTTATTTTTACTGGTTTGACTCATCATCAATTTAACATTTCAATACAAGAATTTCCTTAATAAATTTCATTGTTAAAGAAAATTGCAAGATATATAGATGTGCTCATACAAAAATATCACAGTTTTTAAACGTCAAAAATTTGAATTTTCTAAAAACACTAACACTATAAAAGAAAAATTTCAATTTTTGTTTTGCAAAATTTTCAACTTTCTGTTAAGTTTTGTTGATACAGGAGTATTGCAAATGCTTTGCTATAATTTAAAGTAACTGACTAAAGTCAAATGTTGTTGCATCTGTCGATATTTAAATGAAAACTTGAAAATAGAAAATTTTAAAAATTTTTGTTTGTATAAGTACACAAAAAATAGTATGGTCGAGTATGGTCAAGTATACTCTGTATGAGCCCATCTATATATCTTGGAAAATTGGTAAGAAGTTGATGTGAAAAATATTTGGATATTGAACAAAAAAAAAAGCTTCTGTAACTAAGAAATTAGAAATGACATAAAAGAAAAGTAATGAATTATTTTGAATGGAAAGAGATGTTTAGAATTTTTGGACATAAATGGCATGTTGCATGAAAGAATTTCTCTTAAAAATTAATTATTTCCTTCATCTATCTTCCTTTCACCAAATGATTCATGTTGTTTAAAAATAAAAGTTTATATAATGAACAAGGGATGGAATTTGTTGAGAATTTGGTAACTATTTTAGTAAGTTCTTAACAATTGACATCTCCAAAAAAAAAAAAAACTAAAGTTACGCCTACAATTATTGAATTTAATTAATAAATGTCTATGAGAAAATCATAAGAATATCATAAAGTCACACAACAATTACATTAAACAAAATGAATTAATTAAACTTAATAGTCTAGCAGTCAGACGAGTCCTAAAGCTGAATTTTAATTGCTGCTCATGTTTGTGAAGCACAGTCGAAATTCCTTTGCGAATCCTGAGTAATATGAAATGCCCTAGTAAAAAAATAATAATTAAAATATAAATGAAAATAGCGCAATTGATGTAAATTTTTTAAAACAATTTTTTTTAACTTTACCAAACTCATTTTTTTCGTACGCCGAATTTTTTTGCTGAATCAATGTGAAAAAAAATATATTAAATGAAAATAAACTGTAGATTGAATTTTGCAGATACACACATAGCCCAAAATGAACCATATTTATTTTAAAATAAAATCAAATGCAAATACACAAAAATACCTTAAATTAAAAAAAATGTCCTATTTAAACTTGAGGAATTGTAGAGGTTTTGATAATTTGTGGAATTTTGCTGGAAATGCACTCAAAAATTGAGAAATCTCCTGTTTGGGCGCTTGCTGGAAATCCTGTCATAACAAGCACACTCCATTCATTGATTGGGAGAGTTCTGCCTGTAATGGGAATCGAACTTTCATCCTCACAAAAGAAAAGCTGAAAGATCTACCACTCTGGTCTTATATATCTCAACTTGTAAATCGAAGTTTACCTTAAGCTCGAACGGAGTATAAGTTAAAAGCTTAAACCTAGAAACATCCAGCAATCCATAAAACCCTGCCTTTAAAAACTTTCGACTATTTAAACAACTAAAGCTGATTCAATTCCAACTCCAACAATTTTAAATTCACAAGTCATCAAGCCTCTCATCCCTCGACATAGTCTTAAAATAGTTAAAGGATTATAATGTATTGTGCGTGTAAAAAACTAAGTAAGAAAATCAATTCATAAAAAATGACGATGCAAGAAGAAATGTCCGGGTGCCTATCTTTTCATTTTCACTCAGCAATTTCTCCTACAATTCAAAATCTAATCGTTAATTAAGGAAGGATCTTTTACACAATCCTTGGAAAAATGTTTTTATTGAATTTTCCATTCACAACATGATGATAACATGAAAATATTGATAGAAGATACAAAATATAAATCATGAGGATAGTCACTTTTTGATTAAGGGATTGAAATTATTTCATTTATTAAGAATTCATCAGAAACCCGAGCTATACGAAGACAAATTGGTTGCAGAACTGTTTGTAAGTTTACTTAGGTGAATCCTTTTATAAAACCAACAATATGAAGCTATACACGTATCGCAATTCTAGTACCTAGTTTAATAATGTCTGAAAAATTAGAGTTTCTTTACGTCACGGCAAAAGATCTTAAAGACATCTCGTGACTACTGTTGGATGTCAACATTTCTGCAGCCAACTTTTCCACTCGGGATAAGTTTATCGGAATCATAAATTTTTTATGCAATTGGGGTTGACACTAAGGATGAAATTTGCTAATCAAAGCTGGATATTTTTCAAAAAAAAAATATGAAAGTCAAGCTAAGACTTTATGTTCCTATCAATTAAAGCAAAGACGTCCATAATTTTAATTATTTATTTCATTCTAAAAAAAAATCATCAATTTAATGACCAAGATATGGAATTTACTTCCAGTTGACGACATCACAGAAAAGTTTTATAAAAATTCAATAGAAAATGTCTAGCAGCTGATTATCAAATTTCATCGTCAGAAAAACTCACAGCCCCAACCATGATATCAGGTATAAAATATGAACTTTTTATCGAAACTTTACAAGTATCTTTCCCTTGCATTTTAATCGAACTAATTGACATCAAAAACGCCCGTGAAAAATATATAACAATTTTTTTTAAGAATAGCAAAGGTCAACTTCCCGAAACGTCTCATATGAGGAAGTCATCGTGTATTTTCCTTTAAATTTGATGGGGTTGGTTCATAAATGACGTCAATGTTTTTGTAAAGGTATTGCAGAAGTGAAGTTTTTTGCTTCTGCTCTGAAGATCGTGACATGAAAATTGAAGATGAAGTTTGAGGAAAATTGAAATTTTAAAAATATGTATTCTTAAAGAAAAAGTTTGACTCCATATTCTTAGCCACATTAATTTGACGTCATTCAAGAACGATCTCCCAGAAATAAAAGTGAGATATTCTTTAGGGGTCGTTCACTTATGACGTCCATCAAAAAACCTGATTTTTAGACCCCCCTCCCCCCCTCTGTCACAAAAATTCTATGGAAAAAAAATTTCCATTGTTTGAACTGTCACAAAATCTTAGACCCCCCCCTAAATGTCGGACGTCATAAGTGAACGGTCCCTTATCCATTCTATATGATTTCATGTCGATCAAGAGAAACTGAGCTCAGAGACATACCTTTTCAACCATAATAATTATAGTAAATGATGTTTGTACATACGGCATTGGATTAACAAAAAAAAAACAAATTCTGTTTCTAATTTTTTTGCGGAAGAAAATGATTCACTCAGACACATGATGAAAATAAAATTATATTATAACTTTAAAAAAAGAAAGAAAAATGAAAAAAAAAACACAATTAAAGAAAAAAAATTTATTTTGTTTTGTGCAAAAAATAAATGAAGTAAAATAATAATAATGATGAAATGATAAACAATTCATTAAATTATCTCGCTGATAAGATGAAATAACATAAAAGAATATGTCGCAAAAAACCAACTACTTTAAAAAAAATACAAAAAAAGAGAAAAAAATCAATAAAAATTTGAAAAATTTAAATCTTGGCTTTTTGTGTTTGAAGTTCTATTTACAGGATAGACAACGGCTTATTGACATTTTAGGGTTTCTTTTGGTACGCAAGATTTCATTTCGTCTGTCTGCAACTAAGTTTTTTGTAGGTAAGTTCCAATAGACTCGAATTTTGGTTCAATAGATGTTGAGCTAGTTTATCAATTTGGTAGCTAGAATCCTTTGGGTATGTGCCTAATTCTAATGAATGTCTAGTCAGATTCTCGTTGTCACGTTAATGACGTCTACCACAGAATATTAAAGCAATAGATTTATGCTATTTTTGGATATGCACATGTGGGTGTTGAATAAAAATCCAAAAATTTCATGAATAATGATTATGTAGATTTATTTAAACACGTTATTTCTTATCATCCGTTCGGATCTTTAGTCAATATCAAAATGTATTTCACAGCAACTGTCACGTTTGAGAAATTTCCTGGGAACAATAAGGGACAGGGGCGTAGCCAGAAAATTTTTAAGGGGAGGGCCCATTTTCGAAAATTAAAAAACCGTTATTTTGTATCCTTAAATCTATATTCATTCTTCGTAAGTTTAAATATTTAATTCATTATTCATACATTAAATTTAATTTTTCGTGCTGAATTTGACATTTCTTTCATCACTTCCTCTACATCAACTGGTCCTTCTCTATAAATACTTAATAAAACAACTATCAGATTTTCGTAGGGGGGGGGGCCTATGCGGGCCCCCTATGCCCCCCCCCCCGGCTACGCCCCTGATAAGGGACCGTTCACTTTTGACGTCCAGGAAGGGAGGAGTCAGCAAGAAAAGAATAATAATAGAAATTCCTGGAATTCCATTGTTTTTTTTTTGGAAAAACGACTGTTAATATCGGACGTCATTTGTGAACGACCCCTAAGCAGTTAATGTAATTTCTATGTCATCAAAATTAATTTAATTATGCTAATAAAGTAATAAGAATTGCGTAGCTTATTTATTTGTTAATTAGCACGTACCTCAAACTATTAGCAGCTTACCAGAACTGCAAATAATTAAACTGGATGTTGACAATAAGTCGTTAAAAAAATACAATTTAAATGTGGGGCAGATAAGTTTTCACATTTCTTTAGAATTGCAATACCTCCATCTGAAATAAAAGCTACGGGAACTTTTTATGACTCGAAAGTAATTAAAACTGCAAACATTTGCATTTGCTGCACTTTTTAATCTGATACGTTCAATTCATGTTCGACAGACTTATCGAAAGTCTAGGGGTGTTTTAATATGCACGTTCGAAAAATTTAAATTTGAAAAACCGTTACAATTTTTTGTTATTTTATTCAAGTTTTTGATAGTTTTGAAAACAGATTTAGTTATATTATGCTTATTATCAAATGATAAAATAATATTTTCATCAAAAATTCATGAAAAAATTGCTTAATTTAAGTTTTTATTTTTTCCTATTTTTCGAAAATTTGGAACTGCAGGGTATGAAACTTCGAATTTTGCATCGCAGACAGACAAATAAGACATTTTTGCAAGTGTTGTTGGAAACTGTAACGGTCGAAACTCTTGAATTGTTCGTATGAGTTTTTAATAATAAATAATTTACTTTTATAAAAAATTCTTAATTAAACTTGGATATTTTGTCGTCACGTCTATTTTACATTTGTGAATTGTGATTAAAACTTGCACTGCTTATTGGTAATATGCTGATTATTTAAGTTTGTATTACAATATTATGATGTAATCAAAATTTAACGGTATTTTAGAAGCACCCTAGCATTTAAACAGGCAATAACACCAGCGTAGAGCTCAGCATCAAGCAAGATCATTTAAAAATGTGAACAATCCAACCAATAGTCGATCACAAATTAAAGTGTAGCCAAAACCACCCTTGATTCCTCATTCTTTTCTCATCATCTTTAAAAACCAGTTTCTAAAGCCACCCGAGGCAATTACCCTAGCAACAGTTTATATCAGATTGTGAAATACATCGATTTTCGTTTTCTGTGCTCCTGGTAGCCCAAAATTCCATGCTGTAAAAAATGTCATTGGATTAACAAATTCAGTACTTAAACTTTGAACAATCAACATTATCTAAAGAATTTTATTCATTAATTTATTAGCATTCACAATCACAAATCACTTAGTGACAATAATATTTTTTTGTCTTACTGATTTATCAACATCTTACTTATGCTGCCTAATTCTTATTGACTAGGAAAATATATTTTAGATGGCACCTTTTCGTTAACTTTATGAATTTGAAGAAGGTTCAATCTTAATTTTACTATTAACAGACAAGGAACATGCTCAGTGGTACTTAACTCAGGGGCCGTTCACTTATTACGGATTTTACTTATTTTTTCACCCCCCTCCCCCCTTGTTACAATATGTTACAACTCACAACCCCCCCTGAACGTTCATAATTTATTTTATTTTGATAATTTTTAATAAATCATTAAAAAGGATACTTCTTGACACCCCCCCCCCCCTATGTTACATTTTTTTACAATTTTTCAAAACCCCCCTCCCCCCTAAAATGCGAACGTAATAAGTGAACGGCCCCTCATCAATAATCATGATTCGGTACCAGTGAAATTGATCTTCGCATTTTAGAGGTTAAACCCGAATAGCACAAGTCGATTAATTGATCAAAAATCGGCACCAAGCTTGTTTGACTTTGGCATGGCACTGGATTTAAATCAAATCTATTCGATTTACCGACTTGTGCTATTGGGGAAATCTTAATCAACCAGGATTCTTGTTCACCAGGTACCAAACATTTCTATAAAACTACTAAATACTCAGGTCTCGTTCATTAATGATGTCCATCAACAATTTGAATTGTTTAACCTTCCTCTTTTCCTTAATAGTTTTAAATTAAATGTAACAAACACATTGGTACAATGATTAATAGAGGATCATCCTCAAAATTATACATCATTTATGAACGCTCACTTATGGATCTAAAAGACTAAGATCTAGATTTACATTTTAACGACAATTTACTCTTTTTTCCTAACTTCCTTCCAGTCATAAATTGTTAAAAGTTTCAGATCGGATATATTTTGAACTAAAGCACGCCAATTTTAAGGACATTTAAATCAACATAAAAAAGTTCTTATAGACCTAATAAAAATTTAAAGGTTCCTCTATCAAAATTGACAATTAACGTTATGCTCGAAAGCAGGTGTGTTCTAGTTCATTTCATTTAAACTACAAATATCCAATGTCAAAACCATGTGATTAATGTAATTAAATTATACATTTACGATTATTCATATCAAGGTTTCGACACTTTAACGATTGATCCCAAATTTATAGATACATTTCCATTAGCTTATTCTTTGAACAGATTGTAAATTATATCTTGCTTAACAAGCACAGAAAACGCGTAAAACAGATTAAAACAAACTATTAAAAAATCAAAAGTAGATGAAAAAGTGCCAATGTTTTGGTTTTTCACGCTTACTCGCTTGCAATATTTTCAAGGTCTTTTAAGCTTAATATAACGTATTTTCATGAACACAAGTGTTTATTTAAAGCTGAACTTTATGCATAATGATGTCAATTGAAATCAAAATCATCAGAGATTCATAATCATCGTGCATGACGCAAGATGGAATTTTTCAATAATACATAACGTCAAAAAGGAGGAGAGCTGCATTCAGGAACATAATCAGAGTGTCTACAAGCTGGAAAAGATGTTGAAGAAGCAATTTATTCTATGCTTTACACCTAATCACCAGGTTTTTCCTCAATGCAAATTTGAGATTAAAATTGAGAAAAACCTTTATTAATACAAAATTTTGATAGACATCATTTACGAATGATCCCTCATAACTAGTGGCAGTTTCAATAACAACACAGCACATTAAGCTATTCATTTACAGAAGCAATATTTTCTCAGATGCGCATCACTTATGCACCAACTTTGATTTCCATATCGATTAATACGAGATATTTCACCAACAATATCCAGTTCCTTACACTGTTCATTGCATCTCACTGTCGCTTCCATTTGACCTTTTGAAGGTAAAACATCAAATGATACAAGATAATCAGTCGTTGAACCATGCTTTGACTCTCGTGCTGATGAAATTTTATTGAGTTTCAATTTTGCACAGCTTTTGAGGTGCTGCATGTCTGTGTTGAGAACTTTTACAGCAAAGTTTGCAGCTTTCTCGACTGCTTTGGACTTGTGATCAGTCTCATTGAATGACGAACACCCACACCAGACATTACTAATACCAGCATCAAGGCACGATCGATTATGTGGAACTTCATTGAAGATACTTTGACATTCTTCACAGCTTTCAGAACTTAAATCTCCATTGTATTTACCATAAAGCTTCAGAATGTGCTTCATTGTCACATGTAAATCGAATGGACTAATAAGGCGATGCTCATTGACTTTTAAATTCTCAGCCAATTCAGGATAATCATTCCTAAATTTCTCAGGTAACCAGAAAAATAAGTAAGGCATCCGTTCCTCTAACCATCCAGTAAAGAATTTTCTAATTCCACCAAAACGCATTCCATGATCACTAAAGAACATCACAATTGTATTATTTAATGTTCCTTGTTCCTCTAATTGCTGTAGATAGAGCTTCATTTTTTGGTCATATTCTGATGGCATGCTGCGAATGAGATTAGTGAGTTTATGAGACAACAAATCGTAAATTAAACAGCATAATATTATTTTATGAAAGTGAGCACAGTTCCAAAGGAAGTCCAAATTCCAAAGGAAGTGCCGATATAATAAATAAATTAACAGGCATGAAGCTTGTCATAAATTATAACTTACCTTAAATCATCGTGACTAAAAGAGTTCGTCCAGAACAACCCGAAAAATGAGTCGTTCTGATATTTCTTCGAGAAGTCTACAGCATATCTGTATATAAAGTCAGCATAATGCTCATATCCTAGGCACATCGAGAGCCAAGGTTTCTCAAAAGATTTCTTTAAAAAATTCTCAGCAGCTAATCCAAATGGCCTAAAGTAGTAGTCAGTAGGCTGATTGATAAATCCCGTCTTGTAATAATTGAAAGTTGTCAATGACATTGAGTCTTCAGCATAAGCATTTGCATAATTTGCATCATTAAAGTCATTCCATAGGAATTTACATTTTTCAAGTTCACCAACATGTCTTGGATGGCATTTATGCTCGACATCACTTTCATTCAGTCCCGTTAATATTGCCATCAAATTTGGGAATGTATTGTAAGCCATTTTATTAAAAACTTTCATGTCATACCAGTTATTATCTTTAAGATATCTAAAAGTATTTGGCATTGATCTAATAAGATTCAATCTTGATATACTGTCAATTCCAATCAATAAAACATTCATCGAAGAGTTCTTGTTGTTTACCTTAAGTTTCTTATTTACACTCTCCTTTGACATGATGATCGCGTGTGCATTCATATATACATCAGATTGAATGCGCTTAATTACTCTGGCATTGTAGTAGCCTACGCATGACACTAAAATGAATTCGTCTTTGCGGTCAAGTGCGTGTCCTGAGACAAAATTTGTACATTTTGATAATGAATATTCATTGTCAGCTGTTTTATTAGATCCAGCTCGTGTAATTCGTTGGTAGCAGCACTAAACATTAATAAAAAACAAACAGGAAGTGATGATCATATTCAAACCCGAGTTGAGAAATATGGTGGTGTCTGTATGTCAATAGAATTTAGCTAGGGCATGTTTCTACGGCTACCTGGCATACCTAATCTAGTAACAGAAGAATTTTAATTTAATTTTGAACCTGACAAACTAGATAGCACTTAAAACTGGCCCTTTATTTGTGGATGATGTCTTCGTCTACAAGTCACTTTGACCTATGATTCCAAAAATATTTTCCGAAAAGCACAAGTCGGTTAATAGATCAGAAATCCGGCAAAAATCCGATGTGACTCTGGGATGCTGCTGGATTTAAATCGTAGCCAGGACCATGCTAGAATCATACCGGCTGGGCACAGGATTTCTGTTCGATTAACCGACTTGTGCTGTTCGGATCTTTTCCTTCGAAAATCTTCTGCTATGCTTCATTAAGACAGTTTGGACAGTCATGAAAAAAATCTTATTGACATAACAACACCACACCACTTCCTTCTATCAATTTGACAGCAATTACCGCTCGGGCAAGTAGATTACTCTTAATGAATAAAGACACAACTACTCACTTTTATTTCATTTTGATACCACGATAAATAGCTTGCTTTATGCTTCTCATTTATTATCAGTTTATCTCCATCAATTGAAGTCAACGGCATAAGACTGTGGCACTTTTTTGGGGGCAATGCTTTGTAGACACTCATCGCTTCCTTGGAAAATGGACTCAAATTTGGTATTTTGCAGTTTTCACTATCTAATAAGTAATCGCCGAGCAATACTGTAAGTAAGATAAGGATGATAGTGGGTTATCAGACGTTATTCAACACATGTCAGTTCTCGTGTTTCTATTTTCTATGTCAACATCAAAATTTAATATTTTACGAATCAGTCTTTGCAGCACAATCAATTGTGTGTATTATGTGGAATTAACTGTATTACTTTTTGCAAACTAATGACTGATTCTGGTGAAATTTATTCAAAACGTGATTTTTAAGCGGATATCAAAAAGACACGAAATTTATTCTTTTTTCACTTCCTTTGCAAGAACTATTAAAAATTAAGGTGTTGATGATTCTAGTTGTAGTTCATTTACTTAAATTTTGAAGAACTAATAGTGATCAAAGGAACTTGTAGATGACAAAATTACAGAAAAATATATAGCTTGAAAAAACAGATCTTGAGTTTAGGACTCGAACACAAGTTCTATGATTCATGAACTCTTCCTATTGATATGTCGGAATTTACTCTACTTTATGGCTTAATACAATGTATTATCAACGATCCTAGTCACTTGACTACATAAACCTTACTCTAGCACTGCTAGATTCGCCTAAATATGACTTGGTATCTCTGATTCCACTCTGTTCAGATCCTCAGCACTTTCTTTAACCATAAACTGTCAAGTACACTCTAATTATCACTGAACTCACCATCATTATCGAGATCCTCCAACTCCTTAACACCAATGAGCTCATTATTCACTTGAAATATTGCAAAAATTGAAAGCATCAAAATAGTCATCATAATAATTGTTATAAAGAGCTGTTGAAGCACAGTTCTTGCAGAACATTTTCTCCTCAGTCCCATCTTTGTAAACAGCTCATACGAAGCTGTTTTGTTTTCTATTAAATATGAACACACTCGTCTTATTCTTTTGTTACAAAATTTATTTTTAAATTTCATGCCATACTTTGTTGGCGTTCGGATTTTATATTTTATTTTATTTTTGAGCAGCACTACTGAGTGAGGAAGGTAATTTATCGCGAATTTTTCTTCCCATTTTCAGTTGGCGGCATTAATTGTTGGAACTAGCATTATTTCACCATCTTTAAATGTATTTATTCTTCAATAACACTTGCAACAAACAAAGCATCAATCATACTGTAAAATATTCATTAAAAATGATCACAAGACAATCGTACACACATTAGTTCCGAAAATATATCTGCCACTCAACATGCAATGTTTCTTCTTTCACGGCTCGACTCGTACTGCGGCTAATGATAATTTTTTTTTTATTTTTATTTTTTCATACAGTTCGAAGAGAAAGAGGCAGCAGTTTAAAGAGAAAAAAATAAGCAAAGAAATAGTTTGTGTAACGTATAATATTAAGGAGAGAATCGCAAGGAACGACTTAAATAAAATAGCAAAGCGATTCTCATGAGTAATGTACTGCATATATATTTAGACAGACTCTCATTCGCATTTTAATCAATGGCGAAAAATGAAAACAGAGAATTAAAGAAAAAAAAGCGCATAGCGTACATGGGTCAAGGACATCCCGAAAAACTATCTGTGCTGAAATATGTAAAGAATGTAGTCCGTTTTCTCGATATGTATACATATATGCTGGGTAAGCATCGAAAATATATATTTCGCAAATTTTATGTTCCATGTGATAGCATTGAGACAATCTGGCAACAGTAAAAGCCAATAATACATGTCAAGACATTATTTTTCGGCGAGAAAATCGATTTGTATTTTTAGGAAGCAAGTATGTCGACTTTTGTGAAAATTAATTTTCCTTTTATTAATTAAACTCATCATCCATTCATTGTCGATGTCAGGACGTTCATTTAAATTTAGAAAGGAGCTGACATAAAGTCATAAAGTATTCAATTGTTTGTACAGAGAACGTCAATTTATATGATTAATTAAAGTTATTTACATGCTGTATAGTTGATCATCAAACACCATGATCCAATCAATATTTATGTGGACAGAATTCATTTTCTGATATTAAGGCACGATGGAAAATTAATTGGGGATTATTTGGATATTACGTAGCACTTAAAACTGTTCATTTTAGGTTGTTATCTACTTTTTGGAACGAAATCTACTGTTTATTAGCTGAATTGGATTGATAAGCTAGCAAGTTGTTCTCAACCACGTGCCATGATGCACTATTCCCGTTTAGTGACTAAACTTCTCTTCCTAAAAGTTTAAGTGCCAATTCCTGAGTCAACTAAATATATAATCATGTTCCTAGATCATTTAAGGGTTTCATGTCACTCAGGTTGTTCTCCACCACTTCCAAACAATCCCCAGAAGCCAACTTAATCCATTTCATTTGCCCTTCCATTTCATCTACGATATCTGATAGCTTGCTTTATTTACATTTCATTTTACCACTATGGAAGTGCTTATGAGGGAGTGTCTGAAAGCTTCTTGCAAAGAAAAAATAATAATAGCGATAGAGTGACAGGAAAATGTCTTGGATCAATAAAATCAATGCTGAAGAATCAATGAATTTAGTTGTAAATCTTTGATGGCTGGGATATGAACTCATTTTCCTGGAAATTTAAGTTGGTTCAAAGAGTGTGAAATGAATTATGACTTTTATAGACCTCAAAAAAATTATTTTTCGCGTACGAGGTTTAATAAAATGAAGCCGTAAAATTTATTGTACCTTCAATTTCGGAAAATATTCACATTTCACAAACTTAATTAAAAACTTCGTCATGGAACAGTTTTGAGAATTAAAGTCAACAGCTAGCAATTTTGTACAATGTTACTCAAATGTCTGAAATTTGTTGTGTCTGCTATTCGAAATTTTATTTTATCTAAAATAGTATTATGTTGCCATATGAATCAACATCCAGCTACATCATCATTTTTACTTAATACCTCACACTTATTTTGGAGTGTTCGCATGATTTTTTTTTTCCTACGAAATTGATATCGACATGAAGAAGAGCTTCAAATAATTCCAATGTAAACAGATGGAACAAAAGTCTATATCCAATAAAACTCAATAATTTTGAAGTTATTCTAAACAAATTCCATTGTTTATTTCAGTCTGAATATTTGGATGCCTGATTAAGACGAAATTATAAACTTCTAAATCCAAATGCCTGCATAATGCTTCATTCAACTGATCTAGAGCTGCATATGTGACTTTGGTATTGAAAAGTAATATATTGACAAGGTAATTGTGACTTGGTTAAGCTCAACTGCAGATTTAAATCGATTGTAACACTTTGTTACGCATAAGTGAATAACGCATTACATTCAGGTTTATAATCATGTGTGAGAGAAGTACAAATGGATAATGTCGAATGGACATCTGAAACTTTACCAGTTTCTGACACTGACTTAGGGGCCGTTAACTTATGACGTCCGAAATTAACGGTCATTTTTCAAAAAATGGATTTCCTGGAATTTCTATTGTTCTTTTCTTGCTGACCCCCCCCCCCCCCCCCCCTGAACGTCATAAGTGAACGGCCCCTTACTTATCTTTAATAAATACTCGAGATTAAGATTCTAAAGTCAAAAGCTGTGGAACACAAGCATTAATGTAGCTCAAGTTCATGGTCAGGGATGTATTGAGGCTGTATAGTTGTGAGTTGAAAATCTCCTGTCCACTTAATATTCTTTACTTCCTTTAAATCACAAATCTTCCATTCACCAACCTTACCATTTTTAAATCCCAAATGATATCAAAAATAAACTGTCATTAAAGCTTATCTAGCCTAATGAGTATGAATGTTCATTTATTTTACATAAATTGTTTTCATGCTAATTACCCACTGGATGTACTGTTTAAATTATTTAATAATTCCACGATTATTCTAAAGAGGAGGAAAAAAAACATTTGTTTTACATCCATAAACACAGAAAAAAAAGCAATAAGTTCATGATTTTCATGCTTCATAGGAGCTAAAAATGAGTAAATATTTCAAAAATTTTTATACAATGCTGAAATAGCTTCAAAAATCATTCGATTTGAATTATTTTATTTAAGAAAGAAATTTTGCAAATTCAATTCAGTTTGTCAATTAAGATAGTCCGAAGAAATACAATAATTGAACTCGTGACTGTATTTTTTCAGTTAGAAAACATTGATTTTAATTGAAGAATCAATTTGTGGAATTGATAACATGAAAAAAGTGTAGAAAAACTTATAAATAAAAATAAATTTTAAATTGAAAGAAGACGATTGGAATTTCCAGAGGTTCTACGAGTAACTTATTCAGTTTGTAGAACATTAATGAATATTACAAAGATTTAATGGCTATCATTAAAATTTGTTTGTGCCTAGAGTTGGGTGACTGGATAGTCCTCAGAAGCTTTAAAACTGAAAATTCTAGAAATTAGAAACTTAAAAAATTGAGAAAATCTAAATTAGACTATTACAGCATCTACGTCTAGCAAGAATGAGCTAAACAAAACGAAGATACACACTCAGTTGATGGTAAAATGAAAATAAAAAGAACTGATAAAAATAAATGATGATGAGATACACCTGTGAAGCTAAATATCTGTTGAAAGATTGGATCATTCACTCTTTATGAATAGATTTGGAAATGAGGGAGTCGAAAAATTGGTAACAGAACGAACTTGATAAGAAGTTTAAACTTAATTTTGAATCAAACCTCTAAACAGAGTTGTGATATCTTTGAGAACCGTACAATTCCTTGATAATTTATAAGGTTTTTCTAAAAAAACATACAAATTCTAATTAAACCTCTCAAATTATCAATGAAATGTATGGTTCTCACCTGTGCATAGGTGTCTGTATTGCAACCCTGCCTTAAACTCATCAGCATCTAAACCATAACTTCGTATGTTAAACTGATAAATCACGTTTGATCAGTTCATCACCTTTCAGAGTAGTCCTAGCTTGGTTTGGCTTGGATTAACTTCACTTTAGCTACACAACTGATGCTTATTATATTAAATGTAGAAATTCTTCATTATGTAAGCAATCTCAAAAAGTATGTACCCGTATGCACATTATAGACATCAATGCATCTAAAAATGAGCCAACAATAGTTGCAAAATCATCAATAATTTCTCCACAGTTCGTGAGAAGTGACTTGAAATATGAATTATTCTACAAAAGCTTTAGCTTTGTCATCATTAATATTTCATTACTTTGCTTTAATCTGAAAAGTTTTAAATTACATCTACAATATTTGCATTAATTCCCTTCCTTATCGTTAGAATTGCATGCTTGAATACTTCCCCAGAAGTGGTGTCTACTGTAAAAAAATAATAATAATAGAAAGGAATTTAAAATAACATTAGTAATAGCCGGCAAAACGTTAAGCACGCAAATAAAACAAATCACCACATTTGACATAAAGAGGTCAGGTTTCTTACTTCCTACAATGTTACTGACCCTCGACAACATTTGACTACAATTTTCCATTTTTTTATTCGTTGCCGTGGTGACATTTCAATGCCAAAACATAAAAAAAAGTTCCTTACTTCCTCAGCTTTTCAACTTTTCATAGCTCTACAAATAATGTCAATTTTACAAGTTTTAATAATTTTGTTTTTTGTCAGCTACGTGTCATCACAATCAGCACAGGATGATAAACCATTTTTGAGGATTGTAGCACCAAAATTTATTTGTGATGATCCATCAAAGGCAAAATCAAATGACACAGACTCGAAAAATAAACTTAATATTGGACTTCAAACCAGAGAGGGACAAAGACTTAAGTACAAAATTGCTATAGACTTTACATTGCTGGATGGATTTAAGAATCAAAGACATACATTGAGTATTTGGAAGAATGTTCGAGAGCTACAAGCTAAATTTGCTGTCAAAAATGTTTCAGATGAAATTTCACTAAGGAATCAAATTGAAATTGATGCATTGGAAGTAAGTGAAAGTTTCTTAACTATGACTTCATTTCATCAAATTTCCTTCACATCCACAAAATATTTTGTTAATTTTAAAACATTCCAGCTTACACCACAGGTTATATATACATTCAAAGTGATTGGATATGATGAAAATAATCGTACGAGTGACGAGCAGAATTTTACAATAACATACAAAGGCGAGAAGCTTCAAGCTGTTCATTCAAATGTGAGCATTTTAAATAAATTACAATTAAACAAATTCTTAAACTTTTTATGTCAATAGGTCGGTGATGGCGTGTCTCTTCTGCTCTTTGGGCCCGAATCTTTCTATAACGATTTAGAGTTTCTAGCCGTTGCAGATGTTTTGTTTTGTGACCCAATTAATGATTTTTATTATCAATGGAAAATCGATGGCATGCCTGAGTTATTTAATGATGATTATTTGAGTGTAAGGAGCAGCTCGCTGAAATTGCCACCCGGCCTTTTTGATGGAAATAAATTATATGAAGTTGTCGTGACTATCTTCAATAATAAGTCTGAGGCACTGGCTAGCGTGAGTTATTTTATAGTGTTTTTCGTAAGGGTTTATTCCCGTATGACGTCTAATATTCGCAATTTCCACTTCCATTTCCTTAAAATCCTTCAAATCAACATTAACTCTTAGGGGCTGTTCACTTATTACGTAACGCGAAAAAATTACTTCTTAGACCCCCCCCCCCCCCCCTCTCGTAACAAAATTTGTATGAAAAAAAAATTTCCTTGTTTGAATCGTAACAAAATCTTAGACCCCCCCCCCTCCCCCTAAAAGCGTTACGTAATAAGTGAATGGCCCCTTACTTCCTTATTCTTCAGCTCTCACTTCCGATAAAAGTACTTTCAAGGGAAATCAACACTCAAAATGTTCCAGCAGATTGCAGTGTAGGAATTAATAAGGAAGTTCCATTCGTAACTGCACTCTACCGCAATCCAGTCAATGAAAACATTAATGTCAAATGGACATGCACAATTGATGAAAAGGAATGTCCAAATGTGTTTACAAATTTATCGGAATCGCTTCAAGTGTCTGCAGTATTTCCGAATGAAGGAATTTATGTCCTTAATGCAGATGTAAGCGTGACAGGATCTTCAAAATCATCTAATACACGAGTATTGGCAGATCAGAAAGTAATTCCGCATGTTATGATAAAATACTTTCCACAGCAGCCAGTTAGTGCAGTTGAACCTAATGTGATTGTTGCTACAATCTTGGATTTAGTTCCTAAATGTGTTGCTTACTGGAATATCGTAACTGATGATGAAAAATATGCAAAGCCGAAGAATGAGAGCTTGACGAATATTGGGCTGGTTTCAATTAAGGACTATGAGGAACACTTCCTTCAGGAACTTGTTGACTATGACAACAATACACTGTCAAAAGACACGACTTTAGAAATTCCTGCTGATGCTTTATTCGCAGATTCAATGTATAAATTTCGTCTTAATGTAATCTGCCAGGAACCTATAACAGAAATGATGGCACCAACTGATCGTCAGAATATAACAACTTACTATGAAATAGTCTTTGAGACTAATGGCCCTCCAGTAGCATTACCACTTCTAATTTTGCCGTTAATTGGAACTCCAATGAAAGATTTATTTACATTCAAGACAGGCGCGGCAAAGGAACGACAATCTGACTATCCATTGAAATATTCATTCGGGTATCAAGTAGACAATTTGATAATTAATATTGGGACATTTTATGAGTTTCAAGTCGCACGCACCCAACTGCCATATTCAAATGAGATCCGAACATTCTTGCAAGTCACTGACAACAACAATGCTACTGTTCATGCTAAAGGACCGACACTAAGGGCTAATAAAGATTATAAATTCACAAAAAAGGAAATAGACTTTAAATTATCGGAAGTCCAAGGAACTCTAAAGAGATCAGAATACAGTAAGACATTAAATTCAGCAACTGTTCTTATTCTTACTCAAAGGAAGTACGCGTCAGAAGAGGATGCAAAGAATTATGAGCAGCAAGTTTATGAAATGCTTAAAACTGAACTTGATGATTTAAAATCATCGAAATCCTCAACGTTTGTTCATCAACAGAATGTCATTGAATTTGTGAAAATGTCAAAGAATCTCCTAAGCATAATGACTGTATTTGATGATAGTTTTGTAGAAGACATCCTCAGCTTAACGGAAGCACAAAGTCGACGAGCAAAGCGATTGATTCTGTCAAATTCTTTGAGGAACAAAAATATTATGGCACATGACACAGATTACATCCAAAATGTGCTCAGTCTTTCGGATATGCTTGTATCATCATCAAATCCAGAGACAGTTCAACGTGAGAAAAGGAAGTATGTTGAAAAAATTCATCTTTTTATTATGTCGCTGTGTCAGGATCAATACTTAAATTCTCATACTATAAGTAAGTTAATAACTGTCAGCCTCTTCTGTGCCTTAATATTTGAAATTTTATATTTTTAGAATCAAAGTTTGCAGCATTTGAAGTGTCCAAAATATACTCAAGACAGCTCTATATTAAACCACAAAAATTTCCAAATGATACAGCCACAGCAATCTATTCATCTAATCCAAACTTTCCATCAAAGTTTGTCTGCATCGGAAAGATAAGATTCATAATTGACATGTTCAATGTCTCATCCAAGGACAATTCAGAAAGCATTGTGTATGAAACGAGAATCATCGATGATGACGGCAGTGGAAAGAAGATTCCAGTTCAAAGCGAAATTGTATCTGATTATGTTGTTATGGAAATGCCATTTAAAAATGGAAATGCTAATGAGGTAAGAAATAGCAAAAGTTCATGATAAATTTAAAAATAAATCTATAAACTATTCATAGCAAACGTGCTTCACATGGTCGGATAATCAATGGAGCTCTAACGAATGTGAGCAACAGGTGGTCAATCAATCAAGAATTATTTGTAGATGTAAGACATTGAGTGACTCTGCAATCATTAAATATCAAAAAGGCTTAGTGACTAAACCCACGACTCCTACAAAGGTCACCACAGCATTCACCTTTTCACCTATAAGAACTGAACCAACAAGTAGCAAGACAACAGGAAATCCAACAACTATTGAGTCATTTGGTAAAGGAACTACATCAAGTGTTTTCATTGATTCAACAACTGTTAAATCCACTGATGAAAGTTCAAAGGCTTCAACGACTGTTAAATTCACTGATGAAAGTTTAAAAGCTACTACAGCACAAAGTGCAATCATGACACAAACAGAATCACAAACTGTTACAACCACTTTTGAGAGTCCTACAGCAACTTTAACAACTGAGCAGATAACAAAGAAAATTGAAACAATTGGAACTACGCTAAAGTCAACCAATACTGAAGACAATACTGATAATCCAAATGAAGTTACAGCTACAATTATTCCAGACATTCCAAAAACAACATCAAATGTTGATATTCCAGTTACAACACCAAAAGCTGACATCCCAGAGATAACTTCTACTCAATTTAGCTCTAAATCTCCACTTTCTACTGAAAGTTTAAAGCCTGAAAGCTCATCATCAACAGAAAATAATCAAGTGACTACAAAAGGATATATAAGCACAACTGGAAGTTTCATCAGCACATCTATAAGCACCCAGGCAACAGAAAACAGTAAAACTTCATCAGCTATGCATTCAACAAGTATCCAATCAACAGCACTTGAAACCGATAAGTTCATTTCTACAAAACAAATGGAAGCAAGTACAAAGTCAACAGCAACAGAAAGTACAAAACAAATGACAGTAAATAATCAAAAGGACGTGATTTCTGAGAAGCCAACGACTTTAACAAAGCAATCGACAGGTAAATCGAAGCATGAAACGACTTCTGTAACTGCAATTGTGACAAAGGAAAGTCAAGGAAATACTAATGATACTTCTGCGAAGCTTGAAGAAGGTATGTTTTGTGACAATAGAGATCCTTTAATTTGAATTTCTATGGATTTATATTTCTAGCAAACATTGGACTCAATAGTTGGTTTGTATTATTGATGCTGGGATTATTCTTTGCCATTGTGATTATCCTCATACTCATCCATCGATGTCGAAGATTTGCTGAGACATACATCAACTTACCAATGGTACCTAAGGATTATTTGTGGGGCCGTTCACTTATTACGTTACGCAAAAAAACGACTTTTTTCATCCCCCTCCCCCCCTTGTTACAACTCACAACCCCCCCCCCCCCCCCCCCCCCCTGAACGTTCATAATTTATTTTATTTTGATAATTTTTTATTCTAAAAAGACGGTTAAATTTCTTTTGTATTTTTTTTCTTAAACATCAAAATACTGTACAGCAAAAACTATGTATTGCTTAGCTATCAAAAGAGATCTGGACATTTGTAAATCAATTAAAAAGGTGGAAAATTTAAAAAAAAATGTTTTTGGTGTGAATTTGTAAACAAATATTTTTCGTGAACTTTTTTTAAAAGACAGACGATAGTTTGAACGTTACATACTTCTTGACACCCCCCCCCCCCTATGTTACATTTGGTTACAATTTTTCAACACCCCCCCCCCCCCCCCCTCCCCCTAAAATGCGAACGTAATAAGAGAACGGGTTGATTTCAAAGTAAAATGCCATAACATTTTTTAATCTACACAGAGACAACCTTCAGACAGCATAAAGTATGCCAAGTATCATGATGAGTTTATACTGAGAGGATAAAATGGAGCAACTTAGCATTATTGTTTACTCATCCTCATCCTACATACAACAAATGCATTCAGCATGTTGAAACTCACGTGATTCTAACATATTAAGGATCATGATTTAACTCATGACTGGAAGTTAATTGAATGCAATTTTTAAAACTACAAAAAGAGAGTGTGTAACACAATGTGATATTAATTAACTTTTTTAATGGCAAATAAAGTTGATATTTTGTTCTTAGTGACCTTTAACAGCTAATACATGTTCCTTACAAAGTTAATTTTAAATCCTTTTCCCACGCAATTCCACAATTTATTACAAAAACATTTAATTACTCTTCACACTTTTAGTTTGTACAATAGTAAGGTATAAGGAAGTTCATGAAAAATTCATTTTGTACTTTTTGACAGGTCAGTAATGATGTGATGAAAAGTAAATACGAATGGATTTGTTTTTACTTGAATATTTGGAATTAATAACATTTCGTGACATAATTGGCAAATAAAATTTTGAGGAGCTTTTTAGGACGCAGTAAGGAGCTGGATTTACATATTCTTTTGAGGATTGCTGATAATGAACTACAGCGAGCCCTTAAACATACCTTTTGAACTTAATTGTATCAGCATTTTGACAAAGCTTTCGATTGCAATAGATTCATAAAAGAACCAACTCCGTTCCCTTCCTAAAGTCTAAATACGCATCTGAAACTTGTTATTTATGAATATTCAAGCATACAAGACTATGCCTGATTTACTCTACAACAGTTCATTCCAAAAGCGACTCACATTGCATCCACAACTTGTCGCACTCTATTTGATCATCCTAACAAGCATCAAGTTGAATTGCAAACGCAACCTACAGTCTAACGTGATATGTCCATAGAAATGGTTTTGTTATTTCACATCATCCTGTTCTGCCTTAAAATTCAAGTCACAATAGCACGAAGGATTAATTTTGCCGTTCCAACATATGGCAATGCATTGACAGCTGGAGTAACGGAAATAATTGGCAACTTTTATGTGAGAGACACGAATACTGTAAATATTTATCAGGCAGCACAAAATGAGAAAGGAATGAAGAGGCATGAGGATATGATTAATGAAATTTTGTACCACATGATTGGAATGGACATTTCTGTTCGAATTGAGGACAAGAATCGTTTAGAGTCAGGAAAAAAGAAGCGTGTGCACAACATTGTATTTATTGACTCGTACGAGTCGTTCCTCAATTTCTTTGAAAGTCTCTCGACAGATATTTTTGAGTATCAAGGATACTATCTCATTGTACTGACTACATACACGTACGAGCAATATACCATCATGACAGATATATTCAAATTTTTGTGGAACCAATATGTTATAAACGTAAATATCATTTGGAAGACAGCACAGAATAATAATGAAGCCTTCATGTACACATACTTCCCATTTACAAACTTCTATTGCGGCAAGTCATATCCTGTGCAATTAAATCAATATTCCTTTGGGAGATGGCTGAACAATCGCTCGCTGATTTTCCCAAATAAAATGCTTAATCTTCATGAATGTCCATTGACAGCTGCTATCGTACAGACTGGTCCTTTTATGAAACTGATCAATAAAGCTGATGGGACATTTCAACTAGATGGAATTGATGGAACTGTGCTTCGTGTAATTTCGGAATTAATGAACTTTACATTGAGGATTGTTACTAGCTCTGAGCAAGGTGGATTTTTTAAAAATGGAACTGCTACTGGTAAAGTGTTATGAATATCTGCCTTAATTGTACTACAAGAAAAGGGTTGATTCTAACCTCAACAGCACCTTCTGTATCTCAATTTTTTGATCTTTTAAATTTATTGTGTTTTAGGAGCTGGAAAGCTTGTTGCAAGCGGTATTGCAAACCTCTCGATTGGATATTTTTCAATGACGGCTGAGAGAAATAATTTTATGAAGCCTTCATACATTTACTACACATCTAATCTCATCTGGATTGTGAGTTAATTGAATTTTTTTAGGGCTGTAAACTTTTAAATTTAAATCCATTCTTTGCAGGTTCCAAATGGTCGTCTTTTCAGTTCCTTTGAAAAACTAGCCAAGCCATTCTCATTTATCACGTGGTTTTGTGTCCTAATTATATTAATTAGTAGTTTTGCTGTTGTATTCCTTCTTAATCTTCGACCTACTTCCTTAAGAAATTTCGTATATGGGAGAAATATCAAGACACCTTGCCTTAATGTTGCTAATATCTTCTTTGGTGGATCGTTGCACACAATTCCAGCTAGAAACTTTGCAAGGACACTCATTGGAATGTTCATGCTATACAGTTTAGTGATTAGAAGCTCTTATCAAGGTGCTCTATTCAATTTCATGAAAGGAGACTTTCGAGAGGAACCAGTCAATGATTTAAAGACAATGATTGATCAGGATTTTACATTTTATGTTGTAGAATCTTCAGTTGATAATGTTAAGAATCTTCCAGAAGTTATGAAGAGGTAAGGGCTTGATGTAGCTGTAATTAGGTTATATATACACTTCCGAGGAAGTTGTTCCTTATAATTGCCTTATTTCCACATATTTTTCTATACAGTCTTAAAGTCATTAACCGATCTGAACTGTCCCCACTGCAAAGAAAGCTGGCACATCCAGATTTTTCAAAAGGAGCTCTACTAAGCTCAGAAGAGCATGTGGCATGGTTGAATTCTATTCTTACACCATATTCATTCCTTAATTATGCAAAAGAAGTGGTTTCAGGATTCAATCTTTGCATATACACACATATCCAAAGCTGCTTAACACAACAAATCAACAGGAACTTGATGAACGTCTTTAATAGTGGCCTGATTAACTCATGGGCAAAGCTGTTTGTTGATCGATCATTTCTAATTAGGAAAATCGATCACTATCCACGAAAATTGGATTTAGAGAAAATGTCTGGAGCTTTTGAGGTGCTGATTATTGGACTTTCAATTAGCTTCTTGCTGTTTATTTTTGAGATAATTTATGGAACATCAATGGGTTTGTATCGAAAACGGAAGTAATATTTGAAAAGAAAAATTTAAATACTTAAAAGAACCATAGAACCAGTAGAACCAGCCTTTGCATTAAAGAATAAATCACAAAACCAGAGCAATTAAAACTCAATTAGTTTTTTGATTATTTTAATCACTATGATGAATTTAAAGTCAATAATTTGCATGACAAAGCTTCAATTAAAAGAGGTGGCATTTTTTTCATGCTATCTGCGCACGTGATTAAAAAGTAGACATGACAAATGATGCATGGATTCTTAGAAACAATTGGAAAAAGTATAATTAAAATCAAGGGAAAGCTATCCTTGATACTATTGGATCATATGGACGAGAAGCTCCCGAAAGCTCAATTCAAGAAACATGCCCGATATTTTGTCATGGTTGATCAATAAATCCCTACGATAAAGAATGAAAAAGTACCAAAATATCTGCGAATAATTCTATCACACCTTGTTAATAAGCTTACTAATGCATTCCAAATTACATGTTACGCAACACGGGATCATGTCACATAATAATTTACAAAGCATTAACTGATATAGTCAGTCTTAAGCTAGATTTACTGTAATAAAGTTTTAAAGCTCAAATAAGAATCAATGCTGAAATTTCTGTGCTTTACTCTCCTTATAAGCACAGCATCCTGTGATGTGGATGATTTTGTGTTACCAAAGTACAGTACAGCAATGTCACGAGCTGTTATTGACTATATTGTAAATTATTTCTATGATAAATCATCAACTGTTACCATGTATCATATCTCACAGCCTGAAAATATAAATAAAAATTTGGATATGATGAATGAGATCCTTTATCATGTCAAGACGAAAATTGTCATACAAGTTGACAGTTTAATGGATGTAAAGCTATCAACAAGGAAGAGAATCAGCAATATTATTTTCGTAGATTCATTTGAATCTTTTAAAATAATCCACGAGAAAATGGATTATAATCATTTTGAGTTCCAAGGATATTACTTGATAGTTGTGACATCGCATGTTTATGATATCTATTTGAAAATGATGAGAATATTTGAAGCTTTGTGGACGAACAAGATTATAAATGCAAATATCTTGTTTATGCCACAGGAAAACACAAATGATGCAATTCTGTTCACTTACTTTCCGTACTCAAATTATTACTGTGAAAATGTTGTTCCTATTCAACTGAATCACTTTCGTGGAGATTCTTGGATGAGGAAAATTAATTATTTTCCAAGAAAATTGTCAAACTTTTTTGGATGTCACTTGCGCGTTGCTACATTCAATAATCCACCATTTATGATAATCAAAGAAGATGAAAATGGAGTTATTACAGTTGATGGTGTTGAAGGTATACTTCTACGAGTCTTATCGCAGCGATTCAATTTTAATGTCGATTTATACTTGCCACAAACATTATGGGGATCAATCTATAAGAATGGAACATCCACTGGTGCGGTTAAGATGATTGTTGATTCGGAAGTAAATTTTACTTTAGGATTTTTTGCTTCAATACCAATACGAGATGCTGTCATGCAACCAACTTCTGTTTATTATACCACAAATCTTGTCTGGATGGTTCCACCTGGAAAACCTCAGATTGCTCTGGAAAAATTGACTAATCCCCTTCACAAAGTTGTTTGGATCATGTCATCAGCAACATTTATAATTGGATTTGTAGTCATTGTTGTGGTTAAAATGCAGCCTTTAATCATCCAGCAGTTTGTGTTTGGCAATAAGACTCAAAGTCCAGCAATGAATTTTATCAGTGTTGTATTGGGTAACTCACTTCATCAAGTTCCAATGAGGAACTTTTCAAGATTCTTACTTGTATCTGCAATGATTTACTTCTTTATCATTAGAACCTGCTACATTAGTGGTTTGGTGAAGTTCATGCAGATGGATACAAGAGGTCAGCACTTAATGAACACAGCTGAAATGGTCAGAGATAACTTTACATTTTATATTATGGGTGCATCTCGTGATTACGTCCTGGAAATGCCAGAAATTTTAGAAAGAGAAAAGACGCTCCTAGTTCACGAATTTAATTCAAAGTTGCTGGACATGATTGTTGATCCTTATTATGACGGAGCATTTCTCACATCCATTGATCACTTAGCTTATCGTAATTTTAAAGTATATCCAAAAATGTTTCACGAATTTGCACCAACACCTGTTTTTACACTTAATATTGTAATTTATATGAACTTGGGGTCGTGCTTAAGACTTTATTTTGATGAGATGTTAATGATGTTAGTCAGTAGTGGATTGATCAATAAGTGGGCATCAGGATTCATTGACAGCAGATATCTCAAAAAACCTGTTGATGATGAATTGAAAATCTTGAGTTTAGATCAGTTGGAAGGAGCTTTTCAGCTACTTGTCGGTGGATTATTTATAGGATTTGTTGCATTTTGTTTTGAAAACTTGATTGGAAGGAATCTCTTCAATAAGTTTAAAAGTGTGGTAGCTAAGGAGCTTAGTAATTGTTAACAAACAAGATCTATTAAGCTAGACGTAAAAGATTCCTAATGCATTTTTAATTATATGCTTCAACATATGATTTGTTATGGAATATTTTGCATATTCGTGATATTAAATAATTAAAAACTATGCATTAAAATGCTTAAACTTGCATCTACAAAGCTCAGTCTTTAGCATGATTTCCGAGATTAAAGTTTAAAAAAATTTAAAAAATATGATGAGATTTTTAATACTTGCACTATTAATAAGCACAGGGAATTGTGATTTATCAGATTTTTCTTCATCAAACTACAGTTCAGCAATGTCTCAAGCAGTTGTTGACTACATACTAAACTTCTATTGCAACACTTCATCAACACTCAATATTTATCACATCTCACAGTCGGAATACATGAATAATAATTTGGATGTAATGAATGAAATCCTTTATCATGTAAAGACGAAGATTGTTACACAAATTGACAGTTTAATGGATCTGAAAATATCAATTAAAAAGGAAGTCAGCAATTTAATTTTTGTAGATTCGTTAGAATCCTTTAAAATAATCACTGAGCAATTAGAGTACGATAATTTTGAGTACCAAGGATATTATTTGATACTGTTAACAAAATATTCAAATGATATTTACATGTGGATGCTGAAAATGTTTGAGGCTTTATGGTCTAAGAAAATTATTAATGTCAACATATTATTTATGCTACCAGAAAACACTAATGATGCCTATATGTTTACTTACTATCCTTACTCAAGATACTACTGTGAAGATGTTGTTCCTATTCAATTGAATCAATTCAAAGATAATCAATGGATGAAAAAAGTTGATTATTTCCCAAAAAAGTTAAGAAATTTCTTTGGATGTCACTTACATGTTGCTACATTCAATAATCCACCATTCATGATAGTTAAACAGGATCAAAATGGTGTCGTTACAGTTGATGGCGTTGATGGTATACTTCTTCGCGTCTTAGCACAACGATTAAACTTTAATGTTAATCTTCACATGCAAAATGAACTTTTTGGCTCAATTTTTAAGAATGGAACTACAACTGGAGCTATTAAGATGATTATAGACTCGGAAGTTAACTTCACATTGGGATTTTTTGCATCAATGCCTATGCGTGACGCTATCATGCAACCAAGTTTCGTCTACTTTACAACCAATCTACTCTGGATTGTCCCGCCTGGTAAACCAAGAAGTGCTTTAGAGAAATTGACAAATCCATTGAAATACATGGTTTGGGTCTTAACATCAATATTGATTGTAATTGGATTTATAGTCATAGCTTTAATTAAAATGCAGCCTCTCGTCGTGCAGAAATTCGTATTTGGCAATAAGACACAAAGTTCAGGAATGAACTATATTAATGTAATTTTGGGCAATTCACTTCATCAAGTTGCAACCAGGAATTTTTCAAGATTCATGTTTATAGTCGCTACAATTTGCTTCTTTATCATCAGAACATGTTATAGCAGTGGACTTGTGAAATTCATGCAAATGGACACAAGGGAACAACATATCACTAGAACTTCACAATTATTGGAACAAAATTTCACATTTTATATGAAAAAAACTGGCACTGGTCGAGATTATGTTTTAAACATGCCAGATGTCCTGCAAAGAGTGAAATTACTGTCAAATCCAGAGTTTGATTCAAAGTTAAAGGATGTAATGATCGATCCATCGTATAGAGGAGCATTTCTTACTACAACAGGTCACTTAGCTTACCGAAATCGGAATTTATATCCAAAAAAGTTTCACGAGTATGCACCAAAGCCTTTATATTCTCTTAACATTGTAATTTACATGAACTTGGGGTCATGCTTAACAGTTTACTTCAATGAAATGCTCATGGAATTCATTAGCAATGGATTAATTAACAAGTGGGCATCTGAATTCATTGACGAAAAATATCTGAAGAAGCTTGTTGAAGATGAACTTAAAAGTTTGACTTTGCAGCAGTTAGAAGGAGCATTTCAGCTACTGATCGGTGGTCTTGTAATGGGATCTTTTGTATTTTGTTTAGAAGTTCTTATAGGATTGGATGTAATACAAAAGATTAAGATGCGGAAAGGTATCAACAGCAAGTTATTCAAAAAGTCAAAGAAGCTTAAAATATTTAAAGTAAAATGAGCTTCTGAGGTGCATGCTTCAGAATTTTGTAACTTAATGAATCATAATTTTAAAAGCTTAGTCTTAATGCCTTACTAGTAATTAATATTGAATTACATGCTTTGACATGCAATGCCACATGAAAAATTAAAATTTGAATTGTATTAGTCAAATCAGGCTTTCTAAAGCTTAGTTGCCAATCAGATCCCTGTCAATAAAGTTCAACTTAGCTTAAAGAAGAAAAATGTTGAAATTCTCGTTCCTTATTCTTTTGATAAGCACAGCAACTTGTGAATTCTCAGATTTTCATCTACCAAATTACAGTTCAGCAATGTCACGAGCAGTTGTTGACTACATTATAAATTTTTATGATAAAACTTCATCAGCTGTAAATATGTATCATAACACACAGCCTGAAAACTTAAATGTAAATATGGATATAATGAATGAAATCTTGCATCATGTTAAAACTAAAATTGTCGTACAAGTTGATAGCTTAATGGACTTCAGACTATCCAATAGGAAGAGGATTAATAATATTTTTTTCGTTGATTCTTTTGAATCCTTTAAAATAATTTATGAGGAAATGAATTCTTCTCATTTTGAGTATCAAGGATATTATTTGATTGCTGTTACAGAGCATGGACGTGACATTTATAAAACAATGGCTGATATTTTCAGTGATTTATGGATTAAAAAGATAATCAATGTTAACATTTTGTTTATGCCACATGGAAACAATAATGAAGCTATGCTGTACACTTATTATCCATACACAAGATATTACTGTGAAAATACAGCACCAATTCAACTCAATCAATATCAAGGCAAAAACTGGATGAGAGAGGTTGATTATTTTCCTAGAAAATTGACAAACTTTCATGGATGTCATTTGAGCGTAGCTACATTCAAAAATCCACCATTTATGATAATTAAGCAGGATAAAAATGGTGTAATTACTGTCAATGGAATAGAAGGCATTCTTCTGCGTGAATTAGCTTACAGGTTGAACTTTAATGTCGACCTGTATGTGTTAAAGAAACTCTTTGGTGAAATTTTCAAGAACGGGTCAGCAACAGGTGCTATAAAGATGATTGTTAACTATGAAGTTAATCTGACATTAGGATTTTTTGCTTCAATGCCTCTACGTGATGCTTTTATGCAGCCAAGCTATGTCTACTTTACTACAAATCTCCTTTGGATGGTTCCTCCTGGAAAGCCACAAAGTGCTTTAGAAAAACTAGCAAATCCACTGAAATACATGGTGTGGACTTTGTCATCTATGACGATTTTAATTGGCTTCATTGTCATTGTTGTTGTTAAGAAACAGCCTCATGCTGTCCAAAAATTTGTGTTTGGCAATAAGTCACAAACTCCAAGTATAAATTTCATGAATTTAATTTTAGGCAATTCGATTCATCAAGTTCCGACAAGGAATTTCTCAAGATATTTGTTAATGCTTGCTACACTGTGCTTCTTTATTATCAGAACATGCTACAGCAGTGGATTAGTGAAATTCATGCAGATGGATACGAGAGAAAAACACATGATGTCAACTTCACAAATGATTGAAGAAAATTTTACATTTTATTTAAAAGAAGCAAGTCGTTTTTATGTTTTAAGTATGCCTGAAGTCCTGAAAAGAACAAAACTACTCAAATCTCAAGAATATGAATCAAAATTACATGCCATGATGAAAAATCCTTACTCGAATGCAGCATTTCTCACTACAACTGGTCATTTAGCATATCGGAATCAAAAAGTGTTTCCTAAGTTCTATGAGTTTGCACCAACGCCTTTATATAGCATAAATATTGTTATGTATATGAACTTAGGGTCATGCTTAGAAGCTTACTTTGGTGAAATGTTAATGAAGTTGATCAGCAGTGGATTAATCAATAAGTGGGCTACCGAATTCATTGACGAAAAATATCTGAAGAAACCTATTGATGATGTGCTGGAAAGTTTGAGCTTAGAGCAGTTGGAAGGAGCTTTTCAGTTACTGATTGGTGGATTATTAACTGCATTTATTGCATTTTGTTTTGAGAACCTAATTGGAAGAATTGACATCCGTACAGTTAAAAAGTTGTTCGGTTTCGATAGAAAGCTGTTCAGAAATCCAAAGACGCTTGAAGCATTAAAAGTTTAGTGAATCTTATACCCTTTGCTCTTTTAGATAAGCCTACGTGCTGAAAAATTGAATGCAATGAAATCTCAATTGACCATTAATGCACTGTAAATTATATGCTGAAACATGCAATACGAATGCATTAAAAACAGTTTTGTAATATTATAATTGAATCTGCGTGGCTCAGTATTCAATCTGATTTTCGACAATAAAGTCTTAATTTGCATTTAGTAAAATAATGTTGAAGCTTTTGTACCTCATGCTTTTTATAAGCACAGCAGCATGTGATTTGAATGAATTTAAATTAAAAACTCAAACCACGGCAATGACTAGAGCCGTTGTTGACTACATCTCAAATTTTTACTACAACACATCATCAACCGTCAACATGTATCAAATCTCACAGCCTGCAAACTTAAATAATATTTTTGATATGATTAACGAGATCCTGTTTCATGTCAATAATGAAATTGTTGTCCAAGTTGACAGTTTAATGGATCTGAAATTGTCATCAAGGAAGAGGATTAATAACATAATTTTCGTTGATTCCTTTGAATCCTTTAAAATACTTTATGACAGGATGAATTATGTACATTTTGAGTATCAAGGCTATTATTTGATTGTTTTAACAGAGCATGTAGGTGATATCTACTTGACAATGTTGAGAATATTTAAAGCTTTGTGGGCTAAAAAGATTATCAATGCTAATATCTTGTTTATGCTCCCAGAAAGCATTAATGATGCTAGTCTGTTCACTTACTACCCGTACTCAAAATATTATTGTGAAGCTGATGTTCCCATTCAATTGAATCATTATCGTGGATATAAATGGATAAGACAGATTGATTACTTTCCTAAAAAATTAACAAACTTTTATGGATGTCATTTACACGTTGCTGCATTCAGTAATCCACCGTTCATGATAATCAATGAGGATAAAAATGGAGTTGTTTCCGTTGATGGTGTTGAGGGCATTCTCCTGCGTGTCTTAGCACAGCGATTTCATTTTAATGTTGACTTATACACACCAAAGGAACTGTCAGGTGCAATTCTTAAGAACGGATCCACTACAGGTGCTATTAAAATGATTGTAGATTCAAAAGTTAATATGACTCTTGGATTTTTTGCATCAATGCCTATGCGTGATGCAATCATGCAACCAAGTTCTGTTTATTATACCACAAATCTTGTTTGGATGGTTCCTCCCGGAAAGCCACAGAGAGCTTTAGAAAAGCTGGCAAATCCATTGAAGTTTATAATCTGGATTTTGTCATCACTGACAATTTTTATTGGATTTGTAGTCATTGCTGCAATTAAATTTCAGCCCAAAGTCATCCAGAAGTTTGTGTTTGGTAATAAGACACAAAGTCCAGGCATGAATTTCGTCAATGTAGTATTGGGAAACTCACTTCATCAAGTTCCAATGAGAAATTTCTCAAGATTCTTATTGCTCCTTGCCACAATTTATTTCTTCATCATCAGAACCTGCTATAGTAGTGGACTTGTGAAGTTTATGCAAATGGATACGAGAGACCAGCACATGATGACAACTCCCCAAATGGTTGAAGAAAATTATACATTTTACATGAAGGAGACTGCAAAGGTTTACGTTTTGGATATGCCCGATGTATTGGAAAGAACGAAATTGATGTCATTTCCAGAATTTAACTCCAAATTGATGGATATGATCGATGATCCTTACTATAATGGAGCATTTCTTACAACGACTGGTCACTTAGCTTATCGCAACTTGAAATTGTATCCAAAGAGATTCCACGAGTATGCACCAAAGCCTTTATTTATTCTTAACATTGTTATTTATATGAACTTGGGGTCATGCTTAACAGATTACTTTAATGAAATGCTGTTTAAGTTAATAAGTAGTGGATTAATCAACAAGTGGGCGTCAGAATTCATTGACGAAAAGTATCTGAAAGAACCAGTTGATGACGAATTGAAAATTTTAAGTTTAGAACAGTTGGAAGGAGCTTTTGAATTGCTTGTTGGTGGCTTATTAATTGCATTTATTGTATTTTGTGGTGAAAATTTAATTGGACGAGATATCCTGAAGAAATTTCGAAAACCTAAAAGACGTGAATTTTTAAAACATTCGAAAAAGCTCAATCCTCTCAAAAGAAAAAGAACAGACTAGCTGCATACATTGTGTATTTCAAAAACCATTCAGTAAATTCATTGATTCTCGTGATTGCGATAATTTAGTTTGACAAGCTTAGGGGCTGTTCACTTATTACGTAACGCGAAAAAATGACTTCTCAGACCCCCCCCCCCCCCCCCCCCTCGTAACAAAATTTGTATGAAAAAAAAAATTTCCTTGTTTGAACCGTAACAAAATCTTAGACCCCCCCCCACTCCCCCTAAAAGCGTTACGTAATAAGTGAATGGCCCCATACTAATGCAGTACAACATGAATGACAACAAAATTACATTAAAAATTATGCTGCAATGTCGGAATTGAAGCTGTTTGGCTTATTTTTTCTCAGTATTTCACCAGATTTCTGACAATAAAGTAGCAATGCTGAAATCCCTAATTTTCATTATTTTAATAAGCATGGTATCTAGTGATCTGGGATACTTTGGATCACCAATATACAGCACACCATTATCAAGAGCTGTTATTGACTATATAGCAAATTTTTACTACAGTATTTCCACAACTGTCAACATGTTTTACATCTCATCCCTAGAAAATCTAAATAAGACCTTAGATGTGATGAATGAGATCCTTTATCATGTCAAGATGGATGCTGTTGTACATATTGACAACTTACCAGATTTTAAATTATCAGAATGGAAGAGAATCAGCAACATTATTTTTGTCGATTCCTTAGAATCTTTCCAATTAATCTATGAGCATATAGATCCTGTCCATTTTGAGTATCAAGGATGTTACTTGATAGTTGTGACAGTGCAAGTCAGTGAGATCTTCTTCATAACTTTGAAAATGTTTGAAGCTTTATGGACGAAGAAAATAACGAATTCAAACATCCTCTTCATGTCATCAGGAAGTGACAATGAAGCTAATATGTATACTTACTATCCATATTCAAACAACTATTGTGAAAGTGTTATTCCTATCCAGTTAAATAAATTCATTGGACATCACTGGATGAATAATATTGACTATTTCCCTAAAAAGTTGACAAACTTTTATGGATGTCCTTTGCGTATTGCTACATATTCTAATCCACCCTTCATGATTATCAACAACGTTAAAAATAGTTCAGTCTTAGTCAATGGCTTTGAAGGCTATCTCCTTCGTGTCTTGGCTCAACGTTTTAATTTCAAAATGGATTTGTTATATCCTAAAGAACCAGGTTCTATATTCAAGAATGGATCAACAACAGGCGCTATTAAAATGGTTTTAGATTCAAAAGTCAATTTTACGATAGGATTTTTTGCATCAACACCAGTTCGTGATGCAATCATGCAACCAAGCTATGTCTACTACACTACAAATCTCATCTGGATTATCCCGCCAGGAAAGCCACAAAGTGCTTTGAAGAAATTGACAAATCCATTAAAATACTATGTGTGGGTAATGACATTACTGTCAATTGTTATTGGATTCATTGTGATTGCTTTGGTTAAGATGCAGCCTAGAAGCATTCAAAGATTCATATTTGGAAAGAAGACACAAAGTCCAGGCTTGAATTTATTAAACATTATTTTAGGAAACTCTGTTCGTCAAGTTCCAATGAGAAACTTTTCAAGATCCTTATTTCTTCTCGCCTCGATTTATTTCTTCTTAATCAGAACTAGCTATAACAGTGGACTTGTTAAGTTCATCCAAATGGATACAAGGGAAAAGCACATGATGACAACTCCTCAAATGATAAAAGAAAACTTTAAATTTTATGTAAAAAATACTTCACAGCATTACATTCAGCATATGCCAGAAATTTTAAATCGATCCATATTGTTGCCACTTCCAGAATTCAATTTGAAATTGCGTGATGTAATTAAAGATCCTTACTTTCATGGAGCATTTCTCACGACAACTGCACATTTAACTTATCGTAATTTGAAAGTATATCCAGAGCAGTTCCATGAATTTGCACCAGAGCCTGTTTATAGGGTTAATATTGTTATTTATATGAGATTTGGATCATGCTTGAGACTCTATATTGATGAAATGTTATTAAAGCTCCTCAGTAATGGATTGATTGATAAATATGCATCCATATTTATAGACAACAGATATCTGAAAAGATCTAATGATGATAATTTGGAAATTTTAAGCTTTGCTCAACTGAGCGGTGCATTTCAACTTTTAATTTGTGGATTATTGGCAGGACTTTTTACATTTTGTGGTGAAATATTTTTAAAATGGAAGTCTAAAAGATTCTGAAAAGATTTGGAAAATAATTAAAGATGTCCAACAGATAAATTTGAGTTTGAGCTTCATTTAAGGCGTTTTAGGGAATTACCAAGCTAGTTTCGACTTCAATGCAATTCAATGCGCACAAAATGATCATCAACGTCACTAATCAAATGAACAATAAACAAAGGAATCATATGCTGTCGTGTGCCTGCATATCATTGCACGAATGAAATGTGAATAATTAGCTTGCTAATGCATTGACAATTGTGTGCCATAATAAACTTTTGCATCATTAAAATACTAAACTAAAGCATGTGTTTGCAACCTAAGTTAATTGAATTTGCATGTCTGGTGTTAGTATTAAATTAAAATTCATACAATAAAGTCATACTTTCTCTCTAAGGAACAATGTTAAAGCTTTTATTATTATCTTTGTCGATATGCGCAGTTAAAAGTGATTTAAAAGATTTTGGTTTTCCAAGATACAGCACAGCAATGTCAAGAGCTGTTATTGACTACATACTGAACTTTTACTCTAAAAGTTCGTCTTCTGTCAACATGTATCACATCTCAGAGCAAGCAAATTTTAATAATAATTCAGCAATGATAAATGAAGTTTTAAATCATATCAATGCAAATATTGTCGTCCAAGTTGACAATTTAGGTGCTTTTAGACATTCAATAAACAAAAAAAGTATATCCATCATAATGTTCATTGATTCCTTAGAAGCATTCAATAAAATCTATGAGAAACTGGATTATAGACATTTTGACTTTGAAGGATATTACTTGATATCATTAACAGGACATGACAATGACATTTACTTTACAATGTTGAAAGTATTTGAAGCTTTATGGATTAAGAAAATAATAAATGCAAACATCTTGTTTATGCCACCTGAAAATGTTAATGAAGCACTTCTGTTCACTTACTATCCATACTCAAATTATTACTGTGAAAATGCCGTTCCTATTCAACTTAATCAATACCGTGGAGATCAATGGATGAATGACATTGATTATTTTCCTGCAAAGTTAACCAACTTTTATGGATGTCATTTGCATGTGGCAACGCATAATAATCCACCGTTCATGATAATTATCACGGATGAAAATGGTGTCGTTTCTGTTGATGGTGTTGAAAGTTCGTGTCTTAGCTGAACGATTTAATTTTCACGTTGACTTGCATGTCCAGAAAGAGCTTTTTGGATCAATTTATAAAAATGGAACTACAACAGGTGCTATAAAGCTGGTTGTAGATTATAAAGTAAATTTTACACTCGGATTTTTTGCATCATTGGCAATCCGTGATGCTATCATGCAACCTAGTTATGTCTATTATACTACAAATATTCTATGGATAGTCCCGCCTGGAAAGCCACAAAGTGCCTTAGAAAAACTAGCAAATCCATTGAAATACTTTGTGTGGGTATTAACCTTACTGACAATTGTTATTGGATTTATAGTCATTGCTGTGGTTAAAATGCAGCCTTTAGTTGTGCAGAAGTTTGTGTTTGGCAATAAGACACAAAGTCCAGGAATGAATTTTATAATTGTAGTATTGGGGAACTCACTTCATCAAATTCCAATGAGGAATTTCTCAAGATTCTTATTGCTCCTCGCCACAATTTACTTCTTCATCATCAGAACCTGCTATAGTAGTGGACTTGTTAAGTTTATGCAAATGGATACGAGAGACCAGCACATGATGACAACAGCACAAATGGTTGAAGAAAATTACACATTTTATATGAAAAGAACAACATATCCATACATATCCAACATGCCAGAAGTTGTTGAAAGATCAGTTTTGCTACCAGTTCCAGATTTCAACTCCAAATTACGTGATGTCACAAAAGATCCTTACTATCACGGAGCATTTTTAACTACAACTGGTCATTTAGCTTACAGGAACATGAAAGTATATCCAAACCATTTTCATGAATTCGCACCAGAAGTTATATATACTCTAAATATTGTGCTTTACATGGGTTTTGGATCGTGCTTAACACAATATTTTAATGAAATGTTATTAAAGTTTCTAAGTAGTGGATTAATCAATAAATGGACATCTGAATTTATAGACAGGAAATATCTCAAGAGGCCTGTAGATGATGAATTAAAAAGCTTAAGTTTGGATCAGTTGGAAGGAGCATTTCAGTTACTAGTTTGTGGACTCATCATTGGATTTATTACATTTTGTTTTGAAGTTTTGATAGGAAAGGATATGCTGGGGAGAATTAGAAGACACGAATTACAAAAGTTATTAAAAAATGGAGAAGATTCACAAAAGATAAAGACATAATAGTTGTAGACTTTGTAGGATGTAGGAGAAACTATAAAGAGATTGGTAAGACAAAGAAGACAAAGTTCACTGAAAATGCTAAGCTTGTCATGCTCTAATAAGTCGTGAAAGCCCTAATCACATTTAAGATGTGCTTTATTCATGTCCAGGCACTGACATCTTTACCTGACGATAGCTACTTGGAACATAGTCACACTTTTCAAGTCTTCATATATTCTTTATTAAATTTCTTATAAATAATAACAAATTAAGGCATAAAAATTGAGCTATCTAATGATAAAAAAATTTGGTATAAAAGACGAGACTATCACGTCCAAGTTCCTGAATAGATAAGCAAATGGAGTGAAAGAAAGTTCCTAAATAGAGCTAATGTAGATGAATTTTGATTGTAAATTTCGAGTCGAAAAATGGTGAGTTGACACAATAGAGAATAAAACATGCGCTGGATATACCATAAAAAAAAGTTTGATCATTATTTCTTTCCTTTCTTCTTTTTCTTTTGAGATTCCGGCCATGCAAAGCCGCGAGCCTAAAATAACTTTTTATATTAGTCCATTAATGACAAGATGAATAAAATCAATAAAATGTTCTTACTTTCAGCACATCCATCAGATTATGGCAAACATAATAGGCATTTTCCATAGCAGCTTCACTAAAAATGTCGCCTTGGAATTTTGATGACTTGCCAGCTTTGCCTTTCTTTCCTTTTTTCCCTTTCTTGCCTCCATTTCCACTTTCTCCATTCTCCTCACCACCTTCTTCAGCTACTCCAGATGATGCTGTGGCTTGTTTTTGCTTCTTTCCTTTCTTCTTGCCTTTTCCGCCCATTTTTTTTATTCTTCACCTACTTTCGACCACGTTACACAATCAGCTGAATTATATGGAGCAGCATAAACAATAAACACACATTTTTTTGGTTGCCATAGTGAATAATAAAGAAAATTTATTTAAAAATTTAAATTTCAAAAATTTATCGATTTTAAATTAAAGAATATTTCAAGTACAATAACTCCAATACATTTCAAAAAGATTAATTTCTCGGCTTTAAAGCATTCTTGGGACTGTTTTCGAAGAGCCGTGATTGATTCGTAAAAATTGGTGACTGATTCTCTTTGCCAAGCAGGAGTGCGCGCTTTGTTGGTGTCTTGTTTGGGCTGTCAAGGAACTGATAATTGTCTTGTAGCTTTTGAATTTTCTGAAATTGAAAATTTTAACCGTCATTATGATTTCAAATTTTAACGGTATTTAAGGTTTGAATTTATTTTTTAAGGAAATTTGAATTGTCAGGAACCAAAAATAACTTACAGCTCTCAAATCCAAGTTTGCTTCTTTCAGCTTCTCAAATCCCTTCATTTGTTCGGCATCCATTCTCTGTTGCTCAATTATTTGTTTGTAATCTTTCTCACGTTCAATTGCTGCATTCTCAAATTCATTGAATTTTCTGTCAAGTTCTTTCAACTGGTTTTATTAATAGACATGAAAAGAAAAGAAATAAATGCACGATAAAGCGTAATGAATACGTGTTTATCAGGTTTCAAGGATCAAAACCCTTTTCATTTTAATTACCTTCAATTTCAACTGCAAATTTTCTTCTTCTCTTTCCTGAATGTTCTTTTTTTCGTCATCTGTTGCTGTTTCCTCTTCAATTGTTGCCAATGTTGTTGACGAAAGAGATCGTGCAGTTCCCATGCCTTCACTTAGTTTCATTTTGAGTTGAAGATTCTCAAATTTAATAGATTTTATCTCATTCTCGTACTCTGTGAGTTTCTTTTGCTTCTCATCAAGTTCAATACGTGCCAATTCAATTCCAATTGTATATTCTTCGAGAACTGTTGATGTCATTTTCTTTAAATTCTTATCACGAATGTCAAAACTCTTTTTGAGTTCAGCAATTTCAAAGAACTTTTCATTAAAATAGTCATTCATCTTTCCGACCATTGTAATCATTTCCGATTCAGATGTTGACATTAATTGCTCAACAAACTTGTTCTTGTCATCAAAACTTTTCTTTAAATTCTCTGCTGAACTTCTTAAATTTTCATAATTTGTTCGTAGTTCCTTATTTTCAATTTTAAGTTGAGCATTCTCCTTCATCACATACTCAACATCTGTGTCTGACTTCTTCAAACGAAGTGAAATAACTTCAATAATGTTTTGATAGTTCTTAATTGTAATATCGTAGTTCCGCTTCTCAATCTCAAACTTTGTCTTTTGATTCTCAAAATCAATTTGTGACTCAAGATCCATTGACTGGATCTTTTTCTGTGACTTGCTTAGTTTAACTAATTGAGTTTGAACTTTTGTGAGTTGTGAATTAAGGAAGAAAATTTCATTTTCATAAGAATTTTTAAGCATTTTCAAATTTCCTTCATGCTGAACTTCAAAAATCTTTGAATTTTCTTCAGACTTTTCAAGTTTCGTACTCAATTCAAGATTCTCGACTGTCTTCTTGCCAAGTTCGAATTCAAAATTCCGAATGATATTGTTCTTCTCGTGCAGTCTGTACTTAAGTCTGTGCAGTTCCTCACATTTTGCTGTGAGAATTTTTTCCATTTCCTTAATTCTTTCTTCGTTAATTTTTATAAATTCATCATTCGATTTTGTCAATTTCTCATTAAGTCCAAGAAGACTTTCATTTTCGCTACTCATTCGGTCCATATGATGAAGCAGAACATCATGATTCTGCAGAATTTCTTTAACCTTTTCGTCTGATTTATTTATCTTGTCAATAGCTTGCATTGCTGTTTTTTCAAGAAACTCTTCAGCAGTCTTCATGCCTTCAATCTCAAAATTTAAGTCATTAATTTGATAAATTTTTTCAACATTCTGCAATTCCAAATCCTTGATTTGCTTGTTCAATTTCTCAATGTCAAGTTTCAATTTTTCAATGTACTTTTCATCCCTCGATTTTTTCTCTAGCAAATTCCGTTCTGATTTACGAAATAGCATTGAAAAATGGGGTGCCTTTTGTGGTGTAACGGCTGTTGAAGATGCTGGTGTCTGTATTTCTGCTGGTTGCTCTGCTGCTGCCGCCTTTTTTGAGCTCTTTTTTGATGGTGTTAAATCCGAAACTTGTCTGAATTTCAAACGATATGGAAGTGATGGCGTACGAAATAATCGCATTTTAGATTTCTTGTCTGTTGTTTCGATGGCATTGTCATCACGAAATAGGTCTTTTGCTTTCTTTTTGTCTTCTGTATGCTTATCTTTATCCTTCTTCTTATCTTTATCTTTTACGAATGGTGATGAGAAGTCTGAATGGAAAAAGGAGAAATTAGAAAGAGTTATTGTGAATGTAAAGAGGATGAAGGGTTGGTGAAGGAAATAGCAAGACGAAGAATTTTAACGAACTTTTTTGTTGCTTCTTCTTGGGAATTTAGAATGTAAACATTTGAATTGAATGTGGTGTACAATACCTTAATAAGCAGTTTGAGATTATGGAATTTTTAATCTTCTGCATGTTTTCTTTAAATCTGTCTTAAAGGCTTCATTTGAAATTTGGGTATGAAAACTCATTATTATGAAGAATTGCTGATGCTTTTGGATAATTAAGAAGATTTGAATAGCTCAATTTTCAAAGATTCAGGCATAATTTTGAATTTTACAATTCAATATTAGAACAACAATCTTTCCTAAATGGTACAGAATGTCATTGGAAGTTTAAAAACGATGAAGAACGATTTGTTGCTCAATACAGTGAGTATCAAAAATAACGCAGCTGTAATAAAATTCAACTGTATTGTGTTTTTGCAGTCAAAGAAAGTGTAAGATTATTCACTTAGTCTATAAAACGCAAGCAGTAGTTACAAAACAATTTAAAACTTGAACAGAGTTTTTAATGAAATTTGATCAGGTTTGAATCTGTTTGAATGATCAACTTTGAAGATTAGGGTGAAATCTCATTTTATTACTTATATCTGCTAAAATCGCAAAATTATGAGGTTTGAAGAATTAAAGCATTTTATCTTGAGAAATTGAAAGAGTTTGCAGTTCTTACAAAACTATTTTGACTATTTACTGTTCAAACATAGATTAAACGAGATCTTGAAGAAATAAAAACTTAGTTTTGACTTCGAAATTGGGAAGAAGATTTAAGAAGTTCAAGAAATGAGCCTGAAGATTTAATGATATATAAATTTGTAGAATAGAAAGTCCTCGATTTGAGAGGACTTAAAACTCATAGAAATAATTGTATGGTTTTGAGGAAAATCAAATATTCAAATATTTGATTTTTCAGATTTGTATGAAATTTCAAATATTCGATATTTGATTTTCCTCAAAACTATACAAATTCTAATATTTTTTCTATGAGAGCTCTAAATGAAGCAACTCCAATTCAAGTCATTTTATTTTCATAAATCAAAACAATTTTCGGAGTCACAGATTTAACGGAATTCATCTTAACACTCAGCAGCACATACCTGTAATATCGTTGAATCTCTTCAACTTGGCTTTTGAAAAAGACATCATTTTAATTCGATTTTATTGGTAAATTCCAAACCAGCTCAATAATCCTTCTGTCTTTGGTTGTGGTTCTTTGGTTTAATTTAGAAGATTCTCATAGACACAAATGTACTCCATAAACTTTACACATTCACGCCACAATAAATATCCTTTAATAATTGATTTTCTTTGTTTAATAAATAATTCAACTTTATAAATATGTAGATATCCACAAAACTTTATATATGTTAAGTTTTTCAATCAAAAAACAATTAAATAACATAAAGATCAATCTTTAAGAAAAACGGTTACACAAAGTTAAACATTTCTTTCACTTCCAAAAACTTATAAAACTTAACAAATGGTAACGCGCGATATCAAAAGATTTTTTTTATGCAATATAGGAATTTTAGGGGACGAACTGAAGAAAATACAAAAAAATAATAATTTCTTCAACTTTTACGGTCGACGACTTACGACAGAATGACGATGGAATCAACTGCAGAAGAATTCACAGCAAAAATATGTATTTATTTTGTGTTAATGTATGTTGCTATTGCTGTTTGTAACACACAGACGACAAAGAACCCTTAATTACGAAAAGTAAAACTTCTCACATGAGTGAGGGTCTTTAAATTCTCTTCATGCTTTGAGTTCTTTTTTACGGGTGATCGTTGTGTGATCGGAGAGTTGTTTTTGAGGGTTTTTGGATGTTGATTAGACAGACTGTCAAATCTATTTTATTTTGAAGATCTTTATATTAATGAATTATTTGACAGGAACATAGAATGTTCTCAAATCCGTTATGTACATATATACTAAACCTACAAACATCTTTATCTATGTCCAAAAACGACTCCTAAATCTGAGATTGTAATCCATTATCCAAATTCATATCCATTATTAACAAGTTGCTTTATTTAGGTCCCAGCCAGTCCCAGGCTATGAAAGCTGAGTCAGAACCACAGTTTTTGGGATACTGATGTCCTAAACTACTGCACCAACCAGGCAACCAGTCATTAAACAATCCACAGATATTTAAAATAGTCAAATACATTCAAATCACAATTTTAGTTCCAATATCATTTAAATCTCGAGATTTATTTTCCCACAATAATCCACAGAACTAGCAATTCTTCTAAACTTCTGTCCTAAAAATATTTTATAATACGTCACATAGCATTGAAGAAGAAGCAAAAAATAAATTCAATTGCATTAACCCTCTTTAACTTACCTTCTTATTCTTTCTTATGTGTACACGATCCTCCTTGTCTTTAACTTTTTATTCCTTCTTCATTCTCTTTATGCGTGCTGCATACAAATGTAAAGTCATGAATGTATTTGTGCTACTAACGGTCGTTGCTTTATGAGTAGAAAATTCTGTAAGGTAAGGTAAGGCAGCAAAAAAAATTACATAGATTAATACGTACACGACACAAATACACGCTACAAATGTTTTTCACATCTGCCTTGTGTACATGAAATGTCTTTTCATTTAGCGGGGTGCGATGAGAAGAATAAGGAACAAATCAGCTGGGTTTTCTTTAAGATTCTCTGTTTATATCCATTAATATACATATTCATGCACCAATTTATCAATACATTGAAATCGGGAATAAAAATTTCCATAATCATTACAATATGTGCCTGCTTTACTTTCCTGTAATCAACGCATGAAGGAACAAACGAAGATGGGTATTTAGATTGAGCGGAAGAACAGCCTAAGGCAGTTAGATGCGCTCTATGGATTTTAAAAATTCGTTATAAGAAGGAAGAGGTGGAACATAGAATTTTAACAATCATATAGCATACTATAGTGGACAGTCGTTTCAATAGAAACTGCAATTTCTTGCTTCCTCCATAAGACACAAGATGTTCAACTGAATGGAAAGTTAATTTTCATGATTTATTACATTTTTTTTATTTACTTCTGCTTTGTACGACTGGATTTTATGCCTGTTTTTTTCTTATTAGAAATTGTGATTATGAATAGTTGAAAATACACAAATCAGCACAAGTCCAACTCAAAAATGATGCAGTTCTTCAAGTTTAAGTTCAGATTAGATTTAAGAATCTAAATCAAAAATCCTCGAGGTTTATTCTAGAAATTCAAACCTTGAAGAATTCAAGTCCAAATAACATAATTAGACATAATATGATTTTACATGCCTAAATATCTTTGTACATTGTTTTGATTCCTTCAAACAACATTTGACAAGCTAGTCACAAGCAAAAATAACCATTGAAAATACATTAAAACAATTTCCGATCTACAACTTCCAAACATGTGAAAAACTTCCTGTTTTCTTCCAATCGAAAAAAGACTATAAATATTGAACTAATTCAGATGATTCCTCCATTAATCCAGCAATCGACTAATAAAAGATTTTAAAATGAAAGTGGACTTAATAGTTTTTATAAATATTTTAATATTAAGCACAGTGCACTGTCAGCAATGCATCAAAAGTGCAAAAAATATGCAGAACCTGAACATCACAAGATTTGCAACTGGACGTTGGTATGTCTATAAATCTAGTTTGCTCTATGGACAACTTAAGGTGTCTTGCACTTACGGAGACTTCAAAAATAGCACTTTCGGAAAATTTAATGTTAATTATATAGTGCTGAATAAAAAAAGATCTGATGTAATTCCTTACAACAAAAATCAGCTTGGATTTGATGCAGATATTTCAGTTCCATTTCCAATTTTAAATTTGAATATCACAATGACTGCAAAGGTAAGGTATTAAGTTGCAATTGATTCTACTAATGAACAGGATCTTAAAATTAATATGAATTTTTATTTCTATTCTCTCATAGTCTGTTATTGTTGGTAAGTATCATTTATATCATGGATCTAAAGATCAGGTGTGATCAATATGTGACTGGCTAGATTGATCAGTCTCACACTTTTAATAGTCAAGGATTAAACCTTCCTTTTGATCACTATTAAGCTTGATTTGCTATCGTAATCTAACAAGGCAATATGAATTTTCAGGCACAGATTACGATAATTATGGCATAATCTACGGATGTGGGAATCTCGGCTTTGTTACGGTTTCAGAGCTATTGATAATTAGTCGTTCAAACTACACGCTAGATGCAAACTCGACAGCAATTGTAAACAGCACACTCATTTCTAGTGGATTAAATAAAATTGCACTTAAAACATCGCCGGTCAGCAACTGTAAGAATTAGACAGCAATAAGCTTGAAAGATGATTTTTTGTTCAGGTTTAGCAAAAGATCCAAAGCCTTTTTCAATTCCCAAAAACTTGTTGAACTGAATTAAAATAATAAATCCCATTTAAAAGATAATAAACCAATGTTTTAATCCAAAAAAGGCTGTTTTAATGATTAACAATTTCCTAAGAGAATCTGCTGACATGAAAACGCAAATTGTTATTAGACAGCCTTATTAAACTTTCAGTATCAAAGTAACTCATTGCTAAAATGAAGGTAACTGTCCGACTGATTTTAATAGTTTTTATTTTAAGTTTCATGATAACAATTAAATGTCAGCAATGTCCACAAAAATATAAAAACATGGAAAACCTTAATATTTTAACCTTCACAAGAGGACGCTGGTTTGTGTATAAGTCCAATAATTTTTATGGAATTCATGGAGCTTCTTGTGCTTATTTAACATTCAAAAACGAGGCAATTCCAAAAATTGCAGTCAACTTCCATTATTTATTTGAGAATCGATATCAAGTGATTTCATATGACAGTAAAAACAAAGACGCATTTATTTTAAATGTCACAGTTCCATTTCTATTGAATTCAAACTTCACATTGAGCATGAGAGTAAGACATTGATATAATTTTGAGGATTTGAAGTTCATTGAGAGTTTTATTTTATTTTACAGACTACAATACTCAGTAAGGATCTCCTATTTTCTAATCTAATCTTTAGTCCAAAAATCACTTTGACAAAGACTAATGTTGAACAATACTTAATTTCAGGCACAGATTATTACAACTATGCTGTCATTTATGGATGTGGAAATTTTGGAATTTTCTCGGTTTCCTATGTGCTTATTCTCAGTCGAGCAAACTACACACTTAAAAAGGAGTCAGTAACGACTGTAAATCGAATATTGACAGCTAATAAACTCAATATGGTTATACTTTACCCAAGTTCAAAAAGCAGCTGTAGTAATTATTAAATATAATGGAGCATAGCCATAAGATTCTTCTTAGATTTGTAACGGAAGATTGAAGATAAAAAAAAGCTCTCGAGATAATCATTGTTGAACATTGAATGTCCATCATTGAGCCACAACAATCGTTAATCAAGTTTTATCACCCATGCAGTAACGCATGGAGTCTTGATTTGGGTCGAAACAAGCATTTTAATCCTGTACTACGACTGGATTTCACTCCATTTACAAGATTAGATCCAGTGAGTCATCGAATCATCCCATCTTTCAAGTTTAAAGTCAAATTGGATGATTCTTTAGAGATAGCATCGCTTGATTTCATCAATTCGTTAGCAGAGTCATTTGAGATATCTCTAAATAGTACAGTGTTGCAAGTTCATCCATTAATTAATGTAGCCAAGTGGAAATTTAGTCGAGACACAAACCGGAATCAAATTCAAAAGTTTCCGTTACAGATTGATCACGTGTTAAGATTATTAAGACCTAAATTTCGTGCTACAGATTTGCGTTTAATAAATTACCATTTTGCAATAATAAAAAAAGATTTTTAAAAAATCAAGTGCTGTTGCTCATTATTTGTACGTAAGATTTGTTATGAGTTAAACCAATATATAAGAACTTGTCATCTTTATTTTATTACACTGGTTTGATATGTAGAAGCCATCCAATGATTTGTCATTTTTCCTGTTTTTTTGTGAACTTGATAAAAATGTTTCAACCTTTTGTACTTCCTTTAATTATTGTTTTACACATTTTTTGTCAACTCGTAAGTTGTGAGAACCTAGTTGTCAAAAAAAAAGTCTGCATGTTATTATGTTTGACACTCCAATTAGATTAGGTCAGATTTCTATATAAATAGCTTCAAAGTATCTCCGAAAGCTTTAGTCATAGGATTCAGCTTGAATAATCATGAAAGGACTCCAGTTAAAAGTATTTTTTATAATATGCTTATTTGCATGTCTTAATGCACAAATGCAAGATCCTGGAATGCAAGGTGGTGGAGGTGGATATCCAGGTAGTGTTTCAAACTAATTTCCTTGATCGATCATGTATATGATTAATATATTAATTAAACACTCTATAAAGGTGGTCCAGGTCCTGGAATGCAAGGAGGTGGTGATCCAGGAATGCAAAATGGTCCCCCGGGGGGAGGAGGGGGTTATCCAGGAGGTCCAGGAGGTCCAGGGGGTCCAGGGCAAGGTGGGGGTTATCCACAACAAGGTGGTGGACCAGGAATGCAGGGACAACAAGGAGGGGGATATCCTCAACAAGGTGGAGGGCAAGGAGGAATGCAAGGTGATCCACAAGGTGGGGGTGGGGCAGGAGGAGGAGGGGGTCCACCCCCCGGAGGAGGTAAAATTAAATATTAAATGAATATTACAACTTTAAAACTATAATTATTGAATTTTTTATTTAGCTGTACCAAGAACTAAGCCATGCTTAACAGTGCCAGCACCAGAAGGTCTTAATTTTACAGGAATAGCAAATGGTAGATGGTACGTGACAAAAGCGTATTTTGATTTAGTATCAAATAAGCCTGAAGTTGCACCAGTATGCATTTATGTGGATATTTCATCACAAGGAGGTGTTGAAGACCTAAACATAGCCTTAATCTCACAAGGAGTCTACAAAAACTTGTCTGGTCCAATAAATAACAAAAATTATGGTGAATTTACAACAACAATCACTTTGCCAGGAAATCCACCAATTCCATTGCCAATGAAAACAACAATTATCGACAATGATGGAGATAATGCTCTATTCTACACTTGCGGTGGTCAACAAGGCTTCTATATTCACATGGGAATGATTGTGAGTCGTCAAAAAACAGCAGATCCACTCTTCGTGAGTAAATCAGATCCAAGAATTAAATCTATGGAGTTCAAAATGGACGGAACTGTTGTAACCAACCAGAACTGTCCGAGTTAAGTCATTAGTAATCTGTAATTTATGTAAACTTTTACTTAAAATAAAAATTTGAGAATTTTTGTAAATTTAAATCTTATAAAGTTGTTTTTACTGGATTATAAGTTCTTGTGTACTATTCAGTAGGTTTACAAGAGAATGATAATTCAGATCTTGATTGAGCTCTTGTAAATCCTCAACAATGATTTGAAATAACCAGAAACCGTTGAATTGCTAGTTTTAAGTACGTTTTAGGTGTGCTTTGGAATTGCCACTGATGAAATGTAGGTAGAACTGGAAATAATCTTTCAACGATCTAGAGAATAGCCTGGTGACATGAATAGTTTGAAAAATTATTGAACTTCTTCCATTGAAGTCAAGCGCCAGCAGTGGCGATGTAAGAATATGTTGTCATTCATGTTTGTGCTGCTTATATCTCATGACTCAAATATAAGACAGGAAAGACTTAAAAAAAAACTTGGATGTCAAAAATCCCCATCAAAATAATCTACAGACTGCTACAAACTTATTCATGTATAATAAATCGACAAGCTATTTCCTTTTTTATTTTTTATACTAGCTTCCTGTCTAATTTAACATCAACAAGCTAAAATTCCCCAAAAACTGTTCTTAGTAACAAAGTTGTTGGTATTTGAAGATGGAACTGCTCATAATCTTCGCAATTTTGATAAAATTGTCATCTTGCATAGAAACTCATTTTGGATCATGTCCACATGTATCACCAAGATCCAACATAACAATAGGAAATATATCAGGAATTTGGTATGACATCATGAAATATCAGTCAATATTTGCAAAAGGACGTTGCATATCATTCAATATTCATGACATCCCAAACAACATAATAAGCATAACAGTCTCAGAACAAAATGATGGAGAAATAGAAAATTCAACACGCAGAGGAAAAGTTCATAGTGATGGAAGCTTCGAGTTCAGCTTTACATTCTTGAAATTTTCTGCAACATTCTACATTTTGGACACTGATTACCACAACTATATAGTCGGATTTGGATGTAAAGACGTAGCATATATGGTCAACATGCAAATGGCAATTATTTGGGGACGAGAACGAGAGTTGAGTGATGTGTACATATCCAAAGCATATGACGTGCTCAAAAACAACAAAATATCTACAGCTGGATTGGAAAAAAGTGAACAAAGTCGATGTCATTGAAATATTTGTTGTGGTATCTTACAGGAAGTTGTTATGGTTTTTTTTTTTTTTGTGAAAATGTTCTTGCATTTCTGATTGAAAGTTTCAAAACAGTCATATCCAATAAAGTTTTTGACATAAAGTTATGAAATTTTACTTAAAATTAATTTTCATAATTTTCATCCTTGAAAATTCACATCAAATACTAAATGAGATGCCAATAATCAATGGATGTCCACAAATAAAGTTTATGCAGTCGAATGTATCTTCTGCTTTAATTAATGGCACTTGGTATGAAATTTTCAAAGATGAGTCTTCTTTCAAGCCGGGAAAATGTGTAAAAGTTCAAATTAAAGGTACATCCAAAAATAACTTGTCAGTTACTTACACGCAGGCATTTGAGAATTCAGCAATTCGATCAAATCATTCAGTCACAAAATTCAATGTAAAGATGATCAAATCACATCTTTGGACTGCAGAATATCAATCTTTGTATGGTAAGTGATTGGAATGTCTGTAGAGAGTGCAGGAACATCCGAGAATATGTTCACTAAGCTTCTTACGGTTCCAATGAAAATTTTTACTAAGTCGTTTACGATAGAAGATGTTCATTGGCTCAGAGAACTTATTGTAATCATTAGCCAGGCGTGGAAGTTCATGGCTTTCTACGTAAGTCGTGCTGTTAATAATTAGATTTTTTTTTTCATTTTAGTGTCACTCGATGGATATTTCTACATTTTAGACACCGACTACGCAAACTATGCAGTCATCGTGGGATGTGGAAAAATAAGAAAAATAAGTTTTGATACTGCAAGTCAGTTTGGTCACATGGTGTGGATTCTTTCAAGGAATCAAACATTAAATGACAAATATTTGATTAAGGCTTACGAAACTCTTAGTAAGAACAATTTGTCTATTAAAACTTTAAGGAAAATAGACCAGAACTGTACAGATAAAGAGATGCAAAATAAGTTGCAAAAATTTCAAGGCATAGGCATCAAGAAATACGACCTTATTTAAAGGTTCTGCAAACACTTCCTTCTTTTATTTCAGGAATATTTCAGTTCTTGACACTAATATTATAAGAGTAGTTCAAGCAACACTAAAGTCCAATAAAAATGAAATTTAACCTCAAAAATTCTTGTTTATTTCCATTAAGGGGCCGTTCACTTACGTTACGCAAAAAAACGAATTTTTTAACCCCTCTCCCCCCTTGTTACAATATGTTACAACTCACAACCCCCCCCCCTGAACGTTTATAATTTATTCTTCTTGACAACCCCCCCCCCCCCCCCCATCTGAACGTTCATAATTTATTTTTCTTCACAACCCCCCCCCCCCCCCAATGTTACATTTTGTTACAATTTTTTAAACCCCCCTCCCCCTTAAAATGCGAACGTAATAAGTGAACGGCCCCTAACCAAAGCACGCACTTTGAGATTCACTAATCCAACATAATGGAAAGTTCTATGAGTCATAAATACTGTACTGTAAACAGTTTTAAGCACAAAAACATAAATTATATGTTTTGAACTTAGTATGAATTATGGAAAGGTTGTAAGTTCTACTCCCACATTCACACCGTTCCAAAGTCTTTCAGACAACACTTAAAAAAGATGATGCTGTAGAAGTTTCCTACAGTATTTAATGACTATTTAGTTCACAGCCTTTTTGGCTGAAATCTGCTGAAATGTCATCAAAAGAATTGCTTAGATCCCATTTTCAATTCAGTAAGATCTGGTGCCTTCTGACTAGTAAAACTATCATTAAACGCAAAATGCTATTGAGGCTTGAAATTGGTGTGAATATGATTAATAGTTTAAAGGTATTCATTAATTTTTTTTGAAGCTTCGTTCGATTAGAGGACCTGCAATTTTTCGTATTAGATTTTTAACTGCTACCTTTAGTAGATATAAATTCCAAAGCTTTTTGGCAACAACCCAAACCTGAGAATCCCTAAATCCAAGTTAATTTCCTACAAATACATAATTTTGTGCCTTAAAAGTTCAGTAATCATCCAAACAATGATCAAAAATGTTGAAATTAATATTCACAGCATTAATCATCTCCTGGAATAATTTTCAAGTCGAATTGCAGTCAATTAAAACGGGAGGATGTCCATTCGTTCCTTCGGTTGAAAACTTCAATTTGTATCAATTTACTGGTCAGTGGTATGACATCGCACACATTCCTATTCCGACATTAAATCTTGGAAAGTGCGTGGTTATGAATTGTGTCATTGACTACTCAAGCATTGTCAGGATGTCAGTCAATTATTATGATGGAAAGCAGATCCAACAAATCAACAATGCATTCACAATTAATAATGCTAGTGGCGTTTACTTCGTGCATGTCCCAATGATAAACTTAAAGTTTGAATTTATTGTTGTCGATACTGACTATGATAGCTATTCAGTCATTTATGCTTGTGCTAAGCTTGCCACACTTAAAATACAGTTGATTTGGGTATTGAGTCGTGAGTCAACGTTATCAAAGGATATCTATAAGAACATAACAACATCTTTAAAGCGGCGTAAGCTTCCTTACAAGAAGCTCAAGACTGTGAATCAATCCAAATGTCCAGTTTATTTTTGAGAGTTTCATGGACAATCACAAACTTATTATATGGGAAGGTACAACAACACTTTAACTTTATGAATGTTAGATGTCACATGAATTGCCTATAAAGTAGCTGAATCTGGAACTTAATTTAGATTTTTCAATAAAAAATATACAGTCTTTAGAATCAAAACTATGTCTTTACTTTTGTCTATTGCTTATCTTAGAGTCACAATTTTATGTAAGTCACAAGATGCATTCATTCAAATTAAAAATGAAGCAACAGGTTTTATCTTATCAGCTTTGATTCTTGTGAAAGCGAATTTCATGATAAAAGTTTAAGTTTGTGCTACAAAACTTGCACAACATGCTTATGCTCAAAACATTTTTAAATGGATGTTCTTAATTTTTTTGATGTCATTTGAATTTTAAGAGTTGTGCCTTAAAGACGTTCACTTAAAAATAGTTTTCTTTCGAATTAAGTTCATCAGTGCCAAAAATAACATGATTTTGAATTTGTAAGTATAAAGATCTATTTAAAGACTCCATACAGAAAGCTTGCATATGTTGCTTAAAGTTGATCTATAGCAGAATTACTAAATCACACATAATTGATGAAAATCGAGGTTAAACTCAATCAGATCAAAAGCTTCTCAACCTTGTTTAAAATCACAAACTTTCCGAAAATTCAGTATATCCAATAAAACATCTAAAATTATCTTCACACACACAGATTTGCATTCGTAATGATAATGTCGTCATGGACAATGTCTACGGCCCAAATTGTCGGCACTGGAAATTGTCCAAAAGTCAATGTCACCGAAAATTTCTCTCTTCCTCGATTTTTGGGCACATACTATGAAGTTCGTGCGTATCCTCACTTTTATACGCTTGGAAAGTCGTGCATCACTTGGAATTTCATACAAAATAATGACAGCACAATCAATGTCGTAATTAAGCAGAGGAACTTTGATGTTGTAGAAACAGAAGTAGGCAACGTATCAATTGTCAGACCAGGAGTTATGCTTCTTTCCTTTCCTAAATCATCAGTCACGCGAGCAGATGCAAACTTTTATGTTCTAGCAACAGATTACAACAATTATCTTGTCTTGTATACATGCGCAAATGCATTCTTCGTTTATGCTCAAAATGTTTGGATCCTTAGTAGATTTTCAGCAATGGAAGAGATTCATTTGGAGAATTCATTGAATGCTATGAGAGCTCAGGGGTTATCACCATCTTATTTGGGGATAACATTGCAGACTTGTGGGCAGAATTGAGATGAATGAAGGAATGACTAAGAGTGGTATTCGGATTGTCATTATAAGCTTCACAAGAATCCCTGGAACATCCACTTTGTAGACTATTGTTCAAAACTTTGTAATTGCAATAAAACTTCTTGTACCTCAATAATATCATGTTCTTAATCATTAATCATTGTCATACACAGAAGCTGCCGAAAAAATAATTTCCACGATTAACATGCCGAACAATACCGACGCATTTAATTGAGCCGTTTATCTATCGCACAGAAATTTCAATCTGATGGACACAAAATCACAGTTTTGAGTACGAAATCAACACATATACGTCCAAAAATTATTTTCAAGGCTTCTTTAAGGCATTAACCATTTGATGATTTTAAATATATTCTATATTTCATGCTGATACGCGTTCATTCGTCATTTAAACCTCATTGTGTTCAGTTTAAGTTTAGTTTTTAGAAATAAAATTTCAGTGACTTTTTTTTGCAGTTCTCAAGTTCCGGCAATGTCCAAAATGTAATTATTTTATATCCAATAAGTAACAGTGATTTCTGAAATGTCAATTTAAATTCTACAGAATTTTACAACAGTGCCTAATTTTTGTGCTGCTCTCAATAAGCGTCGACTGCACTATACCAGGCATTGGATCATGTCCGCAAGTTCAACTTATGACAACCTTTGATGTTCCTCAATTTCTTGGGACTTGGTATGCAATCTGTGCATATCCTGCGAAATTTGCATTTGATGCCAAATGTGCAGCAGCTACATTTACATGGGCTGAGAGTCAAGCTGATGGAATCAGCATTTTCAGTAGGCACGTAAGCTTTGGAAAGGAAAATAAATTCATGGGTAGAGCAAAAATGATTTCACCTGGTGTTCTAGCTGTCGAATTTCCAGCATCACGTAATATTTTTATGAAATTTTCATAGCACAGAATCAAAAGTAATTTGGAACTAATAATTTTTTTATAGCGAAGGCCAATGCTTATTACAATATATTAGGTAAGTTCATTTAAATTTCAATGTCGCACGTTTTGGACTTTTTTTTGGATCAAAATTATTTTTTTGTGAATGTTCTACACACTTGCTAATGCAATGCTGTTAACATTTCGATGTTGTACTTTGATTGTAACCTTTTTGGATTGTTCACAACCTCTTCCTTTCCAAAACAATTTGAGTCTACTTGAACAGACATAAGTTCAACTTTATAATGCTTCTAACACTTCATTTCCCTTTCCAGACACAGACTATAACAACTATGCAGTTATATTTTCCTGCAATAATTATTATGGCGTAGCTAATAACCAAAACTTATGGATTTTAAGTAGACGGAGAAATTTAGAGCCTCAATTTACAGACAGAGCTGTGCAAATTCTTGCGATGAATAGACTTTCGAGTTTCCTTCTGAAACATATCGATCAAAATTGTGATAATATTAATCCATATCCTGGAAATCAGTACGGCAATAGTCCTTACGGTGGAAATAATAATTATGGACGGCAATGAGTAGCAGTTGCACGAGATTTCTAGCGAAAAGAGAATAGCCAATGCCATTGTGGTTTTTCTAGCGACTTTATTACATAATTTTTTGATAATTTTTTGTGTCATAAATTTACAATTTTTGGCCTGGTGTGGCGTAAAGATAATAACTTGTTTCCCAATAAAGCGTTTCCTCCACTTTTTTTTTCTTTATCATTTTTCATACATAAGCGGAATTGGTTTTTTTTTCATATTTTTAAATAGCAACATAATAAATATTATTTATGAAAAAAAAGAATAAAATTTTTCTGAAATGCTTGAGAAAATCCTCAATTTTCTCATCCCGTAAACTTACAAAACAAGTTCTAAAAAAATTTCACATTTCTCTTTTTTTTTGCAGGGTTCGTCACCGAATCTTTTCAGATATACTAAAGGACTTGATTTCACAAAAACATTTTATTTTCAATAGTTACTAAATAGATTTACAAGGAATTACTTCTTAATATAAAATAAAAGGAAATAAAAGTTCATTTTTTTGGATAAATTCTTTTAGTTTACAGCCGAACGTTAAGCATAAAAGCCGAGGAAGGAGAAAAAAAGATCTTTCTTTAAAAATTTTTTCATGACTTTTTCACATTTTTTTAAAATTTTGTTCTTAATATAAGCAAGTTTATCTCAAAAATATCAATCATATATCCGAGGCATGGCGAACCCTTTCTAATAATTATTAACATTCTAGTTTTTTTTTTTTTCATTGTTATAAAGAAAATATAATTTTCATAATATGAATAATAATAATATGGGGGGGATTAAAATGAGATATCTGTCTTCTTATTGTTGATGTTGATGCTGCTGCTGCTGTTGATTTTGTTGCTGCTGCTGATTTTGCTGTTGTTGTTGTTGTTGTTGTTGTTGCTGTTGTTGCTGATTTACTTGTTGGGTGCTATCGTCATCTATAGGCACGAAATGTTTAGACAAATATTAAAAATTTATTTGATATTCAAGATTTGAATTTTAAGCGATTAGCATAGAAAAAGTGGAGCTAGCTAGATTTTAATTAATTCTGTCAATAGCTTGAATCTAAATGTCATGAGTGCAGCATGTAAAAACATTATCTAGACACTATCCGACAAATGTGATTTTTGACATCACATTTTGCAACAAACTGGTTGAGCAGCATGGCTTGGGCATTTAAACTACAGACTAAAGACGCAAAATCAGACTTTTACAAAATATTTGGTATCCACCTTGTTAAGGAACCACTGAACTATGGGGCTGTTCACTTATTACGTAACGCGAAAAAATGACTTTTTAGACCTCCCCCCCCCCCCCCCTCGTAACAAAATTTGTATGAAAAAAAAATTTCCTTGTTTGAACCGTAACAAAATCTTATACCCCCCCCCCCCCCCCCCTAAAAGCGTTACGTAATAAGTGAATGGCCCCTATGCAAAATCATTGAATATACTTTTTTTGTCTCTAAATCATTGAAGGGACCTCCCAAGATGGATTATTAAGCCTAGTCTGAGCAAAAAAGAAGCAGTTAAGTGCCTTGCTGGTCGAATAGGTGAGGCGCTTGGCTCAAATTTGGGATGGTAACTCGAAGGTCGTCGGTTCGAATCCAGCCATTTCCAAATTTGTTCTTTTTCGGAAGTTTAGATACTTCGACTGCTTAATGTACGAGATCAAGCCATAATTGGGCATTTGGGCAACGTTGGATTAAGGAACGGGTCAGGAACTTGAAGTGTAGCGGGAGAAATAGGAACGAGAGCTACAAGATTACCCACGAATGGAATATTGATAGAACGGACCTGAAAAGTATCACGTAACGCCTACAGAAGATCGAAACGAGAGCCTTAGTTTATTTGAAACCTAGATATGAAGATTAGAAGTTTGATCCTACATAATACTAATTCATATGTATACAAATACAAAAGTGTAAAATGTGAATTATTTCCGGACAGTATTTTGTCAATAAATGCAATAAAGTGCAATTAAAAAATGAAAAAAAAATGACTATCATGGACAAGTTCAAGCCTAAAATACTAAAATTTTCATACCTAAACCTTTATAAAATTTCTCCATCTCCATCCAATGACGCAACCTCAGCTCCTGTTCCTCAATATTTTGTCGTTGTAATAAAAGTGTCAATTGTTGACGAACTTGTGGCTTTAATTGCATCGTCTTTAACATATTCCGTCCAGTATCCAAATGATGATTTTCAAGTTCCTGTAAAATACAATTACATTTGAAGGAAATGTCGATTGACTTAAAGATAGGACTGCAAAAAAAAGCTCAATAGCACTGAATTATGATATGAACGCTAAAGGATGAAATCTTATAGCAATTGAACATAATTCAACGGAACTAAAGAATTAATAAAATTAAAATACAAAAATATGTAACAAAATAAATAATTAAGTTAAAAAATGTCCATCAAATTAGAATTAGGTTATATGTTAGCCAAAAATAACAGCAACTGTTTTGTTAAGCATACAATTAAATATAAAAAAAAGTTTGTCCTTATCACCAAAGAGTTTGTGTGTTTTTGTGTGTTTCTCAACATACAGCAATAAAGTGCTCGAATGGACATTTCTTTTGAATTTTGCGTGCATTTATGTTATTACAATTATTATTCTTATTTTCTTCCCAGAATTATTATTTCTCTTCTTATTCTCTACGTGATCTTTACAAGATTCTGTAGCATATTTTTTTCTTCTTTAGTTCTATATTTATTGCATCCATAACCGACGTGAGTATTTTCATATTTACATAAATTAATTCCATTTCTTTCAGTTTGTTGTCAGTTCTGTAGACATTAATTATTGGTAATCTCTAGAAGACATTGTATCTCTTGTTCTGTATGTATTTATGTTTGTGTGTACTTTTGTATGAATCTCTAGTATTATTATTGTTTCAACTGATTATTTTTTTTTTTTTTTTTTTTTTTTTTTTTTTTTTTTTTTTTTTTTTTTTTTTTTTTTTTTTTTTTTTTATTAGGAGTCGTTCACAAATGACGTTCATGACAGTTTTATATTATTTTAAGGCAGCGCTACTATATCTTGTAGAAAGCATGAGTAAGTTTTCAATAAAAGTATCAAACTTAAACCCATTAATCTCGAAAGGAGGTTCAAATCTGCTTAGATCCTTTTAATTTTGTAATAAAAATAGGTTTCTTTAGTCTGGACATCTACACAGCTTCAGATATTGCAACTAGGATGCAACATCCAATTAAGTGAATGTCAGAGAAGAGTGTAATCTTGGATATCGAGCTATTTGTAGGCGAATCTACCAGTGTGTGAGGATCTATTCCCACCAGAAAACGGTACGATAAGGATTCGCACAATGCTCACAGCATTACAGGTGGGCAAGATCAAAAATGAATTGTTCGTGACGCTGAGCAATAATTTACAATTTTTAAATCATTAATGCAAATAAAGCTGATCAGCTTATGTTTTTCTAAAAGCTCTCGCCAGGACCTGCATTTTGGTATATAACAAGTGGCATTTTGACATTGTGCTATAGTTAAAAAATTAATTTAAAGTGCTAAGCGTCACGAACAATTTTAAGGAAATTCGATTTTGCACTATGTTGCAAATGCAATATCTCTGCAACTAATAAACCAATCTTAAAAATTCTTTCACTAAGGAATTAAAAATTCGTGGCAGTAAATGTTTAAAATAAAAAATTTAAAATTGCGGCTTCATAAGTTAGCTTAATTAACGTTTTAAATGTTTTGGTTGAAAATTACATATGAAGGAAACAGTTTAGGAACTAACTGTGTTCACAAAAAAGGTAGCAAATATGGTTTTCCTTAAGCTTATTGAAAAAATTTCAAGTTCTACTTTAATTAACAAAGTTACAATGAATTTTAGAAAACTAGATATAACTTTTTGCTGTTTTATTGTTCTAATGATTTTTCAATGTAAAACTATAGCAAAACATAAGATGCATCTTGTTGCAAAAGAAAAAATTTTAAGTCTTTATGAAAAGCCTTTAAAATCATAAAATGTTAAAAAGATTAACCAAGAAAATTGTAACGGTTTTAAAAAATTCAAAATTCTTATGAAATTCTGAGCGAAATTGAGCAAAACATGTTGCTCAATTATAAATACAATGTTTTTGAGTTAATTTAACTCATTTTAATGCCTTTTACAGATACAATTTCTAAAGAAAATGACTTTTTAGCTACTTATTAATTGTTTTCAGTCAATTAGAGTTAATATTTTCGGTTAAAAAGCGATTTATTCAACAAATTGAGTTTTAGTTAAATTAACTTAATCTATTCAGTTTTTTGAAGTCACAATACGGTGTTTTGATAGAAAATATCAAAATCTACAACTTTTGTGAAGATCTTGAACAACCAACTTGCTTCCTTCATTTGAAAAACTCTACTTTAAATATTAATTTGTTAATTAAAGTAACTTGTAAAGTCGCCATTTTAAATAATAAAACAAAAAGTTAAACTTTCTGAAATTAACTATCGACCTTTGAAAAAATCATTAAAATTGGATGCTGGCAAGCAGAGAAATCAGCATATAAAGTTTTTTTTCCTTTTTTACTACGTTTTTCTTAACTTGCTTTCTTATCTGTTTGATTGTCGAGGGCAAATCTTGTAATCGATTTTTCGACCACTTCTACTGCTCCAATCGAGCTCAAATTTTTTATTCACACGTATTCCCGGTGACAATACAATATTTTAACACTTTGGAAACACAAAAATGCTTAATTATAGTACAATTTATGTAAAATTTTTTTATATGGGAAAAAATCCAATGTCAATGATATAAAATTTTGATTTGCATTAAATATTATACTTGTGATGCTCTAAAGTCATTTATATGATTCATTATAGTTTAATTAATATTACTAATTATTAATTATACCATAAATTTGAGCAGCTAAAGATATTCTGGTAAGACAAAAAAATTGACATGTAATTTTTTCATGAATATTCGTAAGTGAAAATTTGAATTTTCAAAAAAACCGTTAAGCACAAGTCCGTTACGAATTAATGCAAAATAACTATTAATGTGCGATGTGCATTTAGCACACATAGTTTGAGCATAAATTCAGCTGTTTTAAATGTATTGCATTATTTATAACACTTCACCAACTTAATTAAATTGACTTTTCTTTTTATTAACGGCTTGACGTATTTTTGCATAACATATAAATGATATTAATTGAATTTAAATTTGAAAATCCGTTATAAATACGTTACATATAGATGTGATTTGCATCTTTATGTTAAGAATCCACAAGTTATGAAGTAGAAATGGTACAGATAAACACAAAATCTTTACGAGTGATTTTTAATGTACTTTACTGATGAATGCTTTAAAAAAATTAAATTTTATAAAACGAATGAAAAATTTTGAAAGTCGTTACTAATTTCCCATTGAAAACTGGTAATTTATAAACAGTTGAACGTAACGAAGTGCAACGAAGTGAAGTTCAACACACCTGTAACCTATAAACCTACTGTAATCTATAAACAGTTGAACGTAACGAAGTGCAACGAAGTGGAGTTCAACACACCTGTAACCTATGAACCTACTGTAATCTATAAACAGTTGAACGTAACGAAGTGGAGTTCAACACACCTGTAACCTATGAACCTACTGTAATCTATAAACAGTTAAACGTAACGAAGTGGAGTTCAACACACCTGTAACCTATAAACCTACTGTAATCTATAAACAGTTGAACGTAACGAAGTGCAACGAAGTGGAGTTCAACACACCTGTAACCTATGAACCTACTGTAATCTATAAACAGTTAAACGTAACGAAGTGGAGTTCAACACACCTGTAACCTATAAACCTACTGTAATCTATAAACAGTTGAACGTAACGAAGTGCAACGAAGTGGAGTTCAACACACCTGTAACCTATGAACCTACTGTAATCTATAAACAGTTGAACGTAACGAAGTGAAGTTCAGCACACCTGTAACCTATGAACCTACTGTAATCTATAAACAGTTGAACGTAACGAAGTGCAACGAAGTGGAGTTCAACACACCTGTAACCTATGAACCTACTGTAATCTATAAACAGTTGAACGTAACGAAGTGCAACGAAGTGGAGTTCAACACACCTGTAACCTATGAACCTACTGTAATCTATAAACAGTTGAACGTAACGAAGTGAAGTTCAACACACCTGTGAACTATAAACCTACTGTAATCTATAAACAGTTGAACGTAACGAAGTGCAACAAAGTGAAGTTCAACACACCTGTAACCTATAAACCTACTGTAATCTATAAACAGTTGAACGTAACGAAGTGCAACGAAGTGAAGTTCAACACACCTGTAACCTATAAACCTACTGTAATCTATAAACAGTTGAACGTAACGAAGTGCAACAAAGTGAAGTTCAACACACCTGTAACCTATAAACCTACTGTAATCTATAAGCAGTTGAACGTAACGGAGTGAAACGGAGTGGAGTTCAACACACCTGTAACCTATGAACCTACTGTAATCTATAAACAGTTGAACGTAACGAAGTGCAACGAAGTGGAGTTCAACACACCTGTAACCTATAAACCCCCTATAATCTTTATTTCTCTATTTCATTAGAATAAGACTAAAAAATAGAAAATAAAATAATTTATAAAAAAAATTTTTTAAAAAAAACTACGTTTTTCGCGTAGACTAAAAAGTAGAAAATAACTTTTATTCTTGGTTGTAAAGAATTTGGTTTTAAATTTTCAGATTATATTTAATAAATTTTTATATCCTAGTCAATATTGTTCACAAAGTTTCGAATAAGTGCACTTTGATCTTATCGTATAACTCAACAACTTAAAAACGTGGGCGCATTAATTTAAGTTTATCATAAAGTATTGATTTCACATAAACTTATTTCTCCTCTTATAATGCGCCCACGTTTTTAAGTTGTTGAGTTATACGATAAGATCAAAGTGCACTTATTCGAAACTTTGTGAACAATATTGACTAGGATATAAAAATTTATTAAATATAATCTGAAAATTTAAAACCAAATTCTTTACAACCAAGAATAAAAGTTATTTTCTACTTTTTAGTCTACGCGAAAAACGTAGTTTTTTTTAAAAAATTTTTTTTATAAATTATTTTTTCTGATCTTGCCCAGGTGTAAAATCCATTCAGCCAGACAAAGTTCAGCCATATCAGCAGTCTCTATAAAATAGCTAAGCTATCCTGACTACTCTTTATAGAATTTTAAATGAATCTACAACTTGTAAAATTCTTGGAAATCTTCGTTCCGTTCTCTGAAGCAAGTCTGCTATTGATTTTCCATTCGTCCTATCTACAAAGTGTCAAACTGAACATCATAAGTGATCAAACCCAATTTATGAGGTCTATAAAATGGATTCTCAAATTTTGTTAACAACACATTAATTTTGTCTCAAATTTTCTATTTGTTTTATTAAATCTAATAAAATGTAATTCAATTAATTATTGATTGATCTACTACCTATTAATGATTCTTAATTAGTGATAAACTTGATTAAATTGAATATATTCCGATCCATGTTTCGCTATGCTTTATAAAGGCCATGAATAATGTTGAATTTCTTCATTTTGAATGCAAATAAATGAATGTGAAAATGACTATGCAAAAATATGAGGAGAAAGAGGTTCTCTTGCAAAAAAAAAATATTGTGAACCAGCTAAAAGCTCATTGCTAATGCTCCAAAAATAATTTATAAAAATGACAGTCTTTGATGCATGTACATTGTCGAGTATGAATTAGATTTGTGTTTCTCAAACTTGTTCCGATTCACAGGCACATTAGTTAGATTAAAAATCTTAAATGGAAGCAATTCTTTCAAAGATGATAAGAGAGGAAGCACTTCCATCTGGAAGGTTTAGAACATTACCAATTTATGGTTGACTTTATTACTTGTTTTAAAAATCATGAATTAAAACCTCATTTAATAAATTTCAAAATTAGGTCCGAATCAATTGTGCTTTACATAGACCAATGTGTTAAGTAACAGGATTATTCTTATGGCAAGCTCAACATCATCACATGAATCTTCCACAGAGACCAAAATTTAAGCTTCATCCATATTTTCTAGTTCGACCAGTGTTTGCCCACGGAACCGACCCCAGAACGCAGTTTGAGAACCACAAAATGTTAAATGAAGAACAACAACACAGTTTATGACCCAATAATAAGAGCGAAATCATGAAAAAACCATAGAAATATTTAATTTAAACCATTTTCATCCTTGAATTTTTAATGAGTACATTTTGATCATTGCTGAGCCAATTACTATTTTTAATTTTTTTGATTTCAATGTGACTTATATCATAAATAATTATTATTTTATTTTTATATGTGTAATAATAAAATAAATGTAGTAATGTGTGGTGGAAAATATTTTGTGATAGAAAGAGATTTTTTTTTGTCATATATTTTTTTTTTTTTTAGGAAAGCTCGAGAGAGATAAGAAGCTTACCAATGGTGATGATCCAGGTCCGGATGTGAAAAAATTCTTTATCATTTGAGCATTATACGATGATGATGATGCAAATGATGCCAAAAATAATGGCTTTGAAGGAGCAGACGTAGCAGTCGTATTATATGAATTATACTGATGATACATCATTGGCATAGTCATTGAATAGTCATTACGATTAAAAGGATTACTATATTGTGCTTGAGATACATGCTGATGTTGGTGTGGAACTGTATTAAACTTTGTGTATGTTGCTGGCATATTAAACATTCGACTTCCACTCGAAAAATTACTACTAAAGGTATTGCTACTACTTATATTATTATTATTAAATGCATCTAAATTAAGCATTGGTAGTTGTGGTGTTCCTTGCAATTCTGATGATGATACTGGCGAACGCATTGGCGTTAAATGCTTTTTCATTTCATGTCTTTTAAATTTTAGTGGAGGCATTGAATTGACAGAAGCTGATGAGCGAATTTGATATGCTTGACTGCCTGATTTATTCGTAAAATCAGAATATGAAGATGACATTTCCTCGTCAATATCGTCAGAGGAACGAACGAGTGAAGATGCATCACTCATGTCACCAGAATCATAATCAAAGCTTAATGTTGTAGCATCATCACTTTCGCTAGGCTTTCTATACTTATAAATAGCTTTTAATCGAGCTGCATGACTCAAAAGTGGACGTCCATGATATGTTCCGTAAGGTCCCAATTCATCTTTCTTCTTATTCATACGATTAATTAGCAATAAATTATCAAAACTTCCACCAATCATTTGTGGTGGATTTAAATTCAGTTTTCTTAACTTTCCATCACATCCGTACTTTTCAACTGAAATCTTTTTTGATTTTTGCTTCTTTTTCTGTTGCTTTGTTGGCTTCTTTTGTTGTGTAGTTGATGAAACAAGTGCTGGTAAACTCTGTGCTGAATTATATCGATTCATTGAATACATTTCATTACCCGAATTCTCCTTACCACTAGCTGGTTCCATAATTGTATATTTCTTTTTATTCTTAAAAAGTGATGCTAATTTAGCCTTAAATGTGCTCTGTAAGAGTGATATAGATGATGACTCTTGTGGATGAGCCATATAGCCATGAATTTTTGGATCTGAATATTTTCTCAATAATTCATCATTTTCCTTTACAACCTCATTGATTTGATACTGATTATCACTATATGAGCTATCTTGATTAGTACTACTATTACTGCTTCTACGCTCTTCCCAACTTGGTCTTTTAATTAGTGGTTTAATTGGTTTAGGTGCCTCCATACTTGAACTTCTCGTATATTGACTTCTACGATATCCACCGAGATTATATCCTTTCAATTTTGCTGATGATGCAAATTCATTTGAATTAAATCTATTATTGCTACTAATACTTGAATTTGAATAAATACTAGGTGGACTTCCATATTGCTGATGCGATAAAGATGGCGAGAAGTTTAATGACTTAGAATGATTCATCTTATAACTATCATAACTATTTGGAATAATGAATTGATCGGGTGTCTCGATTTGTATTCGAGGACTTTGAGGTAACGATTGTGGAACATTCAGCTTCTCATCAATCATTTTCTGATTATTATTATTATTATTTATATTAAAATTACTATTATTATTATTAATATTTGATGCATCAGTTTGGGGCTTCGGAGTGCCACCAACAGCACTCAAATTATTAATAGAACGTGAATGAGATTGCCGATTTGGATGAAAAATTTGTTGTAAATTCTGTGACAAGGATCGTGTGCGATAATACTTTCCACTGACCAGTCCACTTTGAGCATTACTCGATGCTGTTGCTACGCTTTTTCCAACCACTTGAGCCAATTTCTGTTGAGGCTGTAGCTTGTTTTTTTTTTCACATTCGGTTTCATTATCAAACAATTTTCACAATATTTTTTTTATGCAACGTAAAACAATAATTCGTGTATTTTTTGTTGGACATTTTTTTTTTATGTAAAGATATTAATCAATCGAACAAAAAATAGAATTTTAGCATAAAACGACGGTCGCAGGAAAAAAAAGGTACAAAAAAAATTCAGTTTAGTTTTTAAATAAAAACAGATACATAAAAAGCATTGAAATTATACAACAACTATACAATAAGTCACACATCTGATTAAATATACTCGGTTTATATTTGGTATGGTGATAAAGTCAAAAGATTTATGCCTTATCAGGGGTTTAATGCAGTTCCTTTGCTTCTTTTTACAGTAAAATTAGCACAGAAATAGTCATGTGTGACCTCATAACGCATTTTCCAGCATAAGCCTCGAAAAAATTAAAATGACAAAATAATGTTTGTTAATAACGGTCAGAAAGTATTTGAAACATAACGGCTTAATTTTTTCAAATTTTATGAATCGGTTCAACTATTTAATATCTGTTTTAGTTTCAAAATTAAAAAGATCGTTAAAAGTTCCTAGACCAAAAAACCGTTTGAAAAATGCGCCAAAGTCAAGTACATACCACCCAAAAAATCTCAATGAAGCATAGCTTAAAACATTCACCAAAATGAATCATACAAATGAAACCTTTCCACATCACCCATCCAATCCATTGAAAACACTTTCTGATATACTGCATCATTAAACCCCTGAATTTATACACATGTGCTACATTGCAGTTGTAGTAAATTTCGATTAAATAAAGAGTACAAAATAAAAATAAAAAACATAAAAAAATTAAGTTTAAAAAACGAGAAATTTCAACTGGAGTAAAAAATCATAAGAGAGAAAGAGAACGAACGACATGCTCACAACGAAATCATAATATAATTTAAATTAACATAAAAAATATAAAGAGAGCACAATAAAGACAGATAAAGATTTTGTACTCACCACGCCTCCTTGATGCTGTTGGAAAAATGCTTGAGCCTGAGTCAATTGTTGGGGTGCCACAATCGGTGACATCACATTCTGGCCCATATTATTATTGTTGTTATTCTGGACCATCGATTGATTTTGATTATATTGCATTTGTTGCTGCTGTTGCTGCATTTGATGCTGATGCATTTGATGATTCATGTTCATGTCATTTTCTGGACTTAAAACAGGTCTTTGCATCATCTGTTGTTGTTGCATTTGAGGAACGATTTGTGGCTGGTGAATCTGTTGATTTTGATTCTGCTGGATCTGTGAATTCTGATTTTGTTGATTTTGATTCTGCTGGATCTGTGAATTCTGATTTTGTTGAATCTGTTGATTCTGCTGGATTTGTTGATTCTGATTTTGAATAATCTGTGCTTGTTGAGATTGTTGTTGTGCCAGTTTTTGTTCTTCAACTTTAGACACTGAGAAACGAGACACTCTTGTTGGAGCACTTCCAATTGGTGGAGTTTGTGGAATCTGCTGATTATTTTGAACAGACGAAGTTTGGATTGGAATTGGAGCAGAAGTTGGCATAGTTTGAGTAGACATAGACTGCATTTGCTGAGGTGGAGGAATCGATTGCTGAGAAAATTGTTGAACAGTCGTTGGAGATTGACGTACAGCCTCTGAGTATGTATTAAAATTTTGTTGCTGCTGATTTTGCATTTGAATTTGAGAAGGAATCATTTGTTGCTGTTGTGGAACAGATATTTGTTGAGGAATATTTTGCTGGACATTAATTTGCTGCTGAGGAATATTTTGTGTCTGCGTGACTGGCCTTTGATGAAGCTTAGACAATTGTTGTTCTAATTCAGATAATTGGCTAATTTTTGGTGTAACTTTAACAGTCTCAGTTTGAACTTGCTGTTGATACTGAATTGACGGTGTCTGGATATTAGTCACTGACTGTTGAGCTGGCATTTGTTGCTGTTGTTGAACAGGAGGAAAATAAGGTTCATTTTTCATCTCAATTGATGGACTAGACACGGCAGCTGGAGAATTAATTCCACTCAACAATTGTTTCTGAAGATCAAGATGAATTCCTTCATGTACTTGGTGTGGCTAAAAGTGACAGAATTAATTAAATTATCATAAAATAACAAATAATATAAATAGTACATACATGATTGACTACTTCTTGCGTTGCTCCTTGACTTGGCTGTTGTGTGGTTAATTGTGATAGTTTTTGTTGTAATTCAGCTATTGAATTCTGACCAGAATGACTGTAAATATCAATTATTAATATAAATTGCGGTCAATAATACAATCGAAGCTTACCTCTCATTTTGCGGTTGATTACTTGATTTCACATTAATATCATCTGTTGCCTCACTGACTAGATTCTCATCGTATTCCATGACACCCGAAGCTGTACTCGTCACATCCGTTGGATTTGTCATCATGTCTGCCGATGTTCTGCGTGAATTATAGACAGACGTGTTATCGCCAGTATTTGTAATTAAATCAGTCGATGTATGTTCCGTACTATTCTCAATTTGTGCTTCAGAAATAGTATTATCCGTTATATTATCATCATGAACATCATTAACTTCTGAATTTGGAATAGGTTGCATATTCATTTGCTGATTTGACAGTGCTTCTTTCTGTTTTGTTGTAACATGAGCATGTGTTATATTCTCAAGTTCAATCTTAAGCTGTTCGAGTGTTTCAGGCATTTTAAAGCCAACTGAATGTTGTGGCACTAACTCGGCTTCCACTTGTTGTGGAATTTCAATTCTTTGATATGATTCCTCATTAATATTCATCGATTCTCCATCATTTGATTGATATTGTTGTTGCTGTTGCAGCTGTTGGGGTCCATTTATAGACACTTGATGTTGAAGTTGATGTTGCTGAGATGACGCAGCCATTTGTGGCGTGACGTCTTCTTGAACAATCAACTCTTTATTAGCAGTTTCTATAACAGTAGGACTCACCAAAAAACGAGATAACTTACGAGCTGGTGACTGCCTAACCTGCTGACTACCCTCCATTGGAAGTGAATGATATTCGCTATCTTGCCGTGGTGTTAATATCGTATTTTCTGGTGTACATTCACTCGATGTATAATCTGATATCGTGCTAGTCTTTCGAGAATTCTCTCCACTATTTGAACCACTTCCAATATTATTGACATGCATATCATTATTATGTGCTGTATCTGTCGTTAATGTGACACTGGCGCCATCATCTTCTTGATTTGACTGTTTGCGTTTTGGTGTCACAAGTTCTGATGACGATTGTATCGGTATAACCGTATTGGAATTTACATGTTTACTTTTTTGTGGAGACTGCGTTGGCGTAAAATTATTATTATTATTTTTCAGCTGTCCATCGTTTGTCATCGATGAAGTCTGTATCGTTGGATTTGACGTTGATCCCGAGATAAATGATTGATAAGCGTATATATGGGGATCAAACATATTTGTCAAAGATGATGCTTGCTGTGTTGATGTTGTCTCATCTCGCTAAAAAAAATGTATCGGAAATAAGCAAAAATGACAAGAATTAATGAGTATTTAATACGTGACAGGCGAAATTCTTCATTCTACGCATTCTATTTTTAAATGATAATAATTGTGGCATTTTCTTTTTTTTGTGGGTTTTTTTAAAAAATTATAAAGAACGGGTTAAATAAAAATAGCTCAAATCTAATTGGATTGCATGCTCAAAAAAATCATAATAATAAGTCAACTTGATATTACACTCAAATGTACTATTCGACTTACTGATCGATGTCTTTGATGTGTTTTAAACAAAGAACGTTGCCTTGTTAATGAAGCATGACGGACCTAATCATTTTGTATTTACAGTAATTGTTAATTTTTTTTTCGGTTTCACATTTTTTTCGGATAATAAAATTATTTATGGATTATGTGTTAGTAGAGTAAATATTTAACCAGAAAAAATGGGAGCGAATTGCATGAGAAGCGAGTAGAAGAAAAGTAATGAAATCGTTTCATTAATATTGGATTAATATTAGTCAGTCAGTTTTGTTAGTAATTCATTGGAATAATCTGCGAGATATTCAAAATTTTCAGATTGCAATAAAGTTAATAACCGTTTTTTGACATTTGAATTTTAACGGACTTTTGAGTTTTGAATTTAAACCAAGTTTTTTAAAGCATAAATTTCAAAATCATTTTTTTCTGTTAAAAAACAGTCATTGACAAACAATGATTATCTCGCAGAATCGCAATAAAATAATGAATTAAGAAGTAAAATGAGACTTACTTGACGATACTTGTGTGGTATTGTTACAGTCGGCAGTTGTTTTGGATTATGTTTCACTTGTCTCACAATATCTTTAATCATGTCGATAAATATTTGACTCTGTTCCTCTGATAAAAGATCTTGATCGACCTAAAATGCAATTTAAAGTCAGTCAAAACACAAATAAAATCAAATAATTGTATAGCTTACTAAATCCTTGGCGACTTCATCTGGATTAACTTCATAAACATCAAATTTAAACGTAACAGTTTTTGGCTTAACTTCCATTTCACATTCAACAACTTTCTCCTCATTCAAGGTTAACACGACAAGCTTTGGATATCTTTCTGATGACTTGTTGGACCGTCTTTTCTTCATTGATGTACCACCACTTGTCGTACTACTAGTTCCACTAGCTGTGCTTCCCATTCCAATTCCAGAATCTCCTTGTTGTGGCTGCATTTGTTGTTGTTGTTGATTGGGAATAGATTTAGGAGCTTGATCATGAACGACAGGCGAAGGATTTTGTTGATTATTAATGATTGGCACGTTAATTTGGCCTTGCTGTATTGGAAGCTTCTGATTAATTGGCTGCTGTTGATTGATATTAGTCATTGGTGAATTTTGAATGATGTCAGGCGGCTTAGAAGATGTCATATTTTGCTGATTCTGTTGCATTTGCATTTGATGCTGTTGTGGAGTTTGAGATAAAGGTGTATGCTGCTGCTGCTGTTGATTCATTTGCTGCTGATGAGCTATTGGCATTCCTTGTTGATTTTTTTGCTGGGAATTTTGTTGTATCATTTGATTCTGATCATTTATATTTTGCTGTTGTTGCTGTTGATACATCATTTGATGATGTTGTTCAAGTGCATGCTGTAATTTTGCCAGTTCTTTCTCTTTTGCGGCTGCCTGTGCCTGCGCAATTCGCTCTTTACGATCTTTCAATAATGTATGCACTTGAACCTTTAAAAGTTTCGCTACAGCCCTCGAATCTTCCTCTAATATCAAGCCAGACTTGTGCATTTCATTAGCAATCTCCTCAAAGTCGTCAGCTGTAATATCGAAATCAAATTGAATTGCTTCATTCTCTTTGTGTGACTTGACAGCTTTCCGTTTTGGATCCATACGTAATCGAAATTCTATTTTAGTTGCATCAAGATTTGTCAAGAAATTATTTTTCGATGATGGTTCGGGCTAAAAATATCAATAGAAAGATTAAATGTATATATATAAGAAGGAATGTCGATCACGAGTGAATGATTATTTACCTCTAATGTAATTCCAGCCACTTCACAAAAGAAATCAAATTTTAATAATTCAGCACAATTAGGCCTTTCCTCCTTATTGAGTCTTATGCAACGTTCAATAATTTCAGTCACTTCTGGATTATCGACTTTCTCAAAACTTGCTGGCTTTACGCCACTCGTAACTTTCTTATAGATTTGTGCCGGTCCAGAGCATTCATTGTATGGATATTCACTCGTTGCCATCTCTAACATACACATGCCAAATGCATAGACATCAACAGCTTCATCGTAATGCTCTTCGTACATTTCAGGAGCTATTAGAGGAAATAAGCGAGATTAAGATAAGAATTATCGACAAAAAAAAAAAGACGTTTAATTAATTAAAAGTCATAAGACGGACGTATGTGGCGACAATGACACGATAAGCGCATTCAAATGATAGATTAGGGATTTGCGATTCAAGCTTACCCATAAATTCTGGAGTTCCAATGACAGATTTAGCATAACTTCGATTCTTTAAAGTCGCAAGACCAAGATCACCAATTTTAACACTTCCAGTTGTTCCAGTGATGAAAATATTGTCACATTTCAAGTCACGATGAATAATAGGCGGCGAGCGTGAATGTAAAAAGGCTAATCCTTTTAAAATTTGACGACACCATGAGCGAAGCACTTTTTGATTAATTTTCTTAAATCTTCTAAGATACGATTTTAAAGTTCCAGATAACATCAATTCAGTTATGAGTACTAAACTCTTCTTTTTAGCTATAGTAGTTTCCCAATAATTATAAAACCTCACAATATTTGGATGTTGAAGCTTCTTCAACATCTCAGCTTCTTCACGAAATCGTTGACGTTCCATTTTATTCACTTTCTTATCTAACAATTCACACCATGCAACGGCAACTCCTGTATGAGAATCAAGTCCACGAAAGACTGTCTTAAATGATCCACGACCAACTTCGATGTCATATTTAAAGAATCGTCCACAAGGTGAAACACCAATTGGATCATCTTCATCCTCTTCCTTTTCTTTCTGAAGTTGTCTTTCGACTATTTTTGGATCAAATTGTGGACCATATGGAATTTTATCTTCACCAGTCGTTGCCTTAAATTCCTCTTCAATCTTTTCTTCCTCGCGTGACAATATCTCAATGTTATCATCAAGATTTCGAGGATATTCAGTCTCGATTGTATCATTTGATGAGTCATAAATTCCACGTGCAACAAAAGCACCCATCAAGCTTGTATTTTCAAGACTCTTACGATAAAAACGACTAGCTTTTTGCTCAAATGAATTATTGCTATTTGTATTAGCTTGACGTAAAGCTTCCAAATCAACTTTTGGAGGTGTAGGAGGTCTAGGCGGTGGAGTTGGGGGCCTTTGAACAATATCCTCATCTTTCTTTTTAACTGTATCACCTCCATGATGATTATTAATATCAGTTGTCTTGCTACTATTAATTTCAACAGCCTCAATTGCCGTATCAATTTCATTTTTCTTCTTCATCGTCATCTCACTGCTATTTCCTTCACGTTCCTTTCCACGATTACTGGCTAACGGTGACGGTTCATGCTCGATTGGAACAACCGAACTTTTACGCTCCTGACTAGAACTAGTACTCTGATGACTACTTGACGGTGATTCACTTTTCGTTGAACCAGATCGTGAAAGACTCATTTTAGTCGCCGATGGTAAGGCAAAATCAATTATACGACTTATTATTCCACCCGTGGTTGATGTTATACTTGATCCTGTTGTATTATTAGACTGATTAGCACTTTGATTTTGTTGTGCCTGCTGATGTTGCTGTTGAGATGATGATGATGATGTACCACTTGATGGTCGTCGTTGGCGCGAGGCTTGACCTCTTTGCGCCGTCGTTTGATTCCTGCAATTATCACATTTCATTAAAACATTCTTACTAATTGTTATTTTGGTTAAAATTTATCTGTCGAGAGCGCATTTTTCCCACAAAGAATTAAAATTTTCATTAAACTTAAAATATAAAACCAAACTGTCGAAAAAAAATAACTGTCAAAAAATATTTGAAAATATAACGATCAAAAAAATATTCAAATTTCATGAACCGATAAGAACCGATTCAAAGGATTTCAAATTTTAGGAGACGGTTGGGAAAATGCAAATAAGTAAAGGATAATTTGGGGAATTTGGGCAATTCTCACTTGTTCCTTTGCGTGATGTTTCTGTTATTAGATCCTCCTCCAAAAGACCGAAAACTGGGCACTTGTTGAGATATGAATTCAGTAGTACCTCTTCGACTACTAACTGGATGATGTCGATAACAGGCACGATTAATAAAATGATTGGTGTTATTATTGGTATTGTTATTTGGTTCTATTAATACTTCTTCGTCGTCCTTATTAGGATCGTTGAGCTGTTGATCAACATTTGAATAAATTTTATTGTTATTATTATTGATGGATTGTAATGTCTGATTGTAAATGACGGAGCGCGATTGAGTCACTTGATGTTGCGTCTCAGCAATGTTAGATGATGATTGGCTGATGGCAGATGAGTTGTTATGAGTTTCTTGCAAAATAGCCCTGTGATTTTTTTTATGATTTTTTTTTCAAAGATATTTTATGTTTTTTTGTATTGCCAAAAAGGAACAAGACAAAATCAAAAAAACGAGAATTCCAAAACAGGGGAAGAAAAAAGGAGAATGAGAAAAAGAAAGGAAAGCTAATATGAGTTATCTGTCTTCTTGACTTCAATAATGGAAATTTTTTAATTAATATGATAGTGAGAAAATATAAATTTACAACGATTTTAATTAAATTAATTATGATGACAACAAAAAAGAGATTGAGCGATGCCTTGAACTTTCAATTTAAAGAAAATGATTACCGAATAATATTTTCTGTTTTTGTTATTTTATCTCGAGTAAATGCGATGCAAATTACTAGCAATTTATCTAAATTCATTGTGTTTTTTCTAGAAAAGTTTCGAATGGGAATGATAACGGAACTTTATTTCCTTGGATACTGAGTGCATCTGCGCTTTAATTGATTTATCTTAGCTTTGAAGGAACAGAATTTTCCATAAAAATTTGAGTACCTTTTGTGATAACTTTTCGTATTTCTGTTCCTAATGAGAGCTAATGAGACTGCTTTATAATAACGAAGAATCGATAAATTAGAACAAAACGACTTTAAAAAATTCAAATTAAAAACTCAGAATCTTACAAATTACTAAAGGTTTTTAACAGCATTAGTAGAACTTGTATGGTTCTCAAACAATCAGCATATGTGCTTAGCAGCAAACTTAAACAAAAAATAGGACTATGAAAATTAATAAAAGAATCTACAATATCCACAAATAGAAAATTCGATAAAAAGCAATAAAAATATTTTTATGGATATTACGCAACTATCAGAAAACACCGATCAAGTCAATCAACTTCGATCTCTCGTTACCATTCCAATAGTCAATCGTGGTCAATGTCCTTTACAGATTTAAAAGCTTAAGCACGTCAATTAAATGTACTGTGAAAACTGGCCTTAATCAAAGACTCATTTATCGACAAGTATCTATCTGCAACACATTGAACAATCCAGAGAAAATGACTTCATGATCATATGATGAAAAAAGAAAGAAAAAGCAGCAGAAGCAGAAGAAAAAATATTTGAAATCTAAAGTAAGAAGAAAATTTTTGCACCATTCAGGCAGTGCAAAAAAAAGAAGTAATTTAGCGAAAGCAGAAATTGTTGATTATTGCAGAAAAATGCCTGGTCAAGGGAACAATAATAATTTGAGACATCCAAAAAAAGAAGTGATTCTAGCATTTCTATACATGCACTTTCATTTATGCAGCTATGCAAATTGTAATTTTTTTTATTCACCGCAATTTAAGGCTAGAGACGACGTCACACAAACATTTGGTTTGAGTGTACATAAAAATAAACAAGATGAAGTTTGGAGGAAGGAAAGAACATATTGTTACTTTTCGATTGATATAAGTTACTGAAACCGCAATTAACGACTACAAAAGATATATTTTCATTTTTAAATCGATTGCACTTTATGAACAGATTGGGTGGGTGTAAAAATGGAAAGAAATTAAAAATAATGCACAATGAAATTGGGAGAGTCGTTCACTTGTTACGTACGCTTACTATAAGGATTTCAATTTAATTCAATCTAAAGAGGACTCACTTATGACGTCAGAAATTGAAAGTTCTATTGTTATTGGGTTGTACCTACCCTCCCATAACCTTCCTAGGCGTCATAAGCAAATGCCAATTAATACTTTAAGTTACATAACAAGCAAACAGACCCCAAACAATAAGAAAGAAAATAAGAGAAAAATGATAGACAAAAGTCACAGACAGCGAGTGACTATAGCGCACTAATTAGCACTGTCAGTGCCTGGAAAAAGTGAATAACAAAGTGCATGACCAAAAAAAAATATGCGCTAAATTAAAAATGTAAAAATTGTGATGCCAAAGAAGGCAAAAGAATTTCCAACTCGACTTTAATTTTTAGGAGTTGCGAATGAGTCACTCACCCGATTGTTGTCGAAAACGGCGACTTATTTTCGTCAGCTGATAACTTTGGATTTGTCGATGCACTGGTTGATGTACTGCAAGATTGTTGCGTGGCTGTTCCTCTAACAACCTTTTGAGCCGCATTATTGCGACGTCCCACTTTGTCTGCCTGTCGTTGCCCCAATATGACAGATTTTATTTACCGGTGCCAATATGAATCGTCGTAAGTGTTCTGTGTGTTTTTGTTGTGTCTTTCACTTCTTCTCCTTATATTTTAACTTATATATTCTTTATTTATTTATGTATTATTTAATAATTTCACTTTAGATGATTTCTATATATTTGTTGTAATTACAAGATGCCTGTCTGCCTATTATTCACAATTTTTTTTATATAGAAGAAAATTCACACTAATGCTCTCGGGAGTCCGTTCAAATCAACTTTTAAAATACAATTGAGCGAAATTTTTTTAAATTGAACAAATGTTGGAATTGGAAACTATAATGTATAATAACTTGACTTCCAATGAACGAGTAGTTGTTGCACCTTATTGGCGAATTTTTTACTCTTTCTCTCGCTATACTTGGGCTGCTTTTTTTATATACACACAACTGATATTATCATATTTCTTTACTTCTTCTGCCGGGATATTTGTTTAACTTATAACTCGCTCATACTTGAAGAAAAAAATCAAGTTACAAAATATATAACGAATTATAATTTAAAAGGAAAGACTCTCTCGCAAAGCAATATTCTGTACTCTTCTTTTTCCTTTGCAGGCCAAAAAGAAATGAAATGAATAAAAAAAATATTGAGGAAATGTTTTATATTATGTCGCGCACAAAAAAAATATATCTGTTACATGCACACGGCTATTTCGTCGACAGTTCAATCAAATAATTATTATTGCCATTCAGTTAAATGTTTTTTTTTTTGTTCCTTATTTCACCTCTTCTGGTTTTCGACAGACAATAACTTGATGTGTGTGCTATGTGCTATATTATATGTTTACACTGAATATCTCACTAAACACTGGGTTATATTCTTTTTTTTTTTTTGCTTACACAACACGCAAAGATCTCTTCTTATTTCAAAAGAATATTACACGAAAATTATATTGATGATAAAGAGAGAACTATTTGCTTCCTCTGCTAGCTGACTGTAGTTTGAATCAAATGAAATTTTCCATCAAATTAGGTCGTATATGTTTTGTTGTTGATGCATGACATTCGACATTCAGCCGGTTTTTATACATTCGTTGGAGACGATGATGTGAATAAAGAAGAAAAAAAATCGATAAAATTTTCCTTTGCCGATAATTTCGATACTGCTCCCGTTTTTAAGCTTTTTTTCTCTGTGTCTTATAATCTCATAGACTATTTAACTCGTTCAATTTATGATTCTGAGAGTCTAAAATTAAGAAAAGAATTTTTGATTAATCATATGGCTCTTATGCATGTACGGTATGTTCTAAGAGTTGCACGCAGGGTTGTAGACTAGATAATTTGTGACTTTGTGGATGCTGTGAATCTTTTAAATATAGACTAGACTTAATAGACTTTAAATCTTTCAACTGTGACTCAGACAATGAAAATTCTCATTTCTATGATTATTTGTCACAAATTCACATTCAACAACTCTGCGGTTAAGAAAAGCAGATCCACAAAAAATTGAGTCACTAGACATGCACACATTCACATCATCAAGATTTTCTTAAGTCTCACTTCAATTTTTTTTTTTGCATAAAAAAAACTTGGTTTTATGTCCGTTTACATCAATTGCGCATCATTAATTTCGTGATATTGTTTTTGACTGAGTCAATACATACGTTAATTAATTGAATATGTTTCAATCTATGCTATATGTCCCGTGTGTAGACTTAATATTCTTTTTTTTTTGCTTATGCGATGATGTGATAATGATATGTGATGTGAGAAAGAAGAATTGAGATAGAAGAAGACGAAGGAATTCGTGTGTAGTATATTAAAGAAAATTGGGATATTGAACTTGATAACGAAATAAAAGCTGAACAAGCTGAACACATAGAAAATCGTCGTAGAATTAATTAGGAAATCAATAAAAATTGACTATCAGTTAATGTAATTAAAATTCCTCCAATTTATAGTTCAACTGATAGTGAGGAATGTCTATTTATAGTCACATTCAAAAAATATATAAATATATGATACGTGACTAAGAGATTATTCCCTTTAAATTGCGATTTACAATAACAAAAATTTTTTAAAAAATTTATTGATTTATTTCATTTTACAGGAATTTCTTCGTCTGATTACTTCACTCATTTGCGCACTCAATAACACTCCATACACTGTTATCAATGACGATTAATTAAACTATATTTACCGTGAAATTATAAATCCAAATATTTTCTCGAAAAAAAAAAATAAAAATTTCAACTAAAACTTTTTAAACAGTCGTTTTGAGTAGAACTTCATTGAATTCTGCTTAATCCTGTTGACTACTATGTATTGCATTAACACTAACTTAAATAACTTTCATTAAGTCCTTAAATTTCAAGAAATTAATTTAATGAATTTTCTTCTACTCTTTTTAAAAAAATGTTAAAACCCCTCGTGCTTTGCCTTGTAACATGAGCGCTTTTTCTTACTTATTCGCCTGTATCTTATTGACAAATCTGCTCGCAAAGTACTTATAAATATTGGTGTTAGCTTATAAAACCAATTTTCGAGTAATATTCAAGAGATTTTTTGTTTGAACGGTTTTTTGAAATTCAAGTACTATCCGGTTACTAAAATTTGAAAATTTTACCGTTAAAAGTTGTTTTAAAATTTATTTTGACTCTTAAAAATTGCAATTTCCTATATCATGCTTCAAACTCGAGGTCTCTGTAACGATCATTGGTTTTATCATCAAACTTATCCAGCCAACCAGACAAAGTGAATATAACAGTGCCTTATTAAAAGGAAAACAGCTGAAAGTCAAGTCAGTACTTTTTCCTTGGACAATTTTCTGAAAATTTCACAAATTCAAATTTTCATAAAACCGTTACTAGATGTTTCAGCTCATAAGTTTTTGCACAAGTATTTTATTCATACCCTGTTTTTTCGTTATAAGCTAGTAGCTTAGAATAATAAAAAAGTGATTTTTTTGGATCACTAGTAGCTTAGTAACGAGTAGTAGCTTATAACGAAAAAACAGGGTATAATGATGAGGGATTCATAAAATGACTCATGCCTATAAAGATCCACCGAATGACGAAAATCACGACAAATCAATAAGAACATTTTTTACAAAATAGAAATTTATTCTCATAATTCATAATTTCATAGATTATTGATAGATATCTAATCGAAAAACACCAAAATATTTCTTTAAACATTTTTACATTTGTATTCTTATTGAATTATTTTCCCTTCTTTTAAATCTGTGGCTCATTAAAATTATTCGCAATCAATTTAGGCGATGCAAGTGTAATTTTCCTCGGACGTCCAACACCCTTTTTCTCTAAATGCTAAAGATTTTTACTCTCTCGATCCTTCTTCTTCCGCTTCTTCTTCTTTCCTTCCAACTGATCACTTTGCTTTCGGCTGATGCATGCTCGACAGAACCAGTCCTCATTTTCATTCGGTTCTACTTTTATTCCAACACATGCCCTAAAAACACAGAAAGATAAAATAAAAAAAAAAAATCATGTTTAATAAGAAAACATCTCTCGGGTTATGTCTATAGATATAATAACGTTTCATATGCATTCATCGGCTAACTGAACAGCTTGTTCTGTTTTTGTGTAAATCAATAAAATGATTATGACTATTGTTGCACTAGTTTGAAACAATAGAAATCCTTTTTCGAGTGTTTTGAAACTGTATAAATTACTTGTTATAGAACCTTACAAATGTTTTAATTTTTTTTTTGGAATTGTAACGTTTTAAATGATACTTTAGCTAGCCGATTCAAAAATAAAACTAGGTAATTAATAATAGATTATAAAAGTATGAGTAAATTAGTCAGCAGTTTACAATAATAAACTTTAGTGATTATTTATAAACCCTGTGTAAGTAAGACTACAAAAACAAACAGAACAGGTGAGCTTTTGATTCAAAAAATAAATTAAGAATGACACTACTTAATGAGGTGTAAATATATGAAGCCATTGACTGTGTAATTGTTAAAAATTAACAGAAATGATATGTACTTACCAATGATACCAAGCATCACATGCATCACAGCCAATCATTGGGGAACCATCGTCAATGGATCCACACGCTGGACATATCCAAACTGTACTACCATCAGCGTCCTAGTGTTTATTCATCAATTGAAACAAATGTCAGAAAGAAGATAGAGAAGAGAAGAAAATGCAAATAAATTTTGTGTTTCTCAAATTGTGCGGAAAATTACAATAAATGATTTTTTTTCAACATCCCAAATAAAATTAAAACGTATAAACTGCAGAATATGCAAGCATTTTGTGAAAGGAACCAACATAATGATTCAACTAAAAACTCAAAAAATAAGCAAAAAGGAACAGCATATTTACCACAATCTTTTCAGTTTCATTTTTTCTTTTTAAACTTTCAGTTTTTTGGCTTGCCTTAGGCGTTGCCGTTAAGTCTACTTTTGACGATTCAGGCGTCTGTTTAATTTTTCCTTCTTTTACTACGCTAGAGCTCTCATCATTACTTGATGCCTTTCCAATTTTCTCATCATCTTTTTTCTCTGAATTCATGGGCGATTGTTAGTAATAAAATGGACACATAAATGATTAGATATATATATATGAGACAAAATGAGGTCTATTAAATGATTATTTCAGTGTCTGCTAAACTGCTTCAATTTCAAAATCGAACAAAAATTATTTAAAATTTAACTGTCAAACAACATTCAAATTTAGCGAACCGATTTAAAATTTAAAAAATCCGTTAAATTTACAGCATGCACAGTTTGACAGACACTGAATCATTAGTTAATTAAGGTATAATTGCAAACACATTGGTTAATAGAATTAATATGATTCAGCTTCAATTTTTCATCTAAGCTTATTCACAAAGCTCTTTTTAGGAATGGAATTATTTGATGAATAGACACATTACAAGTTGAATGACTAATGACGGATGATGATCGAAGGATATGGGATTTGATTATGGACGAGGGACAAACAAATAATATTCCATACACACGTTGGTCCCATCACTCATTTGCTAGATTTACCCCGCTTTTCAGTATACTCACAATGTACGAAGCTTTATTCTGAGTTATATTCCATGACTGATTATTATTATCATTATTATTGTTGCTATATCCTAAATCTTGTGGCTGTTGATATGTTTGTTGCTGATATTGCACATTTTGTGTAGGATATTCAGTCGGTTGCTGATAATTTGGCGTTTGATAATGAGTTTGCTGTTGTTGCAATGGTTGTTGATAATTAGTCTGGTACTGACTCGAATAAGATGAGTATGGTGAGCTTTGTTGATAATCCATATATTGTGGATTATTATAATCATATTGATTCATATAATTTGATTGCTGTTGTTGGTGGTAATAATCACCACTTGTCGTCGTCGACGAATAAATTGAAGCTGATCATTCGTAGAGTAAATTTGATATTTTTTTTGTGTCGAATTTTAGAAAGAAATTCAAAATAATAAAATAGTAACTGACATTAATTATACTTACTCGTATGTTTAATTTTCGGTGGACGTGTTACAAGCGGAGATATCCTTGCTAATTCTGGTGATGGATCTCTAGCATATCCACTCAAATGAGGCGACAATCCACGATGACTTGTGTCTTGATGAGGCGATGGAAACTCAAAGTCTTCATTCCTTGATCGCTGGATGATTCTGAAGTGTTAATAATAGAAATGATCAGATCAATATTGTCATAAAAATATTCGTGTTTTAATGCTAATTTTTTTTTTTACAGCCAATACATAACTAATAAAATAATAATACTTTAATCTTTTTAACGGAATCATGTTAAATAATAAAAGGAACTGCTTTTAAAAAATAAATGAAAACAGTAAATTCATTGAAAACTCTTACGTCTTTTTGTGAGTATCTGGTGTGTTCGGTCGAGGTGAATTTAATTTAAGCATTAATTTTGGAACTGAGGATGTAGAATTATTGTCAGCTGTATCTTCTGTATCATTACTTTGACTATCCAATGTCGACATTGAGGCTCTATGCTTCTCTTTATCCTTATGTTTATCCTTCTTCTTCTTCTTTTCCTTCTTTTTCTGTGGATATAAATACAATTTATTTTAAGGGATGCAGAATGATGTCAATGAAAATTGAATTAAATAAATCCACAAGATTTAAAAGAAATCTCAGGATTAAAAATCAAATCCTATGAATTTAAGTCAAACTTAAATAAATATAATGACTAATAAGTAATTTCATACCTTTTTGCGTTCCTCCTTGTCCTTATCGCGTTCCTTATCACGGTCTTTATCCTTCTTTTTCTTCTTCTCTTTCGATTTTTCCTTAATAACTGGCTGCTGTGGAAGTAATTCTGAATGTTCAGGAATTGTGGGTAGATTATTTTCTTGTTGGAACGATGACGTAATTGCTGTTGGAATCGACTCTGTAATAATATGGGTAGAACCTGATGTAGATGGCATTGGAGCTGTCATTGTAGGCTCTGGTGATGAATCTTTTGTGAGATCAAATGTCTCAACTTTCTCATCAATAATCTTTTTAGCAGGCGTAGACATTTGTTGTTGCTGTTGATGATGCTGATCTTTTAAAAGTTGATCAAATGCAGTATTCATGCTCTGTTGCTGTAATGGGAAAGTGTCAACATTCATCAATGGGGGATCAAAATGACGTTCCTTAATAATTGAGGGTGGAACTAAAGGTGCTACATTGCAAAACTTGCTGCCCATTGTCTGGAGAATTTCCATCGTTGGTTTGGCAGGTTTTGGAGGTTTTACCTTCTTTGGTTTAATTGGTGGTGACGGTTGTTGTTGTTGTTGCTGTTGGAATAAATTCATATCCATGCCATATGGATTAAGCATAGCATTTAATGGCGATTGTTGCATACTAAATGGTGCTTTTGGAATCAAACCTGGACCTGATGAAAATATATCAGTGACAGGCATTGAGAATGGATTTCTATTGAGCATGAATGAATTTGCTAAATTTCCCATTAAACTGCTAGTCTGTAAATTTTGTAAGAAAGAATTATTTTGAGATGCCAAATCGAAGGGATTTGGAAAGTGCTGTTGTTGATTCTGAAGATTTTGTCCACCCATCCAATCAGTTTGATCGAGATTGACTTTCTTTTCCTTCTTTTTGCGTTCTTTCTTTTCCTTTTTCTCGACATTTTGTGACATTTTAAAGTCTGGAGTTTTGGGTGGAATTGTTGGTGTTTTTGGAACTGGCATTTCTTCAAATGATGAGTCATTGCTTCTAGATGGTCCTGAAAGATTCATCGGCATATTTAAGCTGTCATCAACTCGCGTTAAAGTCGTTTCTTTTGGTAATTTGTGCACTTTTTTCATTGGATCAGCAAATGTTTGTGGTGGATGAGATGTTGATGGCTGATTGGTGTCAAATCGATCTAATTTTGATGGTGTCAAAAAATCCATTTGAGACTGCATAGATTGTTGTTGATGCTTAATTGGATCCTCTTTAGGTTTTGATATCTTTTTGAAAATGTTTAATTTTTGTTTATCTGGTTCCGAAATTAATTTTCCTTCAATTAATGGATTTTGTGTAGACATTAAAGGTGTTTGTTGTGATCCGAAAGAATCAAGAATTGGATTTGGAAATAATGCATGAGCAGCTCCTGTTAAATATTTATGTGCTTGAATCTGAGTGCTTGTAGCTAATGGCTGACTAATTGATGTCGGTAGAACTTGATAAGGATCAAATGTTGACTTGCTGTCCATGAATCCTTGATCGAATGACTGCATTTTGGGATGTTTCGGTGGTTTTTCCTTCTTTTTCTTAACTTCATCCTTATTTTTCATTTTTAATTTTTTCAGTTCCTTTTTACGTTCAGCCATAATCATGTGTTCATTAGCTTCGCGTGGCATAATTATTGGAGGTGCTAAACTCTGTTGAGGTGGAATTGGATCATATTGAGCTAATTCATTTGGATCTGGCAATGAATATTTATCCTTAAAATGTTTATCCTTTTTCTTTTCTTTATCGTGATTTTTTTTCTTTAATCTCTTTTCAAGTTTTTTATCAGTTGGTCCAGATGAAGGAACACTGAATGGAGAATCTTTAGACTTAAATGTTGATGGTGATATCATAGGCGGTGGAATTGGTTTTGGGAATTCTTCGACTAATTTCGGTGGCTTGCTTTCTGGCAATTTTCCTTCTCGAGCAGGTGAAATAAACCCAGATGTAGTCATCATTACTGAACTTATTTCTCTTGTTGCTCTTCCTTCCTCCTCCAACTTAATTTTCTTTGCTGGATTCGAATCAGTCTCTGCTGGACGCTTAAATACATCATCATTTGGCAATCCAACGACATCAATGTCTTTCTCACCATTCGAATATGTCGCTTCTTCTATGATTAATTAATTAATTAATAAATATGTTAATTGTAAAAATGTATTGTTACCTTCTTGTGGATTAATTGGAGGCAAATGCTCATGAATGTGTACAGGACGAGTCAAAACTTCTTTGCTTCCGGGTTTTAGGAAATTAAAATGGGAATCTTTTGCGACAGGATATTTAGGTATTTCCAAGTTTGTAATTATTGGATCAACATAACTAATATATTCAATTATTTCGTGCATATTAATCCCCATATCTCTTAATGTTAGTTCTAAATCGTCTAGATTTCCTTCCGTTCTGTTATCTACAAAATTATAATCATTATCTATTTGTTCACTGGATCATTAAAATTGTCAACTTACAGTGCTCAGTATAGTCATGCGTTGTTCTGCATATTTCTCGAATATATCGGTCAAGGATATCGACCATAATTTCTAATGCTGTTCCAGTGACTCCTTGCCATCCAACAGTCTGACAAATTTTTGCCACTACAACCCGTAAAAGCTGATGCGTATAACTTGAACTTGATTGCATTTCGGGTACTTTTTATCAAGAAGAAGAAGAAGTGTCTCAATATTTTTTATCAATTTTTCTCAATTCATTGGAACTTTTACTTCTTTCCTTCAATTGCTTAATGTTTAAGATGTACTTATAAACAGCTTAAAACTATTTATGATTCACAATTTCTCTATTTAACTGGTTTAAAATCAATTTTTGATAATTTTTCAAATTTTTTATTTTTATTTTAAACAAAGGGAACGTAACTATGAATTTTAAAAGTCAAAAGTGCGCGAAAATATAAATTTTTAAAATCAGCTGTCCCGTTAAAGCCGGCTTATTCTATGTACTTACCTGATTGTTTTGCTGTATTTTCCTTATCAAAAGTTTATGCAAATCTGGAATGAAAGTTTATGAACAAAATTTGAAAACCTCACAAATGTTTTTTAAAATATGAATTTGTATGGTTCTCTGAAACTCAACATTTGTAAAGTTTTTAAGCACAAAGAGCATTTAAAATCTTTGTAGGTAAATTAAATTTTTATTATTTTCATAAATTTGATGCAAAGTGAATAATGTGACATGATGCTTATATTGGCTTATAGTCTAATTTACTCTCAAGCTTCTTGTTATCTGAAACCTTTCTGACTGCCTTCATAAAATCTTCTTGAACGACATATTCACGTTCAGCACTGAAAATAAATAATATGATTACTTATAGGAACAATTAAAATATAAATAATAGCCTTACCGAATAGCAAATAAGCCAGCTTCAGTACAAACATTTCTCAAATCAGCTCCATTGAAACTATCGGATAATTTAACAATAGCTTCATAGTCTATTTCTCCATGCTTAGCAATTGGACCAGCATGAATTTTTAAGATTTCAAGACGAGCTTGTTCATTAGGTAATGGAATCTCAATTTTACGATCTAAACGTCCAGGACGTAAAAGAGCTGGATCTAAGGTATCTGGTCGATTTGTTGCCATAATCATCTTTACTTGACCAAGAGAATCAAAACCATCCATTTGATTTAACAGTTCCATCAAAGTACGCTGGATTTCACGATCTGCTGATGTTCCTTCTGAGAATCTTCTGCCACCAATAGCATCAATTTCATCCATAAAGATAATACATGGTTGATGATCTCTTGCATAGTTGAACATTTCACGAATCAAACGTGCAGATTCACCGATATACTTGTCGACAATAGCACTTGATACTACTTTAAGGAAGTTTGCGTCCAACTGAGAAGCTACAGCACGAGCCAACAATGTTTTACCAGTTCCAGGCTGTAATTACAAAAGTCATTATATCTTAAACATTTTATAACAAATGAGAATGTAACAAACTTACAGGTCCATAAAGCAGGCATCCTTTAGGTGGTGTGATTCCTACTCGCAAGAACAATTCTGGATTCAATAAAGGAAGTTCAATAACTTCACGTAATTCACGAATTTGTTCAGAGAGACCACCAATAGCTGAGTATGTTACATCACCTGGATCTTCGTGAGACATATTGTAGACCAAAGGATCTACTTCTCTTGGCAAATAACGCATAATTGTTAATGTCGTCATATCAAGTGCTACTCTAGTTCCTGACTTTAACTTTGCTTTGTCCAATTGACGTCTGCATCCAACAACATATCGCGGACCGTTGGTTGCCTTAACAATAACTGGAAGATGAAATAATGTGAATTAATAACTGAAAAAGATCCAGTGAATGAAATAACTTACATTTATCTTCAGTAAGCTGTTTCAAAACTTCTCCAACAATCTGTCCCACACTTTGTAATGCCTTTAAGTCATTTTCTGACTTATCAAACTGCTTTGTGCTCTCTTTTAAGGATTCTCGGACTAAATTGATAATCTTTATTGTTAAAAATATCAAATTTTTTGGAATTTAACAAAACTCACTTTCTTTGAGTCTAGATTCGACTTCCTTATGTTCTAACAGCTTCTTACGATAATCCTGAAGTGACTTTTCACGAACTGTATCTCCAGCAACAGTCATTTTGCCTTATTTAAGTGATTTTAAAGGAATTAAACTTTTTTGAATTTTGTTGGACGATGAATGATTCTGCAAATTCCTTTAAATCTCGAAAACCCGTTAAAAAGTACAGAACAAGTACAGCATAACCTCGGTAAATCGACATGCTTACAATAATAAACACGGCAACGTGAGAATAAAATAATTAATAAAAATGGGTGAAACGAGGCTGTTTATTGGAAATATTCCTGCCAATACTGTTGAGAGTGAGCTAGAATCAGAATTTGGATTTTATGGAAAGGTCAAAAGTGTTGAATTAAAGAAGAAAAGTGAAGATGAAGTTATGTATGGATTTGTAAACATCGAAATTGATGAGAAATTAGTCCAAAAATGTAAGTTAATTAAGTTAACAACTATATACAGATATTTAGAAGCATATTAATCTATTGTAGGCATTCGAGAGTTTGGTCAGCAGCAATTCAAAGGAAATTATCTTTCTGTATCAAGGTATGTCGAGCTTCTTAAATGGAATAATGCACAAGTGCAAATACTATCCGATGTAAATGCTACAGTGTTTAAAATTTCCTTCATTTCAGAGCAAAAGAAAGTTTTCTGGATCGTCTAAAAAGGGAACGTGAGCAGTTAGACAGACTAGGTGACAACTCAATTGGGAGAAAACTGATTGAAATATCTATGAAATCAGTGACTGAATTAGATGAGCCTGTAGAAGTTGCAGAATTGCCAAAAATTGAGAAAGAAGTCTCAAGTGACGAATCTAGTTCCGATGAAGAGGAAGAGATTGTCATCAAACCAGCTGTTAAGGTTCCAGCATTTCCAAAAAGAACTACTTTTGACTCGACAATGAGTTATCAAAAAGAGGAACCGAAAGTGCTTGATCAAGCAACTTTAGATGACATGAAACGTCAACAGAGTCTTCAAAAGCTTATTGACATGCACAAGAATCAAAAGGATGCAATTAAAAATGCTCTTTTAAATATAGATTCAACGACACCGAGAAATAATAAGATTGTCTTCGAAAAGCCAGATCCAGTAATAAAATCCACAGCTATTGAAGCTAAAAAGACAACACTATTTGATGAAAATGAATATGACGAAGAAGAAATGGAAGTAGCACCAGAATCCTTTAAAATTAAAAAGCAGTTTGAAGGCAAAAAAGGTGAAAGGTTGTTTGAAATCCAAACAAAATTCAATAATGATAGTCGTTTTAAAATGGATGAGAAGTTTGCGGACGATACAGACCAGTTCATTGATTCTCGTAAGAAATATGCAAGAGAGGAACTGAAAGAAAGAAAACGACAACGCAAAGAAATGGCTAATTGGGATCAAGACGAAATGAAAGAAGAACGTGATAATCAATTAAGCATCTTAGAGAGCATTACAGGTCAACCAACAAGCAGTAATCAACAGAAACCACAACAAGGAATGCTTCGATTTGATCCAAGCAAAAAGTCACATCAGAAATATTTAGATGTAGTTAAAGGCGACGAGCAAATCGAAGATGATGACGAGGAAATGGATGTAGATGAAAGTGAGACAAAAGCAGTTGAAAAAGATACAGAAGAGCGATATTATGAAGTATCTGATAATCTAGCGAATGCTTTTAAAGATTCTCAGCCATTTAGCATTTTTGGTATGTTAGGAGTCAAGCATGAAGACATACATGATGATAAGCCAGAGGAAGTAATAGAAACTAAAGAGGTAAAATTGGCACCAAAAATGCATGCATTTCAAATGAATCAAGTTCGATTCAAGTACGATTCATCGGACACTGATGAAGATGCCGAAACTGAAAAGTCCAAGAAAAAGTCAAAGAAGGAACCACAAAAGAAACAATCAAAAGACGGAAAATACACAAAATCAGGTGTTTGGCGCTATAATTTCTTTGTATGTGATGGTGATAAACGTCTGCAAGATGCCTTTGCCTTTTTGAAAAAGGCAGCTTATGTTGATCCAAAAATAATGCTCGAGAATCGTCAAAAGCTGAAGAAAGTCATCAAAAATCAAGTCAGAAAAGCGAGACACGATAAAGAAAAATCGTTTAAGAAACGAAAAGTTTAGACAATACAGAAATAAAAGCATACATGTGCACAATATGACTTAGTATTTCCCCTCCTCCCTACTTATTAAACATATGTTTTCAGCTTGGCTCGATCATCAATTAAGTGATCGTTAAAATTTATTAAATCATCTTATTTTGCTTAATTTAATTTCATTTGATGCTCTTAGGTCATTGCCAATGTCAAAGTCGTTAATTAAATTATTTTCACACTAATACAGTTGATAATTTTAAAGTTCCATCATATGCTGATGGATCGTTAAAACAGGTGTGTTTCAGTTCTTCTATGCTTCTTTCTCACACACAAAACTATTTGTTTCATTGTTATTTTAACTCTCTCGGAATAAACATCGAAAAGCCGCGAAAAGTGCATCGACAAGTGTTTTGTGCTGTGTTGTATGTCTTACAATTATTATTTTTGGTAAAGCTGATTGCATTTAATTAATCTCAATTGCTTGTAAGTGAATCTATTGCGATGGAAGATAAATTAGTCAGAATATATGATGTAATGTCGTTAAAATAGATATCCAGGCAAATATCACAAGACAACAAAAAACCAGTTTTGTGTGAAAGACATAGAAGAAGAAATAGAAAATCTTTGTGGCATGATTAAATGATTACAGTGGAACACGAGGAATTCCATCAATAATAAGACAATAAAATTAATGACAATTCGAGAGAGTTTTGTGCAATTCCCATGTGAATTTCACGAAAATTACTTTTTTGCGTTAGAAAAGAAAAACCGTTTATGATGCATAAAAAGTTAAAATTGCTCGTGATCAGTCACACTAGAATAATTTACATTTTACAACTCTCTTCTGTTATCTTTTCTGTTGGTAGCGTTAACATTAGCGACAAACACAGTTAAAGTTAATAATAATAATCGTCTTCTTTTCTACTACATTCAACACGCATTTTTGTGGATGATCGTGTGGCATCAACATTCGTTTTGACTACTTGCATTGAGTTTTTAAAAGTTTTTGAATTTTTAACGTATGTTTTTTTGAAATTTGAGTTCTGAAAATAGCCGAGCTACATTTTTTGACAGTCAAGACACAATCTCAAATTTTGAATTTAAAACGTTACCTTTGAAGAATCTCCGAAATGCGCTCCACGTGTCAAGAACACTTGTCGTTTATTTTCTTCAAAGCAGTATGTGGGCTAAAAGCAATTTTGTTTTTGATTGCTTGAAAGTAGACTACAAACAATATGTAAATGATTCATAAGCGAGAATCTATTAAGCGCTTATAATGACGACATGTCGCGCTCTATTAGAGAGAGAAATAAAGAACTGATATGTTGTGCCTCTTTTTAAGCGTTTTCTTTTCACTTTCAGATTCAAGTGTTATAGGAAATTTCAAGTTTATTTAGTTTCTGTTCAGACATTAAATCGAGTTGATCGTAATCAAGATAAATCGCTAAAATTATGAAGCGATACTACTGCATTGTTCTTTTTGTGTTATTGAAAATAATTTTCGTTGCCTCTCAACGTGAATATTGCTATTCAAATGATAATGATAAGAAACAAACTAGACAGTATGCAACAAAGACAGCTTATGAAGTAGCGAGAGGGCATGAGAGAAGATACTTCAATGTTCCAAGTAATTAAGCTCAATGTTTAATTATTTTTTAGTTCAAAAGATTATCAAGATGTAAATTGTGTTTATAGAATGTGAGGCTGTGAAGTTTTGGCTCTTATCGAGGCATGGAACAAGAAATCCATCTGCTGGGTCCATTGAAGATATGAGAAAACTCGTTGATGTATGTGAATCAGTTTAGTATCTTAAAATCAACAATTTTAACTGTTTTTGTTAAAGGTCCGCGATGGAATCATTGAGAATCTCAAAAGACATGATAGAGACCGGCATTTAAACCAACTTTGTAACGAAGATCTTGAAAACCTCAAGAACTGGAGACTCGATAATAATTTAACCAGTATGTACAGTAACTTCTTAACAGTTCAAGGCTGGAATGATATGAAGTATATGGCAATAGATTATCAACGAACTTTCCAAAATGTCATCGAGACGAGATACTCGAAAGAAAAGTTCCGATTTGGATATACTGATACTCAACGAGGTGAAGCCAGTTATAAAGCGTTTGTGGAAGGTATTTTATTGGATTTAAAATTTCACTTCTGTCAAGTTTTCTCAATCATTTCTTAATCCTAGGCTTATTTGGACCTGAAGCATACAAGTTGATTGACATTAAGCCAGAACCAAATAGTAGCATATTCCTACGTCCATATGATTCATGTGGTAAATGGGAGGAACAAGAAGATACAGTCAAAAATCAACATTCTGAATATTTCAAGTTCCAGCAATCAGACGTGTTTAAAAAGATGCTTGAAGAAGTTTCCATTAGATTAGGATATAAATATACTCTTACACCGAAAAATGTAGATAAGATTTGGGACATGTGCCGATACGACCAAGCATGGTATTTACAAGAAGATTCTCCTTGGTGTTCTGCTTTCTTGCCCGATCATGTCACTATCCTCGAATACTTAGAAGATTTAAAATATTATTATAAGGCGGGTTTTGGAAATGAACTTAATTCAAATGTCATGTGCATAGCTGTTCAAGATATGCTTAGATTCCTACAAACAGAACATTTACCCAAAGTAGCTGCTTATTTTGCACATTCGTCATCCATTCAACTTTTCTTAACGGCACTCGGTTTTGCGAAAGATAATGAACCTCTCAGAGCTGATAATTATCATCAGATGAAGAATAGAAAGTTCAAGACAAGCATTTTAAGCCCACTTGCTTCCAATCTTGCAGTCGTCAAATATGAGTAAGTTGCAATTACTTCATTATGCTGTTTATTGACCTTAATTATTTTCATCTCTATTAGTTGCCCAGACGATGAGAGTCGATATAAAGTGCAGTTCTTCCTCAATGAGCGACCTATTGATTTTGATTGGTGCAACATTGGATTATGTGATTTGTCAACGGTTCTTCAAAAATTCAGTCACTTCTCAAATTCTGATTGTGCAAATATGTACTGCGGTGGAAGTACAGCTAGTTACTTAAGATTGTCAGTGGCATTAATTTCTATAGCTATGTTATTTAACGTACTGTTTTAGGTATTATAATTTTAAGCTTTTTAACACATCCAAAATTCAACAATGATTACAAGAGATGCTTAAGAACATCAAAGATATGTAAATTTAGGTAAAGCTTTATGAATTAGTAAATAGCACATAAGAAGTTTAGAAAGTTTGGGAATTTTATGTTAGGATTTAGAGAGCATCCAAATTAAGTCAGTTATATTAAACTTTAAGCACTTAAATGCTTTAAATCATTAATGAATTATGAAATTTAGCAATTAAGTATTAATCTCTTTTAAAACCAAATCCGTTTCAGTTGAAAACAATTTCAGATTAATAAACCAAAATCTTGTTAAAGATCCAGTAATGAATTTCTAAAATGTATCAAATGTCCAATAAAATTCCATTTCAATGTCAAATTGATTCACAACAATCTATAAACATGTTATTAACATTATGAGATCAAATTTATGCTGTCAAAAATGTTTGATTTTCCACCCTTCCGATTTCCTTTCAATTCTATTCTTTTATTTATATTTTAAAGACATGAAAACCTTCAGCAATAACTTTAAGCTTGTTAATAGAAAAAAAATTGTCATTTAATTCATAATCCAAATATATCATAATTCTGAATTGCAATGCAAATATTTGCAGACTGAATCAACCGCTTCTGTAATGAGATTCAGAGACATTTCTGGGAATTAAATAACAAATGCGGAAATTGTTTTTTGTTGCTGACTGGTTTTGATGTCTCAATCAAATGCTCAGTTCTGTTCAAGTTGTTTTATGGCCAACAATCAATTTTAAATTGCGATTCTATTTGAAAATAATTTTAAACTGTTCAGTAAATAATCAGACGCGTGTGTCACGCCGTCGTTCAATTTTTTCCTTGCCTGCTATTCAACCTCACCAATAAAAATACATCACATCCTTCCGTTACTCTCTATTTGAAAATGATTAACATGTTCGGTAGTAATTTATGGTAAAATTATGTCTCTTTGCTTATTTTATGCTGTTTAATGTGAGAAAAAGGTTAAGTGTATGTTGTGGGGGTGTTGATGCTTCTTATTCTATCAATCCCTTTGCTTTTATTTCTTTTTTTTATAAAAAATAGTGTCATTGACAAGATGAAGAACCACATTGAGAATAAATTGCATCATCTCATCACTTTTATTCTACTTCCAACCCCTCACAATTTTCTTTCTTCTGATCTGATTCTTTTCTGTGATTTTTCCAAGATTTTTCCCATGTTGACAGAAGGAAATTGGATTATGAACTTCTTGAGTGGATAATAATTTTCTTACAGGAATAAAATCTTCATTTTCTGATATTTGCTAATTATTGTCTTTATTACCAATTGTTTTGTTGATACTTCTTTAATAAACAATTATCTTCATAGCTATAATCAGAATCATATATAATTGTACAACATATGTACGATTTTTGATCCACATTCATTTTCAGAAATTTCACTTTTTCAAAAATGATGCCGACAGCTATTTGATTTGAAGAATTTTGTTTGCACAAAAATAATTATATTGGGCAAATATTTAGAAACAAATGTGATGCTGTTCATGATTATATAAAAATTTGTAGAAATAAAATCTAGTTTTAATATCATTTTTCTTAAATTCAATTTTAAATGGTTGTTTACCATACGATTATTGAGCTCAAATAATGCACCAATGTAGCTAAAAATAAAATCCTTTGTAAAGCTAGCATCTAGACATGAAAAAAAATCCTTTTTTCCAAAACAAAAATCAGATTTCGTCCTAAACTTTCAAGGTTCATACTGATATCAATTACAACCCTTCTTCAAACAATTTTAATCCATTGAATAGCTAAACGGAAGACTATAATGTCCTCAATTCACTGATTTACGAGCAAAGATAAGATCCCACTTTCTACTGAAAAATTACATTAATCACATAAGAAGAAGTAGATAAAAAATTTTGAGCATTTAAAAAGAGGCTAAAAAGGTGTTCGCGTGACTTATCAGCATTTTTGTTGATCGATGAATAATGAAAGAAAGTAAAACTTGAATATAAATGAAGTTCTTCAAAGCATGCATGCTCATCAACTGCTATCCATTATCGCGATAGCTTCATCGTTCTTTTAGTCAGCAGAACATTGCACATTTTAAAAAGTATAAAAAGTGTATCTAGGTACGAACATGATTTTTATAGCGGTTGATGTATGAGGAACTTTTGTATAAGACATAAGAGTCTTTTGTGCCGATGAGCAAACAAAGCCTTGTTCTCCTTCCTCACTTACTCACTTAAATACTTTTCCTTTCGTTTCAAATCCAGACGACGAAATAGCTAGCAAACTATTCTTATACAGTCAGTCAGTACAGCAGGGAAGGTGAATAAATTGTGATTTCAGATTTCTTTAGATTTTTTAACCGTTCTTGCTGTTGCTGCTCCTGCATGTTCATATCGAAAGCAGCATTAAGTAATGTGGAAAGGAAGAATAATTACAATGTGCAATGAACAATCATCAAAATTCATTCATATCATTTGGAATAAAATCAGATGGAATTGAAAAGGACCGGAAACAGATTTTTTGCTGCCTTCAACATCACATAATAATCATCACATCAAATTTCATTGCATTTAAAAGAATTTCGTTGCTGTTTCGTACTTTATGGGGTGGAATAATAGCAAAAGACGCGCGTGTGTTTTACTTCCTGTTAATTATTCATTTTTTTTTACTCAAAACGACTTCACCTTTTCAAGAAACTCGTGTCTCATATTATCTAACAAAAGTAGAGCAGATTGATTGTTAAAAAGTCATGCCTACCTTTCCAAGTATTAAAGTAAAAGATTCAAGTTCGCTTTAAGCAAACAAAATTGCTTTAAAAATGGAAATAAAATCTCGTTTTGTGCTTTTTATATCACATTCATCATATTGATGATGGCAAATGTCCTTACTTCTGATCTTCACATCTCTCATTGTTTATCATCATCATTTGATGCTCTTATATACTTTTCTCATTCATATTTCCATCTATCTTTCTTCATATCTTCCTCTTTTTCTACATTCATCCACTTATGTAATGTACATTTTGTTGCTATATCCATCAAAACGGACAACAAACAAGTAGAATGATGAAAAAGAAGCAGTTCTGGCAGTTGTAGCGCAAGCATATTCTCTATTTATCATGTGCTATGTACACATTTTAAATCATAAATGAACGTCTGTGTATAAGTCTTTGTGTCTTCTATTCCCGACAGCTTTTTGGCTGTTTCCAAAAATTATATACATTTTACATAAAGGAGAGAAAACCGTAAGTGGGCGTTGCCATTTTCACATCACATTTATATACTTAAAATATCAATAATGCCATTGTGCACAAGTAGTTCTTCTATCTCTTCAATTATTCCACAGAGGAAATGAATTAAAATTGGGTTACAAGATTAATCTGAAAGAAAAATAAATAAATGAGAAGCTAGTGTCATATAGAGCATCAAAAATTCATTTCCTTAGACTTTGCCATAATCTTTTCTTCTTGTATCATGTTTTTTGGTTTTGGAACCGCATTATTTGCTATTTACTTAGCTTTAAAGTATTTTATGTTGTTTCGGAAAAGGCATGGAACTGTTAGACTCTAGACATCCTCGAAAAAAGCATTACATAATTGTTTACTTAAGCAATAAGAATAAGAAGAAGAAGAGGGAAGGAATATCGATTTGTATCGTTGTCATTGTTGTGAAATTGTTTGCATTTCTTATTTCGTTTTTAGCATCATTTCTGAGACCTTTGTTAGATATTCTGAACATTTTGGCTTGCGTTTTGGTCTCAAAAGCAACGAAATGCGCTAAATTTACAAAACCCATGAAATTATCTTTACTAGATAATTCTGATGTTTGATTAAAGGTTTACGTTTTGGTGTGCTTGTTTTTATATTCATTCATGACATAAAGAGATATCACATTCCATTCGGCACACAAAAGACTTTTTTTCCTGATTATTGAACATAAAAAAAACTAAAAAAACTAAAAAACCCTTCTAGCCCACAAAACAAACAGGAATGAGGAAGAACATTTGTGATGAATTTATTTCAATGAAAATCTGCGTGTTATCTTCAACACTATTGATGATTGTGATCTATTTGATGTTTACTTACTAGTCCCAAATGAGATGAAGTCCTGAAAGCATGTTCAATATTCAAAACATTTTCTCATTTTCGTAATTATTTTCCCGGGTTGTATTATGGAAGGAGTAAGTCCGTAATTTAATGTTCAATGGAGCGAGAAAAGAGGAATTTATGACTTTATAAGGAAGTAGAAAGTTAATTTTGTAACCAATTTTTTTCCTTATTGCTGACACGTGTCGGATATTCAGAAGAAGCTAATAAAAATTCAAAAGTAGGCAAATGTTTACAAATAATAAAAAATGTTCAGACGCACCTTTTCAGCGTAATTCGTGAATATGAACTCAAAATTATTGATTTTTGGACTGTTTGGAATTTTCATTAATTTTGTTTACAAAACATCTTCAAATCCTTTAATGATCTCTTTCCCATAGCATAAAGAAATTTGGTAGTTCAAGAAATTTTATGCTTCAAATGAGTCCTACATTCATATAGCCACAAAATGTGAGGATCATGCTGAGCCTTAAAATTCATTGAGCCATCAAATAAAATTAAGACGTTATCGCCTACAAATCTAAACAAAGAAAATATAAAACAGCAGCACATAAATGTTTGATCCTCTTCTCATTCATATCTTCTATTGATGATTTCTGATGTGGAAAAATGTTCAAATAAGAAGAAATAAAGTTCACATTCGGAAATTGCTTGTTTTGTTTATATTTTGATGGAGTCACTGTTTGAGACAAAAACATTGAAATAAATTTTATGGGCTGGAAAGTCGTGGTGAGATTTTTGATTTTATGAATATTTTCAGACCGTCTAAATGTTGTGAAGAATTGGCAAATTTGCAAAAACATCTGCGTGAGGCACTTGAAAAGAACAAAACAACTTCCAGAAACAGCACAGCATAGCAAATTGAGACGTCAAACACGCCCTCGAAATTTCAATTAAGAATTTCTATTTCTTATGAGAAATTCTCATCCTTGACTGATTTTCTATGAGAATTTTCAACTGAATGACTGTTCACATCGCAATCCATTCCAAGATTTCTTTTTTAATCCGTTTAAAGAGGATCCTTTGTGATGTTTCTTGTTGTACATATAATACATAATGCTGATGAAATTGCAGTTAATCCTCGACAATAATTTTCAGCACATTTACTGAACTGTACAGCTTGAATATAAAAGGAACTGAATTTATTTCTATGTCATAAGTTTGTTGAGTATTGTACATGTATGCTGGATGACATCAGAAGAGATGCAAAATTATCATTTCAAAGTGCGATCATTTAGGCATGCAAATATCATCGTCATTAAAAAGTACTTCCTTTAGTTCCTACATGTTATGATAATTCATTATTCTGTGATGCAAATCATGTTTTGATGTCTATAAAAGTCATCATATTCACATTTAATGGAACTTGAGATAGAAGAGAATATTTGAAGCATCATGGAAGTCATCAAGACTTTGAGTCTCATTGACATTTCCCTTCTATATTCCTTCATATTTTGAATTATAGACACTCAAAAGATCATAAAATTTACACAAATTAATTTCCTTTGATGTCTTCTGAGCATAAAAAATGAGGAAATGCCAATAAAAGTCATTAAATAATCGCATAAAAATGGACTCTCCTTCTTTGTATTTATGGAAAGTTTATGAGACAAGTATGAAGAAAGACATTTGAGGGTCGGAAATTTTGAATAAAAGATATTGCGCGTACATCAAGTGCCATTAAACTCGAACGAATGTCAAATTCAGTGCCTTCATACTCAATACTCAATAACAAGCTCCGTTTTCTATTCATCACCACCCTCAATCAAATCAATTTTCCCTTCATTTCCAACATTCACACAGGTGACAAAAATCACTCGCTCACATTATAACCCAAAAAACACACACAATTGCTTCCATTCCATTCAAATCAAATCAGATCAGACAATTTCTTCTCCTTTTTTTCATCATCGACAAATTTATGAATTTGAATAATTTTCATTCAAAAGCGTTACTAAGAGCTGCAAGCATAGAGCATCATGTGATGAAAATTCACTTGAATATAAAGTCTTATTATTCTTATGGTTCAACACTTTACAACAATTACATCATGTGATGAAAATTTAATATGATACGATGTGTTAATATGGATGAAAATCTCATTCTTTATCACCTTTATGGTTCAATAAATTCAATGAACATAATTTTTCTGTAAAATTCCTCATTTCCGTAAATTATTTGTTATATTTAATCGCTCAATTAATCCAACGTGAATCAAAAATGATGAAAATTTTTTTGCAGATGTTTCAGTTGCCAGGATTAAATATTATTTTTCTATATCGTTCCTTTCTATTTATTTCGTCTTAATATTTGAACAGGAAGGTAAGTGGAGAGAGGAACTATGAGTGAATTGGGCTATTGTTTGTTTCTATTAGCCTCTTTATTTCCAATTGCAATTTTTAAGTACATCAAATCTTTTTCATTGCTACTGAATTAAAAAAAAACATATTTCAATCATAAATGTTTACCTTACGCTCGTTCCTATGTGTATCTTGTCTCCTTCCAAAGTTGTTAGCTTGTTTTGCAACATTGGTAATTAAGTTTTTCATTTTGGTCATGATTTATGTTGAAGTTCTGTTTTCTGAATCTTTATATTTCTGTCTGTTTAACAAACAAAGGTTTTAGACATCTTCAACTCAAATTGAATAATAATTCAGCTCATCTGCAATTCGAATAAAATAATTGTTTATAATTAATTATAAATTCTAGAATCTAGCAATAGACTTTCAAAAAGCAACAGAAATCTTAGAATATGCGTTTTACTTTAAACAGCTTTAAACTTAACAACAGTATCCTTTCATACTCATTCCAACCAATAAGTACGAAACATATAACAAGAAGGAAGATCAAAGTAAATTGGTGGGCAGATAATCTGTTTATTGAAAAACATCATCTCTATGTGTCCATCTGTGTTACGGTTGTTTAAGCAAAACAAATACACAAATAACTCTATGAGAACGGCACAAAAAATATCCTTTGATCCTTCGAGTAATCTTGAAAATTACAATGATAATCCTTTAATTCTGAAAACCATCAGAGTTCGGAATTTTGCTTCTCTTTCTTATGTTATTCTCCTGCTTACGCTTATTATTCAAGTTGAAAGAAATTTAGAGCAAAAGTTTTACAAGCATTTATCATGTTGAATGTAATTAGAGCTTAGACTTTTTGTTAAGTAAAATAAATTAGCATAAGAATCGCATCAAAAGAGGATTTTCAACACCATAAGAATAGTCTACAATGTTTAAAAAAGGTGTGAATGAGAAAATTACGAAAATATTTGAAAATAATTAGATGGATCATCCCAGAAAATATTTCTTTTGGATTCTTAAATATTTGTATCATTTGAGTTGACAATAATGGACATTTCATACTACAATAGGAGTTTACTGTAATATCCATCTTCATTCAACTCGATACAATTATTTCATTCTACATTATTATGTTCCATAAAAATAAAATGAAACTAAGGTGATTTTCCGAGAACAGTTTTCAATTATAAGTCAGACTGAATGAGATTTTTTTTTTCTATTTTGCAATGCAATTTTACATGCTGTAAATTGCTTTCACTGTTAATGTATTACTCAGATTTTTATTGAAGATTGAAAAAGCTTTGTTCTGATTTTCAATAAAGATACTTGAGAAGATTAAGATTCAAATCATGTAATATAAGTTTTTATTTTTGTTGACAGTTACAACACTTACAATTTATATTAAGAGAAGTAAAAAAAAAAACATTTTATTAAAAGCATAAACTCAATTTCCTTAAAAGTTTTCATAGTTCCATAATTCTATTCTTTCAGTGAATTCTTCATTTTACAAATTGTAAGTAATGTAAAATATCAAAATGAAGATGATTCTTTGAGGAATCCATTAGTGCTTTACATATCACAATAAAAGTCATTCCGATGAATAAGGATAATGGTTGATACATATTCCATTTGAAATACATCTTCTTTTATCTGTTAATGCATCATTTTTTATCAAATCTTTTCGCGATGATTCTGAATTTATTATCATCTTTTTTTTTTATCCACATTCAGCAATGGTAAAGGGGTTGCAAAAGTTCACAAGCAATTTTGTTTGCGACTCACAAGTATGCTTTTATGTAAATTAATGAAAATTTTATCGCATTTGCGAGATCACCGAGTTTGTTTGGGGTTAATGACAAAAAAGCATGAAAAAGTATTCACGCATTAATGTCTCATCGCCATTTACATTTTTTTTTTCTTCCTTTTGTCGACGCAGGCAGAATGAGAAATCTTTTCATTTATTCAAAACCTTTGCCATTAACCGACTGAGTAGAGAAAGAAAGGATAAAAAGTTTGATGAAACAGAAAGATAACGAATGATAATAAAACATGCACTTTGGAATATTAATATTGTTTACATATAGTGCGCAATGACTTGAATGAACCAAATAACCACAGCAGGTGCTACACTGAAAAATAACTTTTATTAAAGAAATTTAAATTTTCACTCTTTTGGGGTCGTTATCAAGTTATGTTCTTCTCGTACCTTCTTGCCACTGATCTATCCAGAATTTTAGTATTCTCGAGTCATAAACTTTATTTACAATTTGATAGCAACTTGTGAGTTTCAACTATAATCTGAAATCAAATTTATTAAGTTCCAATTTCGTAGAATCATTTTAAACTGGTCACTGAATCCGTTCATACACAGTAGATGTCATTTGTGAACAAACTCTAAGCAAAAGACACAAAATTTATTCGACCAACAAAATGTCAGCATAAATCACCAGCAAAAAAGTATCGGAAGTGAATAATTAAATACGTTTGCATACCAAAACTGACAAATTAATTTGATTTGAGCATTATTCTCTTATCTGCAATGATTATTCACAAAAAACTTATGTCTTTGACACCCTTACTCCCTCTTATTTTTTAAGACTCAAACACATAACATTTAACAGCATAAACAGCAATCATTGAAATTAGCATATTCAACCCCTCGTTTAATGCTTCAACACTGTAAAAAAAGGCTTAATATACTCTTACAATGAACTACCCTAAAATTGCTTTTTTATTTAATTTTTTCGTATGTCTTATTTTTATTTTCATTCTCATCTCAATTTTCGGTATTATTAGCAACATATTTTTTGACCTAAATATAATATTTCATTCACAAAATTGGATCATGTTATGGAAATTTTGTTTACAAACTGGAAATTAAAAGAGGAAAGAAAATTAATGAATGGGAATTAGAAAGAACATTTTTTGTTGGAATTAATTTTTGTTTTGAATGATTTATAGAATTTTTGATGAAGATTTCATTTAATTTTGTCTGTTTTTGAAAGGTTCCAATGATATTTTGAAAGATGCTGAAGATCCAGTAACGTAAAAACATCCTCTAATCTTTCAAAACAAATCCAGTAAAGATCCAAAACATGAACATAAGACTGTAAATCAAGATCCAATTTTAAATTTTCATCTACATTTCTTAAACTTTATTTATCAATTAAACTTTCTGCATCATTCATTAAATTCAATTCAATAATTTTCATCTACAATTCACATCTATTTCTGTTTTATAATCTACAAATTTATATCCAATTTTTCTTTATATTATACTTCATTATTTGCTATTGCACATCATCACTGGGGAATTTTGCTTACAATCAAAATGATCATCAAATAATTTCTACATTAAAAGTAAATCCTCTTTTGCATCACCATCACTGTGTATCACGTCTAATTCTGCATGATAATTAAACTGACTCTGTATATTAACATAATATTTTTGTCAAAATACTTTGGCAATAAATGGCGATGAATCGATTCGTTGTCTGGCAGTTGGCATCATAAATGATGAGGCGTAATCACCTGCTGTGATTCGCTGATGTTGCTGTTGCTGTAGTGATGTGAAAGGATGCATGTGTGGATTTAAACCGACAATATGATGCGATGATGATGATGTTGAAGAAGGTGATAATGGAAGGGCTGTTTGTGGATATGAAGATCCTCCATTAGTGCTACTGCTGTTATTATTATTATTATTATTGCTACTTGAATTTTGATTTTTTCGTGATCTACTACTGGATGTATGAATATCGTGCAATTTTCTCATGTGCTTCTTCAAATCAAAATTCCGACAAAATCCTTTTGCGCATATTTTACACTGTGGAAAGACTCTATTGATTAATCTCTTATTAACATTTGAAATGTACGATTGCGTACGATTTGAATACTTACTTGGAATGGCTTTTTGTCATTATGCGTGTGCATATGAAAGGTTAAATTGTAGACTTGATGAAATGCTTTATGGCAAATCTGTGGAAAGTAGGAGTGGAAAAATATAGAAATCATTTCCAGATGTTAATTTTAGTATTTATCGTACCAACCTGACATTTGTATGCTTTTTCACCACTATGTGTCAATTTATGATTCTTATAGTTCCCCTTTTGATGAAATCCTTTGCCGCAGAACTGTGAAATTCAAAATAAAGTCTAATGTTAGTCAGTTACAGACAATTTAGGGTTCTAGTCGACAGTCTATCCACAACAACAATAGAAATGAATAAATTTTAAGTACCTCGCAGCAATAAGGTTTATATCCTTGATGAATTCTCGTGTGGGTGTTGAGGGTCGATGAGCGATTAAACGCCTTCCCACACGTCTGACATTTGTGTGGTTTATCGGATGTATGGATAATTTTATGACGACATAATGTTGATGCTTGCCTGAAGCCCTTACCGCAAACTTTGCAAATAAATGGACGAGCTCCAGTATGTACAGGCATGTGCCTTGTTAAATTATAATGCGCATTAAATATTTTACCACATTCAGGACATGCAAAGGTTTTCTGTTTTCCATTCGTTGTATTATTTGATGACGATGATGTTGTTGACGATGAAACGGCACCAATTGTTGTCGTTGCTGTTTGTACGTGACTATTTGATGAATTTAATTTCTTATCAGCAGGACTCTCGAATACTCCTTTTCTCATTGACTTTCCATGCGACATTGACGATGATGTTGAAGATGAAATTTTCTCATGATTACTCTCACGTTTAATTGCTGCATGATGGCTTTGATTGTGATATGATTGAATAGCTAGATTTGATAATTGGGTAAGTGATGTGGAAACGCTATTGGGACTAGAAGCAGCAGCATTTGACAAAAGATTAACTGATGTTGTGTGTTGTGTAAGGGCGGCATACTGAGCGGCAGCACACATAAGTTGGTTTGGATAATACAGCAATGGATATTGAGAGAGAAAATCTTGAGGACGATTGACAAATTGGTGAACGGATGATGCATTTGGAACGTATTTTTTAAATGCTGAATCATACGAGACACTTTTTTCCATTGATTCCATTTTATAGTGCTTTCTGTCCTTTGAACTTTTTGGACTCTTTTCTGGTTCCATAATTTTTTCAATTGAAAACTTTAATATACATCCAGAACTTGGAGTTGTTTTTATTTGACTACTTTCGGAATCATTTGTTTCGTGATCCATTAACGATGGGGATGTAGCAGGCGATGGAGATGATGACGAAGACATAGTTGTAATATTCAAATCCTCTGAATCTTCTGAATTCAAATCTGGATCATATCGATCACTGTTTGCTGATTCCATTGTTGGACTATTTGGAATCTTTGAATTTATTGGTAAATCTGGTGATATGCTACACATCATTTGCATTCCGCGAGGACTCTGTAATTAACATAAATTGATATTGGTTTAAAACTTTTTACTGGATCTGAATATTATCAGCATGAACTCAGAAAAAGAAAGCTCAATAATCAACAAAACATATTCATTGAATAATAATTGGACAGCATAAATATTTATTTATAGAAATCATGAGAATCATCAACATATAACAACATGAGATATTTCATATATGATTGATGATCATCCATGCAGAAGTAATGAAGTATGATTTCAAAAGGTACTTCTTTTATTAATTAAACACGCTCTGATTAATTCAAATTCTTTTGATCATCACTGAAATCAATAAACACTCAAAAGTGTTTACTCCTCTTTCATTATTTCAACTTATAAAGACAAGCACATAAGGATTGTTGTTCTATTATTGATCACAACCCCTTAAAATATTCATCATTAATAAGCGAGAATAAAAACACAACATCCACAAAGGAATGCAATTCAAGCACATGAAGCAGATTGGTTTTGCCCACTTTATATCACAAAAGTCATACAATTGAAAATATTTTTTATGTCCTTTGATGTAAATTGGTTCTTTTCATAACTCAAACCGTGATTCATTTTTTCTGTCAATTGAACTCTTTTAAGGATTTCGTGTTGAGGGTTCTACTCATATTTTTTTGCAATAATTTCAAGTATGAAAATATTTTGATTGTTAAAACAATGGACAATGAGAATTATTTGGGTCATAAAGCTTAAAAGCTTATCCATTCAACTTTGTCATACAACAGAGTGGCTATAGATTATGAGACCAATCTTAATATAAATATTTAAATTGTATATTAGATGATTTAAAGGAACTACACATACGAAGTACACCATGCTGATAATTTAGACACAAGAAATTTCCACTTTATCAATAATTGTTGATTGTCTGTTTCCTTCTCGCCAGAAGTGTCACTCGAGTTTAATTTAAAGTTTCAGATTAAGGAGAGCAGTTTATGCGTATAGAAAATTATATTAACAGCACACTTATTTCACACTCAAGATCAATCTTATGTGTTGAGCACTTTATAAAAATTTATTAAACTTGTTCTGTCTGTCTACGACTGTAACGCTTCATAGTAGAATAATATCTGAATTCATATTTCTTTTTCTGCTGTACACATCGACGCATCTTCCATGTCTTCTTCCCTTCTCTCTTTTCATGTGACTGTATATAAGAGTGAAAAATGGCAACGCCCACTTCTACAAATGTATATACTGACAGTCGTATAGTGTAGCAGCGAAAAAGCTGTCGGGGCAGAAGACACAAAGACTTATACACAGACGTTCATTTATGATTTAAAATGTGTACATAGCACATGATAAATAGAGAATATGCTTGCGCTACAACTGCCAGAACTGCTTCTTTTTCATCATTCTACTTGTTTGTTGTCCGTTTTGATGGATATAGCAACAAAATGTACATTACATAAGTGGATGAATGTAGAAAAAGAGGAAGATATGAAGAAAGATAGATGGAAATATGAATGAGAAAAGTATATAAGAGCATCAAATGATGATGATAAACAATGAGAGATGTGAAGATCAGAAGTAAGGACATTTGCCATCATCAATATGATGAATGTGATATAAAAAGCACAAAACGAGATTTTATTTCAATTTCTAAAGCAATTTTGTTTGCTTAAAGTGAACTTCAATCTTTATTTTGCTCTTCTTCATTCTCTGTTGATTTTAGAATTCATGTCCATGTATTACAGAATCTGTTTGTAAAGAGCTTTTGAATAATTGATTGGATTTCCCTTATTTGGCTATTCCTTTTCATTAATTTGCCATCTGAGTTGAACAATTTAATTTATTTGAAGTTTAAGTAAATGAATTAAAGTATCTAGATGAACAGTTGAATTTAAAGTTGTAATGGATGTCATTTGATAATTATTGTGATTAGTTTTAGGCTTGACATCAATGAAATCAAATTATTTAGATTTGGTAAAATCAGCAAGGCTAAGTTTGAAAAGTGGAATAATGGATGAGTTTGCTTTCAAAATTTACCATAAAAAATGAAAAATTAAGTATAACATCCAGTAACCACATCAACAAAGTTTCAAAATAATTACCCAGAATTACCAATAATCTGATCATAAATGCCGAACAAATACAATGCAAAATCACACAAATTAAGCCTAAAAATCCTTAAAATTTATAATTGAATAATTTTCTCGGTAAACTCCAATAATCGATAGAACTAAAACTGAAAGGAAAAATCACAACAAATGTTGCGGTTCCATTGTGATTAGCAAATTATTCGTAATCCTCAAAATATTAATGTTCCAATTTTTTTTTTTTTGAAAAAGGAAAAATAGGAACGAGAGATATTGTTGGAGTAAAAATGTGGTCCGAAAATATGAAAGAGGAGAAAATTTTGCAAAAAAATTAAAATCAATAACTTAATCACCATTTATGGGATTATCGGTCTACATGAATCTCTTTGTGTCAGTGCTTCTGTATTCCGCTTCAGAAATAGAACATGAACATAGATTGCTTGACGTGAGGAAGCTTGTAAAAAATTAGTGTTTTCCCATGTTTAACGAAATGGATCCTTTGTTGGATATCGAAACTTCTACAGAAGTCCTTTCAATATATCCAAAACAATTTCACTCGAGTTAAAGATTAAAAGATTATTACCGACATGGAAACAACACACAAGACTTACAAATGTTTTGGATGGATTTTTATTCTATTATCTAATTTTACGCTCCATTCTATTTTGTTCATCTCTCTCTTTCTGTGCTCCTGAACATTGGTTCTCACAACTATTATTGGCATTATCGGTCTTTATCTCTCTGATTCCTTTAGTTACTTTCTTAATTCTTTTATTTTTCTCTGAACCAAAACTGACAGATTTTCAGCATTCAAGACTAGAAAGACGTAAATTTTTTGCATTCTTTAAATCGTTTTATTGAAATTTTTCATTCAGTCATAAATTCCATTTTTAAGGTTTTATAGTTCATTAAAGGTAAATTATTAGAAACTCCTCTGCGTTCTTTACTTTCTTATATCCACATTAAGATCTCAGGTTACTTTTTGCATATGTTTATTGGATTTTAAAAAAATAAACATGCATCGGCTCGTGCCATACGGATGGAATGTCTTTCAAGAATTATGAAAAAAATCTGTTAAGCAATTTGCAGGAAAGAATAATTAACAGGAAGTAAAACACACGCGCGTCTTTTGCTATTATTCCACCCCATAAAGTACGAAACAGCAACGAAATTCTTTTAAATGCAATGAAATTTGATGTGATGATTATTATGTGATGTTGAAGGCAGCAAAAAATCTGTTTCCGGTCCTTTTCAATTCCATCTGATTTTATTCCAAATGATATGAATGAATTTTGATGATTGTTCATTGCACATTGTAATTATTCTTCCTTTCCACATTACTTAATGCTGCTTTCGATATGAACATGCAGTAGCAGCAACAACAAGAACGGTAAAAAATCTAAAGAAATCTGAAATCACAATTTATTCACCTTCCCTGCTGTACTGACTGACTGTATAAGAATAGTTTGCTAGCTATTTCGTCGTCTGCATTTGAAACGAAAGGAAAAGTATTTAAGTGAGTAAGTGAGGAAGGAGAACAAGGCTTTGTTTGCTCATCGGCACAAAAGACTCTTATGTCTTATACAAAAGTACCTCATACATCAACCGCTATAAAAATCATGTTCATACCTAGAAACACTTTTTAAAATGTGCAATGTTCTGCTGACTAAAAGAACGATGTCTGTTATCACACGAATTAATCTCTGTTGAATACTTTATTAGTATAAAAGATGGAAATTGGGGCACATTAAGTTGTTCACTGTCTTTCATTGTAGAAATGCCTTTTTGGATTATTTATCAAGTTGTCTGATATTGAAGATAAGACACGACAAGAAATCGATTAAAGCCTGAACAAGGTATACAAACAATACCGTGAAGAATTTTAATTTTTATTCACGGTTCCTTCCCTCAATTTCCATTTAGTACTGTACTTTTAATTATGTTGTACAACTTATTTCATCAACCCCTATGCAAGTCTATTTGCATACCTCATAGATCCTTGCATTTTTCGCAGCTAACAATATAAATTTTAAAGAATAAAAAAAAAGGAAATCAGATAAGCAGTTTACTTGAAGTGGAACGAAAAAAGCAAACAAATTAAATTTTTTTTCTTCTCTTTCCTCTTTTTATTATAGTTTGCACTCAAATGCACATTTATGCTGCGATTAAAACGAACTGTTAACAGTTTGATTTATTTTAGAAAAGCAAATGCAGCGATTTATTTGGCTGTTAGATTCCTTCCAACTACCCTCGATGAAGTTTTTATTTTAAATGGTTTCTTTTTGTGTGGAATAAAATTGAATAGATACAGTATGTAGCATTATATATGCTCATAAAATTGGACAAATATTTGCTAAAAATAATTGGTCTTGATAAACAACAGATCTACTCTCTTTTCAACACCCTTGAGCGATGAAATCCCAAAAAAATAATGTGGATGAATGAAGGAAGTTTATCATAAGCGATTAACGAAAAAAAAAAATGAAAGAAATTTGTGTTTGTTCTTTAACGAATGAGTAAATGGAAATAAATCTAAAAGGAGCATAAAATAAGATGAAATTAAGTTTTTTTGATAAGGCGATGGAAGCGCATTTTTGATTTTTTGAACATCATTAGAAAGAAAAATGACCAAAATAAGCAAAAGATGAAATTAAGGAAACTTCGAAAACATGGAACATAGTTTACACTCCTCTGTTGGGATTCCAAAAAATCCTGCATCCTGACAATTCATCCAAACCACAACTTCATAAATAATATGCTAACAGACTTTCTATGGATTCAGTCAAAAAAGAGAAAATTTTCATCGCACATCCTCACACAATCAAAATTCTTTTGAATTTCACGCTTCAAATGAAAACACTGATGAATTCCAACATCATTAACAGCGACACTACTAATGATGCTTTTAATAATTTATCTACCTTAATTTTCTCATCATATCACCAAAAAGTTTAACTTTTCGACACCAATTATTTTTATCTCAGATTCTAATGAAGACTTCTTACTTTAAGCAGTTTGTAGATGATATCAGGATGTGATTTGTAATGAAGACAATTAGTAAATGATAATTTTGTTCCTGATAGAAAATTATTATCCACTCAAGAAGTTCATAATCCAATTTCCTTCTGTCAACATGGGAAAATCATAGAAAAGAATCAGATCAGAAGAAAGAAAATTGTGAGGGGTTGGAAGTAGAATAAAAGTGATGAGATGATGCAATTTATTCTCAATGTGGTTCTTCATCTTGTCAATGACACTATTTTTTATAGAAAAAAGAAATAAAGACGAAGGGATTGATAGAATAAGAAGCATCAACACCCCCACAACATACACTTAACCTTTTTCTCACATTAAACAGCATAAAATAAGCAAAGAGACATCATTTTACCATAAATTGCTACCGAACATGTTAATCATTTTCAAATAGAGAGTAACGGAAGGATGTGATGTATTTTTATTGGTGAGGTTGGATAGCAGGCAAGGAAAAAATTGAGCGACGGCGTGGCACACGCGTCTGATTATTTACTGAACAGTTTTAAAATTATTTTCAAATAGAATCGCAATTTAAAATTGATTGTTGGCCATAAAACAACTTGAACAGAACTGAGCATTTGATTGAGACATCAAAACCAGTCAGCAACCAAAAACAATTTCCGCATTTGTTATTTGATTCTCAGAAATGTCTTCGAATCTCATTACAGAAGCAGTTGATTCAGTCTGCAAATATTTGCATTGCAATTCAGAATTATGATATATTTGGATTATGAATTAAATGACAATTTTTTCTGTTAACAAGCTTAAAGTTATTGCTGAAGATTTTCATGTCTTTCAAAAATAAATAAAAGAATTGAATTGAAAGGAAATCGGAAGGG